CCGAATTAACGACGAAGATATGCTGCGACTATGATGTGGCCGAGACGATGTCGGTCCTACCGTGTGCGCCGGCCCTTGACACGCTAGTGGTCGAAATTCCCTATCCTTGTGAGTCGAATTTCGCAACCTGTCGTACATCACATCTCAGAAATAATTATCAGGCTGCTCTCATGACATAAAGCCACAAACACACAACTTGAGACATCTCAAGATCGTCCATCACGGCCGGTGCCCCGAGAGCCTCCAAGAAAGTGACGGCCAATGCGCTGCTCTCCAGGTTCTCGACGTCCCAGATGAACCACCTCAAACATTGAGGACCATAACACTAGACTTCATCCTCGCAATGCTCATTCTTCCATGGTATTCAGACACCTGCCCGACAGGGATGCAACAATACGGCTATGCCTCTATCGACTTGGTCCTCGTGCGCACAGCGAACACGCGCTATCGACACTTCCACATCCATGCTATTGGGCAGCTCGGTTGCATACCCCACAATTTTGACGAATAAATCTCAAATTGAACTCACCAAGTGGTATGCAAAGCGGTACGAAGTACATGCAAACAACCTACTTCACACTCGACGCATAGGCCGTTTTCACTCGATCCTGGTGAGCTATTGTTGTAGAGCGAGACGCTTCGCAAAACAACTCATGCTACGGTTCGTCCAAGAAAATTCTTCATGGACGCTGAATGGGCGGGTATCGATCAAGAGGAAGTCAGGGTATATAGAAACTGGGCTCGGAATGCTTGGCAATTGGAAGTTGGCTGGGAGTCTAAGAGCGAGCACGTGCACATCGCCAAACAAAGTACCCGCCCGCGTGTCGACTGGGCAGTCTCTTCCTCGTCTTGTCCTCGTCCCGCTTCCCCACCAATTCTCCACCATCCATCGACACTGCCCGAGCTGCAATTGTAACTTCCGGAGTCATGTACGCTCCCTCTTCTCTGCCTTGTGGCTTCACTGCGCTCCACCCTTGCTTTCCTAAGTCCTCGTGTCTCAATCTGCGGCCTCTGCGTTTAACTTTCTCTCTTGTCATCTTCACGAAATAACTGCTCGCGACGTCTTTTTTCCTCCCATGCATCTCCTTCATTCAGCCTGGTCATACGTAGTAATTAGCTTCATCTAAGCGCCCGGGAAAGCACTCGGGTGCACAGCCTCCAGGGCGGTTTGAATCAATTCTTCAATTGAGGGTCGACAACGAAGGGCAGGGCAACCAACAAACATAGCTCCTCCCAACTTTCAAAGTCATAGGTGTAGAGTTTGACTCCATGGAGGCGATACGACACCCTCTAGACAATCCCTCTTGGTACAGGTTACACAGCCACCAGCAAGAGAGGATTGTTATATGCCTGTTTAGGTGGTAGGCGAAATGCATTTAAACAAACTGGTTCTCCATCTGGTACATCACCCCCCTCGAAACCATGAATCAGGGCGCGTACTCGTCTAGCTCAAGCACCGATAGGAATAACGATCCCTCACGTGCTAACGCGGGAGATGTTGGCTCAGCACACGAGGGATTCGATTCGGAGAGCTGGATCGCAACTCCTACCAGTTCTGCGCCTCCGAGTTACACCTCCGATACAGAGTCATTCAACGACGGCGCTTCCTTCGTCAGCGATACCTCGACTCTCGCCGAGCCTGTAAATCGTCCGCGTCCAGGCTTGTCAAGTTCGACTCTTGTCCATCTGCGACCCCCGTCCGTCCCTATCACGCCGTCTGTGCAGTCTGTGACACGGGAGTATCCCGTTATCCGATACATCTTCACGCCGACCTCTCCCATCAGCAACTCGCTCACCCTCGTCCCACCTCCGGACATGCCGGACACGGTGCCCAGATTCCACATTGCTGTGACCTCGAACGTCTTCAACCCGCTCTCGCATATCACCACTGTGTACCATGGAGAGACTCAGTTCGGTCAGTGGGTGGGCTCTTTCGAGTACGTATTATATTATCTCCTCGACGCACCCTTCGTTTCATTAAATGGTCGCTGGTGAACCTTTTAGAATGGGAATATCAAGTTTCTTGAGCCGCGTCCGCATGCACAAACAGGATGTCCCTATAATAAAGATCCTGCAAAAGCGGGGATCACGTACGAGCGCAGTTTGGACATGGAAGCCCCTCTCGTCGCGAGTCAATGGCGGAGTCCCGTGGAAATGGGACTACCGTGCTATACACGGGGGTGGTGTTGTAAGTACGATTTCCTCCGTTCAGATATGTATAGCGAAGTCCTCACTCTCTGTTACCTTTCTCCCGCAGTGCCGGTCGACCGATGCTGATAAGACCCTCCTGGCAACCTTTATCCCATCTCCGACAACAGTTCACTCTTACAGCCCCACAGTCGTGCAAGTGAATGCGCGCGGAGAAGAAACACCACTTCCAGCACTCCAGATCACCCTCGCGGGACAGAAGTTTTTCGAAGATATTTTAATTTCCCTGCTTGTTATTGAGAGAAAGAGGATGCTTTCTGTAGACGACCAACACGCCAAGGTCATCTTCAATTGATGAATGCCGAAATTTGTTTGCCTACTACCTCGTTCGTCTCATTAGATACCCATAAAGTATCCTTATATAATCTGACACCTAATTTCCTTAGCCTCATTTTCGAGCTCTCCTCCTAGTACCATTAATTCATATTATACCTTCATTTTAAGTTGGCAATACTTAACGGATGAGGCGCCTGAGGCTTAGGTTTAAACCATACGAAGGTAGATTTCGACTCGATTCAATTTTGGTTCCAAAGTTCTATCTTACTGTACCTCTACTTGACCCAGAGCGCCTTATTCACCTCGAAGTAGTCGCGGAGCTTGTGGGTGCCCGTGATCGTCTTGCTCGTGCCGACCAACTTCTCCTCAGCGCCATTGGCGATGGCACCCCCCATGCCGTTCAACATGGTGGCGTATTCTGGCGACATTCCGACTGACCTCAAGAATCCTTGCTGCTGCTCGTTTGTGATGTGCGTATGAGTGATCTTGCGTCCAATGACCTCGCTCAAAATCTCGATGGCCTGCGGAGACGGTCAGCTCGCTGTTTCTCGAAGGCGGGAAAAAGGACACTTACCTGGTCGTATGTAAACAGCTCGGGGCCAACGACGTAGAAGTCGCTGTTGGAGCTCTTCTCAGCGAGGAGGGCGTCAAAGGCGGCTTTTGCGATGTCGTCGTGCCGATGAAGGGGATTTTGCCATTCTTGGTCACAGATGCGACGGTGTTGCTGTTATTGATGCTGTGGATGAACGAGGCTCCGAAGTTTTCTGTTACTGTCTCGTCGTAAGTATCCCGAACAAAATAATTACTGAGACGCACCAATGAACGAAGTGGGGCGAAGGACTGTGTATTCAACACCGAGGCTCGCGATGTACTCGTGCTTATCTTCCACAGTGGTACTAGGCACCGTCTATCTTCTATTCGGGCTTAGACAACCTGGGAAGGGCAAGCGCACCTCGATGAACTCTGCTCCATCCAGAACGAGCTCATTCGGGGGAAGAAACAAAGGAGGCGTGCTGCTGAACTTATAGAATAGAGACAGAAAGAGAAAATATAGTACACCCAGTCGATATACCTCACAACAGCATCCCTAAGATCACACGCCGATAGAAGGGAACACGTATAAAATTTTGTTGTGTATGGATACTATGTACGAGTTGGAAATGGTCTTTAAATAATTGAACTTCTCTGCAGATCATAGCACTGCGCGGCTGTCGATGGATGTGTGTACGTGCGATTACATATACGAATAAAGTGGCTTGTACGTTGGGTTCCAGATTGTGGGTAGTAGTCAGGGTTGTGGAAAACTCTATGAGGGGTAAATAATACACGTGGAAGGAAAGGAAGGGAGAGCGAAGCGAAGCAGAAAGAGAGAGGAAGAGGAAGAGGAAGAAGGGAAAGCAAAAAACCGCGCCATCGCGGCCCATCTCCATTTATTGTGAATAGGGCGGCAGCGACGCGGTCGACGACGAGGGCGTCAACGGGCCTAGTGGCAGCACCGGCGGCCTCCTCTGCCCCTCCTCTGCTGGAACTCCCTCCGGCTTCGCAGGGGCGGGCGGCAGCTGCGCAGCGAGCCGCGGGCCTTCGCTCAATGCAGGCGTCGGCGGGATACTCGGTGCAGGCGTGTTCGTCTGACTCCTGTTGTGCGCCATGTGTGCCCGGATGAGGTGGCCAGCAGCCAGCGCACTGAGCAGGCTCAGCTCGCCAGCCATGACAGCCGCAGCGATGAGCTTCGCGAGCGCCTGCGCGTTCTGCCCGGGGTGTGTCGGGTGCGCCCCGCGCATGCCGAGCAGCTCCAGGACGCCCTGCTGGGGCGCCAACACCGTGCCCCCACCAACGGTCCCGACCTCAATGCACGGCATGCTGACCGTCATGAGCAAGTCCGCGCCGTCGTTGATCGGCTCCATGAGCGTCATGCACATCGAACTCTCCACGTTCTGCGCGGGGTCCTGGCCGGTCGCTAGGAAGACCGCCGTGAGGATGTTCGCCGCGTGCGCGTTGAAGCCCCCAATCGAGCCCGCCATCGCACTTCCGATCAAGTTCTTCTTCGTGTTGAGGTTGCAGAGCGCCGCGACGGTGGTCTTGAGCACGCTCTGGACGACCTTGCCTGGCACGACAGCCTCGGCGACGACGCTCTTCCCGCGCCCCTCGATCCAGTTGATCGCGGCGGGCTTCTTGTCCGTGCAGTAGTTGCCCGAGAGCGCGAGGACGACCATCTCCGGGTAGTGCTTCTGCAGGACCTCGAGCGCCTTCTCCGTGCCCTTCGAGATCATGTTCATGCCCATCGCGTCGCCCGTGGCCGTCGCGAACCGGACGAAGAGCGTGCGGCCGGCCATGGCGGTCTTCAGACTCTTGAGCTTGGCGAAGCGCGACGTGCTCTCAAAGGCCTCCTTGATCGTCATGTACCCGTCCTCCGAGTCGATCCACATCTTCGCGTGGGCCGCCATCGTGATGGTGGGGAAGTCGATGGCGGGACCACGCGTCATGCCGTCGTTGGTGACGACGGTGGTGACGCCTCCACCAGCGTTGAGGGCCTTGCACCCGCGAGAGGTCGACGCGACGAGGGTGCCTTCAGCAGTGGCCATAGGGACAGGGTAGAGTTGACCGTCGACGTTGAGGGGACCGGCGATACCGAGAGGGATGGGGATGTAGCCGACGACGTTCTCGCAGCAGGCACCAAGGACGCGCGAGTAGTCGTAGTTCGTCAGCGGGATGTCTGAGGATTCGAGTGTCTGCGTCCTAGAAGCACGGGCTACATACAATCGATCCCAGTCAATTATCCACTCCGCAACCATAAAAAGAGAGCAAAGACTCACAAATCAACGCTCTCCGAACCCTAACCGCCCTCTCCAGCTCATCCATCCCAAGGACCTTCTCCAGCGCATACGCCGCGATCTTCCCATTCTGCGCGAGCAAAATCACCTCTTCATCATTCAACAGCGCCAACGAAGCGCTCAGCGGCCTCGGCCCATTCTCAAAGATATCAATGCACTCCTCGAGGGTCCGCACATTCTCCACGTCCACGTCTACCGGCGACTCGCTCTCCTCCTCTGACCCAGACGACCCAGAAGACGACCCAGACCCAGACAAGGAGAACGGCGGCGTTGGCTGCCCGATGGAGGCACGAGGGGCTTGCCAGAGAGCAGCGAGACGAGTGACGGTGAGACGGCGCGAGGCGGGTCTGGCAGCAGCCGCGAGCTTGCGATCGACGTCCTCGAGCGTGAAGGTGCCGATGTTCGACGGGGGGATGGCGGGCGACTGGGGCCGGGCGACGACGGGGGCGACGGTGACGGGCACCTCCACGGGCTTTGGGATCTCCCGCTTCAGCGAGATCGGGGACGTCTTCGCCCTCTCCTGCTGCTCAGGTGCCTTCCTGATCGTGTCCGAGCTGTTCGTCCTCGTACTCAACGCCCTGCCTTCTCCTTCCCTCGCTCCCACCCTCTCCTTCTCATGCAGCACCTCATCCTCACTCTCCTCCCCACCCACAACCTCAAACCTCACACCTCCCTTCACCCCAAACGCGCCCGCCCACACCCCGCCCGCACGTGTACCCACCACACCCGCCGCGATGCCCTTCAAAAGGTACCCATTGAGGGCAACACTCAGCGCGAGCGCCACGACGATCCACTTGCTGATGATCGGGTCGCCGACGAGGCGCGTCCACGCGGACATGAACGCGTCGACCATCTCAGACGTGCTCCGGGTGTGCGGGAGGTAGCTGGCGGTGATGGCGGGCTTGTGTGCGCGGAGCATGGAGGCGGGCAGGACGACGCGGATGTAGATGGGCGGAGAGACTTTGACGAGCATGTCTTTGTCTTGGGGTTGGGAGTCTTCGTCGGCGTAGGCGTCGTCGGTTGCGGAGGCGGGCGGGGCGAGGTCGGCGGCGGAGGCCTCGACGAGGGATTTGAGAACGGGGCGCAGGCCCGGGGCGGTGATGTCCACACGGCGGATGTTGTTCAGCGCCGTAGCAGACGAATGCGTGTGTTTGGAGGGTGTCAGCGGTGTGATAAAGTTCAAAATATGCAGCGTCAAGAACGAGGCGATCTGCTCGACCTATCAGCACCCCCATACCACCTTAACCTCAACTGACACTCACCAAAAGCAACTTCAACCTCGCCACCGGGTTCTCCACCACTGCCTTCTTCGCTCCTTCCTTGCCCTCCTTACCCTTCATACTCATACCCCCCGTCCTCTTCCTCCCCCCAGCCCCCGCCTTCCCGTATCCATTCACCCCATACCCATACACCCCATACCCGGGCAGCGCCGTGCCCTTCTCTCCCAGCAACACGCTCTTGATTCTCTGGCGCAAGGTCTTCGGTGCTGGGGGCCCGGGCGGGCGGGCCATGGCGCTGGTGGGGGTGAGGGTGCCGGTTGCGGAGGATGTGGTGGATGAGATGGAGTTGGAGCGCGAGCGGGTCATGGCGCGGCCGGTTTTGATGCGTCGGACCTGTGTAGTGTGGATGGTGGTGGATTGGGAAAGAAAGAGGAGAGGGAGAGCGAAAAGGAGAAAGGGATAGTCAGTAAGGTTGTCCTGCTCGCCGGAATCGAAATGGAAAATGCGAACACAATCGAAGAGAAGAAAATAGGTGCAACAAAGTCGAAGGCAAAAGTAAGAGGGCAAAAACGAAAGCAAACGAGTCGCAAAGTCAGAGCGAAGAGCAGAAAAGCAACGCAAAGTCAAAATCAGGATCTCATCCGCACCGGCGTGCTCACAACCGGTGCTTCCGTCCAGTCTCGACGCCCACCCAAAAGCGAGCGCGGTCTCCGGGGTACGCACACACCACCACCAAACCACTTCCAGCTCGAGGGACCAAACACCGGAGCATCCAACATCGCCTTTCCAGGTGCCCTAGCTGCATTCCACGAACCAGACTAGACCAACCCGATCCAGCCCGACCGTCATGCGTCATAGGCAGAACAAAAGGAATGGAGAGAGGAAAGGAAAGGCGCCCGAACCCTTCAACAAAAGGACGGAACCAAAACCAAAAATAAGGATAGGCCAGGAACAAAAGAGAGGGATTGGCATGAGGTCATAGGCTGGAAAGGAAAGAAAGGGAAGAAGGAAGGGTCTGGACCGGCCCGCGGGCCCGTGCGTTCCCCAAGCTCGAGGAGCGCTACTCCAGCGGCGGCCAGAAAACAGCGAAGTGGATAGTAGATGGCAAGATACGCTATCGTACCATAGCATCCCAGCTTGGTCTTCCCCCTGGAAAATGAAAGAAAGATGAAACATAAAACCAAAACCCCGAGTTAGGTCCCCAAAACACATCCCCAAAACATACAACACCGCTGAACCCGCCCGAGCTCGAACTCGAACTCGGGGCAGACCCGAGTCTCGCGTTCCTTGCTCTCTGCTCCCCGCCCGCGACCGGTGGAAGTTGCATCATCCATCACCCAGTATCAAGGGTCGGCGCGGAGACAAGATACGCAAAGAACGGAGGGGAAGAAAGAAAGGAAAAGAGAAGGGAAGCGTAACAGAGCAGAGTAAAAGAAAAGCCCGCAACGCGAAAAAAGACAAGTCCAGAGTAACTCCGGAGTCGGAGTCGGAGTTGGACTCTAACCGATGCGACGGTGCGACGCGACGAAACGCGACGCGAAAAAAGGAAGCGAAGAGAAGATAGCGGAACGAAGGGGACGGAACAGGAATCGAAGAGCGGGGGAAGAAGGAAGCGAAGAACTCATGAAAGGAAGCAGAAAACGAAGAGTGAAGGTTAATCCCGGGCCGGGTACCGAGCAAGCGACGAGTAGGGTGGAGTGTGAAGAGCCAACACGACAGAAAGCGTCAACGCCCATGACGCGACGCGAAAGAAAGGGTAACGAAAAACGCCGCCTCCATACGAGCCAAATGAACACGACACAAGTTAAAAATCGAAAACCTCGAAAAAAGAGACGAACACAAACAGAGAGCAGAAAACCACCAAAAAACCTCACCTCAACCATAACACCCAAAATCGCCGCCAAATATGTGCACAGCAACAGACAGTCCACCGCCAATATCAGCGCCGCGAGCGCGCATACCTCCCTCAGCCCGCCCACGCGGCTGTACGCGCCGACGGTGAGGACCGCGATCTCGAGGACGTAGTCCCGGATGATGGGCGCGTAGACGTGCGAGAGGGACTCGGTGATTATCTTTGGTGCGGGTTTGAGCTGGGATGTCGATGCTGGCGTTGGGGGTGGCGCTAGAGAGGTTGGGGAGGAAACCAAGGCGGAACCGGACAGCACAACCGGATACCCCGACTTCTCAACCACCGTGCGCACCTTCACCAGCCCCGGCGGCACGCCCAAATGTGGGTGCATGAACACCGCGCGTGCGAGCCTCAGCGGCTTGTCAAAGCCCACCGTACAAACAAGAAAAGGTAGGGCCTCGGTGAGCGCGACGGGGTCGATGGGGATCTTGAGGCCCATGGCGAGCGGGAGAGAGAGCAGGAGGGCGAGGAAGGAGGAGGAGAGGATGGCGAGGGGGAGGAAGAAGGAGGAGCCGAGCGCCCGGGAACGGGTGAGCAGGAGGTAGAAGGTGGTGTGCATGAGGATGTAGCCGGCGAGGATGAGCAGGATGTCGAGCGAGTCGGCTTTCTGGATTGTAGGAAAAATGGAGGACGATTAGTAAAGTAGAGCGTATAGGAAAGAGAGGTTAGTCGGCGAACCTTGGCCAAGTCCCAAAACCTCAACACAAGCGCCTTCATCGCATACGCGACCCACCTCCCATTCCTCATCTGCCCAATCGACACTTGGGCCCCTTCCCCACCTACACCCAATCCAGCGCCACTTTTCGCTTTATCCACCTCGAACCGGATCCCGCTGTCCGTGTCCACGAACACCGCCGGGCCAGACAACACCGCTGCGCCAGCCGAATCCGCGCGGTGCTCGCCGAGGAGCGCGCCGACCCATTCGTCCCGCGCGCCGCCCGCGCGGAAGGAGAGTGTGTGGACGAGGGCGCGGGGGGTTGTTGTGTGGGTTGTGAAGCATTCTTCTGCGTCTTGGACTTGGTTTTGGACATCTTTGGGTGGGGTGGAAGAAGGCTGGGGGTCGGGAGAGGCGGAAGCGGAGGAGGAAGGGGGCAAGGACGGCCGGTGGCAGAGGGAAGAGGCGTAGGTCCGCCCGCGCGCGGTGGGGAAGGAGGACGTGAGGTGCTCGGTGAGGTTGAGCGCTGCGTCGGCGAGCGGGCCTGAAGTGAAGGAGAGCGTTTGGAGGAGCTCGGGTGGGATCTGGAGGGAAGAGGAGGGAGGGTGTCAGTAACGGAAGGAGGAAAGCGACGAGGATCAAGAAGAGCGAATAGCCGGTAGGAAGCTGGGCGGAGACGGAGCCCGCCTCCCAAAAATTCACCAGCAAGCACAAAGAAACCGCAGACTCACCTCATTCTTCCCCTTACCCCCCTCCAGCCTAACCACGACCTGCTGCACCTCCACCGCCAGCGCCTTTCCCTTGCCTTTTCCCTTCACAGCGCTCGCCCACTTCCCCTCGCCCACCCCGACCCACTCGCCGAGGCGGTACAGCGCATGCGAGGGGCGCAGGGTCGGGGCAGCGTACACTGCGTGGGCGGGGTCGAGGAAGGCGGAGTGCTTGATCGCGGAGAGGATGTGGAAGTAGGCGAGCGTGCCGATGATGACGAAGAAGACGATGGTCTCGATGGGGGTGTAGGCTGCGTGCAGCGCGAAGGGGCGGAAGAGGGCGCGCATGGTGGATCGAGTAGGGAGGTGGTGTGGGGGTGGACGTGTGGTTGGGAGAGACGTGTAGTTGGTAGGGTGGAGTGCTGCGCGAGCACGGTATTAGAGTAAACTCGGCGGTCGTAGTCGTACGCAAACGAAAGTTGCTACGGCCTGTTGAGAGGTGCGTGTGGACCTAGCAGCAGTCGTCCAACGCAGGCGGGGGAGAGGCACAAGAAGAAATTCGTCGTACGATCTGGCCCAACCCACTTTTTAATCCCAACCAACACCACCGCTCCCTTTTCCGGCTGCGGGACCCCGGACACTGGCCCTCCGCAATGTTTTTGATGGCGTTGGCCAATCGGGTGTGGGGATCTAGTGATATCTAACAGGAAGGGTCGATGCCTATCTTACTGGGTACCTTACTGGGTGTGCTGCTACACTCTGGTCGATTAGTATACAGCGCTGGGACGGTGGAGGGATTTAAGGAATCCGGTGTTTGAGGGTGACGCTCGTCGCTCCACCGACTCTCGACGCACTCGCCAGTCCACTGTCGGGCCCTACCCACCAGCGCCAGTCGCACTCCATTACTGTTACATTGCTGTCGCGCCTGCATTCCCGGGCCACCTCCTCCATACACACACACCCCAACACACAGACATTCCAATAATAGCCCACCACTCAAGCCCTTCGAATTCTCGTTCGACTTGTCTGTCTTGACACTGTGCAACATCACACCACCACCGTCATCGCTATCTTAGGTGTCTATGTATAGACGCACCGTCAGGCGTTGGTGTTGACAATGGCAGGCAGGCACTCGGAATGTCGTCTGTCCATGTCATCTCCGGCTCCGCTGCTTCCAACCCCCGACATACCCAACTAACCCCCTCCGTTTGCAAGTTGCTATCGCAGGTTATCGATAACCAGTCCATAGTGCATACCACTAGTACTGGCATATCTACTCGCATATCTACTCCGAGTCTAACCCCGGCCGGCGATCCATGTCTTCTCTGCGTCACAGCGCTAATGTAATGGTGCGCCGTCCGTTGGAAGCAGCCAGAGTGCGCACTGCATACATTCCACCGTCCTTCGTCCCATCGTCCAGTCGTCCAGCATTCCGCCGTCCAACACGGCCAATCTACCGTCCAGTCTACGCATTTCGCCGTCCAGCATCCCACTTTCCAGCATCTCACCGTCCTTCGTCCCACCGCCCAGCTTCCTACCGTCCAACATGGCCATCCCACCGTCCAGCACGGCACCGGGCCCACCATAAGCACTCCTTTACCAGACTGCATTTCCCGCTCAAGCTAAGGTAAGGAGCCAAGATACCACGGTCCCACCCACCTCCGATGCTACCCCTCCGATGCTATCCCTCCGACGCTATCGATATCCCTCCTCCTCCGTCCTCCGTCCTCCGACACTCGTCTGCGCCGCACCTATAGCTAGCATGCCCACCAGCACCACACTCAGGCTACCCCCGATCCTTACTTAACCGCGCGCGCCTTACCCATCCACCCCAAAGGCCAAGGTTCCGACCGTTTCACTTTCGCCACATAATACATATGGTCCCACACTAATTTATTGTGTACTTATCTCCCTGCGCCCCGATTTTCTTTTCCTACGAAACTTGTTACCCCGCCCCGTACCCCGCGCCATGATCTAAACCCATGGACGACGTCGGCTACTCCCAACGCAACCCAACGCAAAACAAAAGCGAGGTGCTTGCGAAATCACCGGAGGTATCCCATTACTTACGCACTCTAGCATTATATATGTTAGGGCATGATGGAATCCGATTCAGAGTTGTCGTATTTTTACATGGGAGACAATTTTTTTTACTTATGGGAGAATTTGAACGGGCCACGACCCGACCGGGCTCCAAAGCTTCAAGCTTTCGAATTCTTACTCTGCGTCGTGCAAATGGCGATCACTACAAATGGATATGCTCGTACGTTACTGCCAGCTCTTATCTACTTACGTATGTGACTTCTCCGAATCTCTATTTCACTCGTTTACGTATGTTCGAGCTACTTAATATGGATGGCACCTTGTGTGATTATACGTGAGGAAAGTCGTGATAATGAACACATGATTGCGCGAGCGGTCTGCAAATTAGAAATTCAACGGATGGGCGCTAGATGCTCGATCCCGGACTGGGCCCTCTTAAGTACCTCGTACCTCGTACCATGGCAAACAGGAAACGAGGCATCCAGAATCCACAGCGCTAAACCACATGGATATCGATATCCATACTCTAAATAAGACCTAGGGCCGTCACTGAGTCCTCTGATATATCATTCTACGATTATTCCACCACTCAGAGCCATACTAGAGGTGGATAAGCACGAATGGTCCGGCGATCGTTTCAAAGGAAATATACGCTCTCAGAATCTGTATGTTAGGATACTAGTGACGGTGGTTCTTATCTTTCTACTTAGAGCTTCTCCAGACGCGGTTCCGGAGGGTATTTGTATGCATATTTGTCTAGTTATCGAGGTCGTCGCAGCGTTTTCGCGACTTGCATCGACGTTAGGGAAGACTGAAATAAGGTGTCGATACGACATGCCCGTTGAATTCCTATGCCTTGTTCGACGAATTCCAGTCGAGTCGAGTCCAAAGGCCAAAGGAAATTCAAGCCATCTTATCTATGCCCATATGCTAGGACTAATGTATTAGACTAGGCGGCCATAATCGTGATCACCAGCGCTTAGCTTACTTTATTCTAGCTCTGAATTCAAGGGTCCCGCAGTGCAACCCATTATCATAGTAACTCCATCGTCTGACAAGGTTCGAGAAGGGTTAAGCTTTTGAGCCCCTACTTAGACTTTGCTGTAACGAACAAAACACCAAAGCAGACGATAAGCCGGGCGAGCGCTAAATTTAAACATTCATTAATGTAACAAGTCGCGGGCACCTTTTGGCTCAACTCTGCGAGGGATCCAAATCCAATCGCCGGCCGGGATAAAGAAGGGAGGGAGCAAAATAGACGCTTTGTCAATGCGGGGTATACTCTAGGATGTATGGCCATGGGGTGCGTAATGCCCGCTCAATACCCATTGTGGGATGAGCTATGTTCGTTGTGGTTGAGAAAGGGATTATACTGAGAACTTATCGGCGCGCTAGTGCGAGAGCCTGCGGCCTACTTATTTATCAGCCCACTAACCTTGACCGATATTGCGAACCGTTCCGACGAGCCCTGACGAAAAGCGTGCAGGTCGAAAAAAAAAAAAAACTCTAACACTATGTATCCAATGGCCAACATGGTCGTTGGATTTCTATCCCTTGTTTGACGAATTCCCAGTCGAGTCGAGTCTAAAGATCAAAGGAAACTCAAGTCATCTTATCAATAACATGTACTAGGATTACGCTACTTAGGACTAGAAAGGCGTTTTGAATCACAATCATGATTACCGGCGCTAGCTCTGAAGCGGGTGCACCCCATAACTCCATCGTCTGACAAGGTTAGAGTTCAAGTCTCATGGTTTAGCCTTACTTAGACTCTGCTGCAACGAATAAAACACCAACGCAGACGATAAGCCGGACGAGCGCTAAAATTACATACTCTATTCATTGGTGTAACAAAGTCACCGGTACCTCGAGCTGGCGCTCTTAGGCGTGACCTTCGCGAGCGGGATCCTATCGTGGGGATAAAGAAGGGAGCAAAAGTAGGCGCTCTGCGGCGTACGGGTGAGTCCACACTCTGGTCGTTGGTTGCCCCACGACCTGCCCCACATCACGAACCTGGGGGGACGCTCGACGACTGAGGATCGAGGGTGAAAGATATGGCCTCTCCGGCGCTAAAAATGATATACCAATTGCAAGTCAAGGTGAGCGTCGCGCCGCAATGCTGCACGTCGAACATACCTACCATCGCCCTCTAGATCCTTGGTTAATTAATCCTTCTTGCTAAAGTTCATGGGTGTTAGAGTACATAACGGCAACAGCAGCTAGCCAACGCTGCATCACGAACGAACAGACTCAGATACGTAAGACCGAGGCTGGGCACTTACATTTAACGGTAATCTGCCCGCCCCTTCATTTACCGGGGATGAAATGAAAGGAAATGCCCAGGTACATAGAATATAAATAGGCGCTCAGGCCCTGCGGGGTACGCGATCGACCCATCTCGAGCTTGAGTCGATCGCTCAAGTTCCACCACAACCCTGTATTCAAGTACTCCAGGTAATTGCGGGGTGAGATCCCTTGGATGTGTTTTATTCAAAGGAGGCACGACTCATATCGTAGGAGGAAACGTCGTCGAGAAAAGAGTGACTGAGTTGAGATGAGATGCAGATGAGATTGTCCTAGAGATCATGAACGAAATTAGCGAGGTCAGAATTAGCCAAGAGGAGCTGAAAGACTGGCAGTAAGTGCGAATCGGACGTACCACCAACCTTGGAACTTGGATGTCTACCTTCTGTCGAGAACCTGATATCGTATTCACTGTTGTTGGATGGCTCAGGGGAATATCGTACGAGTAATTCCAATAGCGCCAAGTCGAATAACCACAACCGTTGAGCTGGAAGATAAGGATAAATCGAAGGTCGGCGCTAAACTTACTACGACCGGCTACTCGAATACATAACCCCTTGCCGAAGAGCTCGCCTGACCCCGAGACAGAGATAAGAAATATGTAGTAATGTACCTACTGCCGTCCCTGCGGGGTGAGCCAGATAAACGGCTTCTGGAGAATCCCTACTTACATACTTAACTTCAGAACGGCATCAGATATCTCAGGAATGAGAAGGCCGTCCATGTAACAGATTAGTGAAGCATCTATTACTCAGAGCACTCGTATGTCGGTCATTGAAGAAAGCTCGTTTGCCTTGGATCTCATTGTCGCTATATATAATATTACCTGCTCTCGTTTGGTAGCGTAGATTAAATAGTAAGTACGGAACGGCAGATAATATCAATACCATACCTCCGTTCATAGCGCTCGGGCAGAGTAGTGACATCTGTCAGATAAGAAAGACGTCCAAAATCGCGGGGGGTCGCCAGTGATCTCGAGCTCGATTCTCAATCTCCTCGGAGCTATGTATCCTCAACGACCGCGTACCCAGCAATTGTTCACCTTCATATCAGCTCCCACATTTACCCCAGGCTTCCTGGGAGCTTAATTCACAAAAGAAGCATTCGGTGTTGAAACGTTCATAAGCTCACAAACCAATTAAGTAATAATTCCAATGACCCATGGATCCTACCCGGCTCTGATGCGCCCACCATCCCTACACGTGTACTTTGAGGACGTACATTCGGATAACCGCTACATACTGCAGGGGTGCGTAGATACTCGAGAGACTTCTGTCACTTCCAGAATGAGGTTTGATCAGAAGCTGAAAGCGCCCGAACGACGCGGCACGCCATCTCATGCACGCCAAGCGCGAATCGCGAATCGCGATTAGAAGTCTTGGAGTAAATCCATCCGCTCCGCTTCATGAAGGAAGCCCAAGGCGTGCGCCACACAGTCACTCAAGTGGAGCGACGCCGCCCGTCGGCTATGGTGGGTCAAGAAGGAGGAGGACGCGCCGCGGGCGGCGTACCATGCGGTTCCTCTGTCTTGTTCCTTCGTCACGGATTCACAGCGTCGCGCAATTCCAGTTGCAAGCGAGGCTGGCAAAGTCAACCATTGCTATTTACCTGAGGTCGCTTTCACACGGCACCCGGTCCGACCTTGTGTGCAGTGGCTGCGTCTCAAGGCGCGTCGTGCTGTCGCGAAGCTCGACTGGAATCAAGAGATTAATCGATTACACGCTAAACGTCAGATAGACGATAAGCGATGCGCCCCTCTGAATTTAATGGAGAATGAAAGGGTATACCCATCACTTTACCCCAGTCCTATAAATATTTGTGATACCGGACGGACAAAATAGATTGTGCCATCCCACGCGTCTATCGTTTTTACTTACCTGAAGATCCTCCCTCTTCTCCTTCTTGGGAGAAGATCTGGGTAGTCTATTTAGACAGTGTCCCACGCGAACAATGGAAGCAGGAGTCACACTCGGCAGTTTGTGCCTGGTAGCCTTCAAAGTTCTCGGTCAAGGAGATGGACGGGCGTCCGTCAGGACGAGATGACACGCCTGAAGTCGGAAGGAGAACGAAGAGGTCATCGACTCCGAGGCCATGTCCCTTATTCACACCTAGAGTAGAGAGTCCACGAAACCGTCGCCTCGAACTGCGACTGATTCTCGCCGTAGATGCCCACTCTTCCTCTACGAATCCAGTATGTGGGCTCACGCCCGCCTTTCGGAATTTAAATATTGAGTATGCCTCATTCTCCATCCCCGTCGTCAACCGTCTCAATCTTTGCGTTCTCAACATCTTGAGAGCGTTGACAGATATCAGAAACCCCAGGTTAATCCCCGTCTGCATAGTTCGCTCGCAGGCTGTGCATGCCTCGAAGCCATGGTCGGAAAGGTGCCGGGGTCTCCAGCTTACCCCATGTATTCTCTAACACCAGTTTTCTAGCAGGACTTGCGGTATTTGCACGATTCCGTCATTACCGCCATGCGCGACGGTAGCTGCGACCTGTACATCAACTCGAACCAAGAACACTGATCGCGGATCCTCTCTTCCTCTCGACTTGTACAGGCAGTGCACAACGGTACGCCTCCTGCTGAAGACTCTCCATTAGCAACGCCTTATGGCTCTCGAGTCACTAGACACTCTGCCTCCACATTCTCCCTTCTATTCCGTCGCAAGCTTCGTGCAAGAGAAGACACAACGGCCCTCCGATGTCGGTGATCCGTCGGTGATGCGATCCTCTCGCCTCTCACCTTTCGTGTTGCATCTTGTCAACGCGTATAAATTACCCTGGTCCCTCCCCGGGGTCCTCGCAGTGTAAGAAAATGTAAATGTCCGGATGGAAAGTAAAGGGAAGATAAGATTATCGTGAATGGGTATCTATGAGCCGGAGGGAATGGGCTCTTCCATGACGAACAGGGCAAAGCAGGGAGTAATGGGAGGAACCGGCCCGGTCGTCCGTTTGTGGGCGCCCATGGTGCAACAGGCCTAAACACCGCTACTTTTGTACAACGCAAATAGCGTGACCAAAAAAGGTCCTTTTTCTTATCCCTTTGGTAGAAACGCTCCTTTCGAGGAAGGGAACAAAATGTCCAAACCGATTTTGATTTGGACCGAAACTGACGGAGTTATATTTTTTGCATGTTCGGAAATTGGCCAGCTGACATAATCGTTACCCAATATGGTAACCTTACAATCTAATCTAATCTTCCTGTGCTCCCATTCGCTCGGAAACATGCCGGTGAGAAGCAAACTTGGTCGAACTGAATGCTTTGAGGGCCTGAGCCTCTTTGACGTCGAGGCCATTCCGACTCAAATATGTCTCGATCCATCTCATTATGCCATTTTGCCACTTGCGTATGAGGATTACATCAACAGACGCAAGGGCAAGGGCCCGGAATCGGATGTGTCTTCCCACTATTATTGGTGTCGAGATCGTGATTGACACCTCCATTTTCGTGGGCAGCCCATGGTGTAAGAAATGCCTCCTTTACCTATGATTTTTGCGCTCCACATCCAGTGTAATTAATGAATATTTTGGCATACAGAGTGCATACAGATAACATGTCTAAAAAAAAAATCGGCCACCAAATTGGCCACTGTCCAAAAGTAGCGGTGTTTACGCCTGTTGCACCATAGATGTCCAGCGATTGCATGCGTGTGCCTGGAGTGGAGTACGATGTAAATAGGGACGAAAGCGGAGTCTCCCGCAACGTCTCATCACCCCACGAGTACCTTTGCTCTACGCTTGATATGGGGATCCCCGTGCAGCAGGGCTGCGCTAGCCCAGCCCGCCTCGTGGCTTGGGTATACCAGATTCCTACACCCCTAGCCCATGCTAGCCAGCGCCCCTCGTTCCCGCACGCCAGATAGATCCCCGAGGAGCGCAAGGATGCGAAATGGGCTTAGCGAAGCCACCCGTGACCGCCGTGTGCAGGGAACAGGCGCATCGTGGATCAGCACGTTCTCTCGTTCGAATATACTTACGCGGGTAGGCTAATCCCAAACAGCACTACCCGACTGAATGGAGGGCGTATATGGCCATTGTGGGTGCCCTGTCGCCGGTGGGTCTCCTGGCACCGTTTAATGTGGACTTTGGGATGAGGTCATGGGTTGTGCGGATAGTGGGATAGAGTCTAGGGCGCCTACATAGATACGCACTCTTTTCTTGTATTGATCGTTAGCCCTGGGATGCTAGAATGGGCTGAGGATGGGTAATCGACCAAGATGCGACAAGCCACAAACTTTGTTGTGTTCTATGGGACTTGCAGCTGGAACGAGGTCATATTTTCGAAGCTGCATAATCATACCATTGACTCACGAAAAATGGTACCCGTCAGATTTGGTGGAAAACACAACATCGAGCTCTTTCCAATAGTATTGACGTTGTTTGCAAGAGACAAAGCTGGGCTCAGCCGAGTTTGATTAATAACGTCAGTGTCCCACACCCTTGACTATTTTTTAAATGAAATAAAGTAGAATATAAGTAATAGATAAATAGGAAAGAAAATATACAGCAATGGGTACTATGAGGCCAGTCTTTGACTTTTTCACTTCCGAAACGAGCCTTACTTAATGCAATCGATCCCTGAAAGCCAAATGCGTCGCCAACTTTGAGCCGATAGCAGGCCGCCGCTGTGCACCCAGCAAATCCTGCGAACGTCTCTTAGTCTCAATCCGCGGCTGGAAATGGGAAGTGGCGCATCTCATCGAAGGTTTAATTATCCCTTACATCTCGACTGCAGGACCCTAGCATGGATTTACGATTCATATGTAAGTTTAGCGCCCTGTTATGTAAGCACGATCAGCAGTGCGCCACACGAATGACCATGGTTTCTAGAGGTACCTCCTTCTGTTGGGGTTGAGTGTACAACATATATAGAGGTCTACCAAAATGAACTTACTGTCTCTTTATTTTTCTATCCTCAGGGAGGAAGTATTACCCAGTTTACCAGTTTATCGGCCAGCAAAGGCGATCTCCTAACCTCTTCTCACGCGGATACCTCCAGACATTTAATAAGGAGAGTAACCAACGCCATTATTCATGGCATTAGAGTCTTTGGTGCGTGATTAGTCAGAGATGACACCGCTTGATCATAAATTGATAGAGTGCATACCCATTCAGCACATTGGTGTGTAAGCAAGCACAGGAAAGGTTGGATTGAGATGAGTATAAAGGGATTTGCGACCGCCAGCTTCTAACCTATCAGAGCTCCGAGCACCCCAGCATCCAAAGCGCACAATGACTACCCTTATCACCGGTGGAACTGGAAAGACCGCGATCAAGCTCGCCAGACTCATCCACGCCGCCGGTCACCCCGTCTTGCTCACCTCTCGCAAGGGCGTCGCTCCCAATCCGTTCAAAGCCGTTACCTTCGACTGGACTGACCTAACGACATTCGAGAACCCGTTCAAAGCCGATCCTAACATCGACAGAATATACCTCATCGCACCTATCGTCCTTGATGTTTTTCCTGTCGTGAAACCATTCATCGACCTCGCGATTTCGAAGGGCGTGAAGAGATTCGTACTACTTAGCGCGAGCCAGTTTAACAAGGGAGGTGTCTACGTCGGAAAAGTCCACGAGTACCTCGTCGAACGCGGCATTGATTATACTGTCCTTCGCCCGACTTGGTTTATCGGTATGTGCTCTTAGGCACTTCAGACAGAAATATGCTGACGACGGGGCACAGAGAACTTCGGCGACTTTCATGCCCAGAACATTCGCGAGAACGATGAGATACTCTCTGTTACCAAGGACGGTCGTATTCGGCTTGTTGGAGCGGACGACATCGCGAAAGCTGCTTACGATGCCTTGTTTACCACCAAGAGTCCCAACACAGACTACTTCCTCATCGGACCAGAGTTGTATTCCTACACAGAGGTATGTTCTGATTTGTCGTTCGCGTTCAACGTTCATGTGACTCTCGCAGGCTGCTGCTCTTCTGAGCGAGATTCTGGGAAGGAAGATCAACCACAGGCACTTGACGAATGAGGAGGAGATAGCCACCTTCCAGCAGTTCGGAATATCACCAGAATACGCAACTATGCTGAACCATGCAGAGTCTCTGATCGCCGAAGGGGTTGAAGAGGCGTTGGTTGGGAACAGCAAGGCGATCACGGGGACCCATAAGTTGCGGGACTATTTGCTAGCGAATAAGCAGCTTTGGATCACGGATAAATAGATAAATAGCTCCTAGGCAATACGCATATTGAAGGTTTAACCTTGGAGTAACAGTTCAATTATGTCTGGGCATAAGAATCCGATATTTGGAGAAAACGCACTTCGAGCTCTCGCACCGCAACCGAATCGTGACAGGAAGGTGTGGGTGTGCAAAACGACCTACATCCACTGTGGCTGATAAAAGCACGCCTCCTCCCCCTCTAGAATGACACCCCGTCGATCGTAATCGAACTTAAACGAGAGATGCACGCCATCCGGCCATTCTCGCATGACAGAGGAAAGGGCCTTGAACTCTCTGTCCTGAATCCATCGCCATCAAGGTCTCCGCATCGAAATCAATAGGCATGAGGCCACACTGCCCAATAGAACGATGAAATGCTCAACATGTCGAAGACGAGTGTTCACCACGCGCGCGAGGGCCGCTTCGATCGAAGCGTAATTGTAGTGGTGTAGGCGTCTCGGGTACGACAAGTCCCGCGGATAAACAATGAAGTCAAGACATAGCGCTTTTAAAGTCGGCGAGGGATCCTCCGGGGTGTCAAGGATCCGAATGGCAGCGCACTCGCTGGGGGCTTAAAAGTAATCGCGGGTGCATCGCGCTCTGTGGACGACTTTGAGACATCGCAAGTTGGGTATTTGAGTCCAGAGGAGAGTTTCGACAGGGTTTCCGCAAACTACAAAAGACTTTGGGATAAAGTTTGGCGTATAAAGGCTGGGAAATTGACTTACAAGACCCACTCAATTCGACTACGAGCATGTCAAGCACTGGGGCACATGATAGTATAGACATCGTCTGGGTAATATCCCCGTCCTGGGATAGGTTTGTCTTTAGTCCTTTAAGCTCGGAAAAAAGCTATTGGGTTGATCTAGGGTCATTTTCTGATCGAAGTAAATCCAAGATTGGGGCTGAATAGTCGGTGGAGATGGATTCGAGCTGGATAGGCTCCTGGTTGAAGCCTGGCACGGCCTATTTCCAAGAAGGTAGCTGAGATATTCCTATATGCTTGATTTTCATTCCGCGGAAGATATTGAGGGGCAACTTATCGATGGACCCGAGTTGTGATGCTGTCATCTGGGAGTTCTGGCACAGATTAAAGAAGGCGCTCTCGAAGTCCTCGCCCACTTTCCCCCAATCCATCTCGGAGCCACCGCCAATGATCAATGAAAGCCTTCCATCTCTGGTGCGGAATAGCATTGCCGGTAATGTGTCACCTGCGAAGAACTCGCCGAAGGAATATCCCCAGGACCTTGACGCGAAAAACCCGAATGTGGGACGCGATACCAGTGGTCTCTGAGTGGGGATCTGCACCGATAAGGTTTCGAAGAGCTGAAAGCCTCTCTTGGACGAGTGCTCGTTGAGTAGTGCTAATACGGAAAGTTACCGATGCGAAAAGATGTTTATGGGAAGACCTGCAAAGATAGCGGTTCAGCAACGCTGTTGATGCCAGGCCATTCCGACGTTCATGATTGTTAGGGAGCTCTGCGATTTTGTAGATAACGCGGTCAATGAGCTCCAGTGGCAGTGGGGGCACTGGTTAAGGGGAATTAGACATGATAGAGGAGATGTAGACCAGTCGGAACTCGATACTCCGGAGTTGCACAGATTGTCCCACGGGCCGGGTTTTCCCGGACGCCCGGTTATGTAATCTTTTGATCAAGGTTCTCACCCATGCTCGCTTCGTTCCGATGCTAAATGGTCCTCCCAATGCTCACAGATATCTGGCTTTCATATCGCGTGGCTGTTGCGTCCTATGCAAGTCCTACGGCCATAAACCATTTCCCAAGCTTACTCAACTCAATACCAACTCAATACTCCTTTCATCATCAGGAAGCTCTCTTGCGATGCTCTATTAATATGCAATGGGGGCTTCTGGCCGCATTCTTTCTGCCTTCTTCTGACCTCTTTCGTTAAGCGAGTCACCATGAGACCCCTCGATCGGCCTTACTGCGTAACATACTCTGACGAATCCTCACACTTCCGCAACTGTGGCTGAGAAAGCATCACGAACGAAGCGTCAATAAAACGCCTTATTGTCCTACGGGAGGAGCCCCATAACCCGCCAAGTCCCAATAACAATCACCCACTGCTATGACAGAACTGCCTTTCCGAATTGCCGTCCCCGATGACAGTATCAACATCTTGAAGAAAAAGTTGGCGTTAACCGTCTTTCCTGACGAACTCGAAGGCGCAGGCTTTGACTACGGTGTGCCACTTGGAGACCTTCAGCATCTCGTAGCGCGATGGAAGGACGGCTATGACTGGAGGAAATACGAGGCCCAGCTCAACGACGAGCTCCCGCAGTTCACGAGAAACATCGAAGTCGAAGGGTTTGGAGCGCTGAACATACACTACGTTCACAAGAAGAGTCAGGTCGTCGACGCCATTCCTCTGCTCTTCGTTCATGGATGTAAGTGGATCATCAGGTTAAATGCTTCGAAAGCAGGGATTAATCCTTTCGTCCAGGGCCAGGCAGCTTCTTTGAAGTGAGGAAGATTCTTCCGCTCCTAGTGGAGGCCGCTCCAGATTACCCAAGCTTCCATGTCGTCGCCCTCAGTCTGCCCGGTTTTGGTTTCTCTGCAGCCCCGACCAAGCCAGGCTTCGCACTCGACCAGTATGCTGAGGTACGCCTATTCGTTGAACCTGCCGTGCTACGTGCTCACCATCCTCCAGCTCGGCAATAAATTGATGTTGGCTCTAGGGTATAACGAATATGGTCAGTGGAGTAATTGTCATTTCCTAACACTTGGGTGTTGATTTCGGACGCAGTGACGCAAGGAGGAGACTGGGGATATACCGTACGTTCAGACAGTCATGATATTTGCCTGTGCTGGATTCAAACTGAACCGCGATTCATAGATCACGAGGAAGATGGCACAAGTCTATGGCCACAAGCACAGCAAAGCATGGCACACGAATATGCAAATGTGCGTCGTGTTCTCGTCAGTCTCAGACGGTCACGAAGCGTGATCCTTACTCTTTCTATCAAAGGGCTTCCCCTCCCCATCCTATTCGTCAGCCTTTACTCTTCCTGTACGATAAACTTTTTGGCCACACCGCAGCGGAGAAAGAAGGCCTGAGGAGATTGCAGCAGTTTCGCGAGAAAGGAAGCGGCTACTTCGTGGAACAGTCGACACAACCCCAGACCCTCGGCTACAGTCTTGCGGATTCGCCTTCTGGATTGTTGGCTTGGATATATGAGAAACTTGTGGTTTGGAGCGATGATTATCCGTGGGACGACGATGAAGGTATGGGAATCTCTGAATGTTACTTGTATGAGGAACTGACCACGGTGCCATCGCCGTCGCAGTCCTTACGTGGATCTCTATCTACTGGTTCTCGCGCGCTGGCCCCACAGCCTCTCTTCGAATCTATTATGAAATGAACAAAAGTGGTGCAAATCCGCTTGCGCCTTCAAGCATAGTCTCGACGACAATCCCTATGGGTTATTCCTACTTTCCGAAAGAGGGTGCCGTATGGCCGAGGAGGTAATGTCATTTCCAGTAGTGCGGGTATCGTTCAAACAAGGTGTTGAACTGGCCTTTTCTTTTTTTCAGGTGGTTGAAGGCACCGAATCTCGTGTTCGAATCGGAACATGAGAGCGGCGGTCATTTCGCCGCGCACGAGAAGCCGAAGGAATTAGTTGATGACATTCGGAAGATGTTCGGGAAGGGTGGTCCTGCTTTCGGGGTTGTGCCCGGGAAGACAGGATATGCCTGAATTTTTTTTGCTTCATTACCATGGCCTGAAGGATCTGTCCTCTGTCGGCTCTTCACTATCGTCCACTTGATAAAGCACTGTTCACCAAGCCAATAGTACGTCTCAAGGCCTATTGTGTCGTCCGAGTCAATCATTGAGAATGGGAGAAATGTCTTGTGAGATTGCGTTTATAAATCGTTCGTCATTTCACTGTGAGCGCCGATGGACAGGTAACTATTGTGTTCTACCTCCGCTGTATCTACAAGTATATTGCTTCTGGAATTCCTGGCTCCTAGTTGGTCCAGAGGTTCTTGTTCGCCGCGAACAACTGACGAAGCATGCATGTGCACTCACTGGCACCTAAGTAGGCCCAACTACCCGCTTCTCCTCAGGGCCGTAAGCGATCATCGCACTTATTTCACTTAACATCTCGGAGTGCTCTTGCGAAGTCCTCCTCGTCCATGAGTTGTTTGTGCGTAATCTTTTGCCCAATGACCTCGGTCAGAATCTCAGCTGCCCGTGAGGTCCTAGCTGTTGGATTCTGGATTCGGAGCAAATGGGAATGTTGCTTACTAGATCGTACGAGAGCGATTACAGGAAAGCCACTGAAAAGATCGAGGAAGACTTCCTTGAGTCAGAGCCCTGGAGCCTCCAGTTAAGTTCCACTTTTGCCATGTCTTCGATAAAGAGGCCCATGAGCTCTTCAAGGACTGCCGACGAGGTGAAGGATGATGGTGGCGGGGTCTGCCAAATGCAAGAAAGTCTAGAAGGGAAGTGTTCAAGCTCGACTCCAACGAGAGCTAGAAGCAAATATGCATCCTTCTGTCCGCGACACTGCATCTCGATGACACTGCAAATGCGAGTGTCCTACTAGGCGCCGGATGGTCGGCGCTTAGGCTCAGAAGCTGTGCATGTTTATTTGCTCAGGTTTCTTTTTGGTAGCGACGGCAATTTCCTCTCAGTCTTGCCTTCAACCAACCCCGATGAACCTTGGCTCAAAGAACAATCCCTACAACGGAGACGACTCCGATGAAGAGGACGAAGATTTTGTCCCTCCTGATGACCAAGGTACTCTCTTTTCTGGAGCGCCTTAGTTGCAAGGATCTAACAACCATGTGCCAGACGACAGTGATTCCGAACATTCTGGAGATGAAGCGAAGCAGAACAACACTGTAGCCCCTGTGAACGACCCCGAGGAAGAAAAGAAAAGGTATTCACCTCGCGTTCAGCGAAAGGCACCTTGCATTGATGAAACAGTTCGCGATAGACGAGACGCTCTGTGGGCTAGCTTCCAAGCCTCCGTTGCAACTCCAGCGAAATTACAAGACGCGCCAGTGCAGGAGAAATTAGTGAAAGTCGTAAAGAGGTTCAGATTTGCGGGGGAAGAGGTCGTGTAAGTCTGTCCAATCTTGTTTGCTACTGCTCTCATACATTCATCCTGTAGCGAAGTCGTCGAGGTCCCCGAAGATTCCGCAGACGCGAAGTGGCCCTTGTGGAAGGATCCCAATGCTGAATCAACCGACTCGCCCGCGCCAGAACTCCCAACTGAGGACCCGGTACCTGAAGCCGAAACTCCAACCCAACCCACACTAAACCCTGCCCCATCTTTCTCTACGCCCACACCGTCTACATCCTCCTCCGCACCAGTCCCAAAGCCACCAGCCAAACGTCCAGGACCTCGGAAGCCCAAAACCGTTCTTGCTCCTGTACCAGGACCATCCAAGGCAAAAAAGTTGACAACGCTGGACAAGTCGGCGATGGATTGGCGATCGCACCTGCAGGAGGCCGGATCCTCGGCTCAGGAGGAGCTCGAAGCCAACAGAAGGGCTGGTGGTTATCTAGAGAAGGTGGAGTTCCTGAAACGTGTTGAAGAACGGAAGGAGGACCAGCTGGAGGCTGCAAAGAGAAATAAGCGTCGAAAATTATAGGTATGTTGTTGCCGTACTCTCTTTCGGGTCGGTCCGTGACTGACTCGGCATGCTGTTCACTAGCTCCTTCAGCTGGTATTGTTAGACTTACGTCGATTCCTATGTTCTCCGTTGATGTGACAGTTCACAATTTGAGGTGAATTGTTTGTGCCGTACACGATGAGCTGTTGATGTTCATGCTATAATCCATAAGGCTTCTCAGCCTTGATCCAGAATTTTTCATGTTCCCTGAAGGCGCCACGGAAGGGGCGTGCATATTGATTTGGCCTCGACGAGGCCCACCATCGTCGCATCCTCCTTCAGCACAAAGCAAGGTCCTTGAGGACTGCCAACTTCAGATTCACCTTAACCGCCGTCGCTGTGCATGATGCTGCTGAGGCTTGTACAGAAGGCATAAAGTGGAGTCATCCAGAAGAGCACGTACATCTGAGGGCTCGCCCTGGCTGAGCTCCTCATCTCACTGACTGGCCGCCGTCCTGTTCTCCAGCTCCACGACCGCCAGTCAACCCCCCATGGGTCAGAAGCTGTCGCCAACGAAAGGAGGACCAGTGGCTCACCTGCGCCTGCATTCACGCGTGTCTCTTCGGCTTACATGACGTTCAGGTTTCTCCTTGTTTCCCAATTTCTTGAATACGACATGATATATCACATAACGAGGTAAATTGTCAAATTTTGTGCAACATTTCGTCGATCTTAATAGTGTAAATACAGGAGGTTTCTAAGCCTTGATCCAGAGTTGCTTGTTCGCCTCGAAGAAGTCTCTCAACTTGATTTTACCCGTGATGCTCTTGCTGTTGCCTACCAAAGCTGCATCGACATCGTCAGCGAGCCTCGCTTCGATGGTGTTCAGCAGGACAGCATAGTCCTCCTTCAGTCCGTTAGCTTGGAATATTGCCCGCTCTTCTTCATTCGTTACCCTCTTGTGGGTGATCTTCCTGCCCAGGACCTCGCTCAAGAGTGCAGCCGCCTGTGGCGGCGCGTCAGTATAATTCTTCCATTATTATTCGCCACCATACCTGGTCGTACGAAAACAACTCCGGACCGATGACGAAACGTTCGTCGTTGGAACTCTGCTCCGCCGTCAAAACATCAAATGCAACTTTTGCGATATCGTCGGCGGCCACAAAGGGAATGCGACCATCTTTGACAACGGTGATGACCTCGTTGTCCTCGCGGATGCTCTTGTAAAAGAAAGTGCCGAAATTTTCTGTTCATCGCCGTCAGGACTCGACACCGAGGCCTAGATTGCGGCTGCAACGTACCCATGAACCAGGTTGGGCGGAGGACATCATAGTCGACACCACGTTGTGCGAGGTACTCGTACACTTTGCCCACGAAGGGGTCTCCCTTCCCAATACCCGTCCCGCATAGCAGCACGAACCGCTTTGCGCCCTTTACGATGGCAAGCTCGATAAATGGCTTCATCACCGGCAAGACATCCATGATGAGTGGAGCGATGAGGTAGATCTTGTCGACGTTGGCGAGCCTGAACGGATTCTCGAAAGTCGACGCGTCGGTCCAGTCGAACTGGACGGCTTTGAAGGGCTCGGGGGCGACTCCCTTGCGAGTGGCGATCAAGAAGGGCACGTTGGCGTCATGAAGGAGCTGAGCCAGTTTCGCGCCAGTCTGGCCCGTTCCGCCTGTGATGAGGATGGTCATGGTGGTCGAGTTGGTTGGTTGGTACTGGGCTCTAACCCAAACGATGCGAGAGTACTTATACCTCAACTATGTCTCAAGCGTAACGCCCGTGTCTTTGAGCCGTGTCTATCCCGGATGACGATTTCATCGGCTTTTCAGTATGACTAAAAGCTATTCGACGTTGATGCCATAAATCAAGCTCACTGAAGTGACTCACATCGAAGCCGAAGCAAGGATATGGGAAGATGACGTACCCGCCACTCCATATGATGTTATCAACTAATGCTCAACCAAAGTGCGAGTATATTGCTGCAAGAGCCACCTAACGTCCTGTCAGGCAATTTGCACATACAGATGCCCTCCGAAAAAACCCGTGGGTCAGAGTTTTTTTCTCTTAAGATCCGCTCATGTCGGCGACAGGAAGATTCGATGAAGTTATACATTCAAGTTCTCTTGTTCATTGTCCGGACGTACACGAGTGTTTGGTATTTATGCTGCCCTCTTTGCCTACTGCTTGATCCAGATCTGCTTGTTCGCCTCGATGAACTGCCTCAAGGTGTGGGTTCCGGTGATCGTCTTGTTGGTTCTAACAAAGGCCTCCTCTGATCCTTTGGTGACCAAACCTTCCCCGGCGGTCAACACGGAGGCGTAATCTTTGGACAATCCGAACGATTGGTAAATGGCTAACTCCTCTTCTTCAGTCAGGTGCTTGTGAGCGATCTTCCTTCCCAGAATTTCCGTGAAGAGAGCAGCTGCCTAGAAGAGTTACATCTCTGACGTGAGCTGGATCCGCTTCTTCCGAACGACAAAAGGTGCTTACCTCGTCATACGTATACAGCTCGGGTCCCACAAGATAATAATCCGCATTGGAGCTCTTCTCGGCATACAGGGCATCGAATGCTGCTTTAGCGATGTCGTCCGCTTCAATGAGAGGAATCTTCCCGTTCTTCGTGGCGGAGAAGATTTCGTTGTTCTACTTGATGCTGTGGACGAACAGAGTGCCGAAGTTCTCTATTGAAAAGAAAGAGGTCAAATGTATCCGACCGGATTTCTCACAGGCACGCACCGATAAACCAGGTTGGACGAAGGACGGTGTACTCGGCCCCGAGACTCGCGATGTACTCGTGCAACTTGCCAAGACCGGGACCTCCAGGCTCGCTCAAGGTCGCGGTAAGGAGGACGAACCTCTTGACGCCCTTCGAGAGGGCGAGCTTGATGGACGGCTGGACGATTGGAAGCGAGTCGAGGTAGCCCGCCGGTGCAATGAGATAGATCCTATCGATCTTTGGGTCGGCCTTGAAGGGGTTCTCGAAAGTCGATGAGTCGGTCCAGTCGAACTTCACTCCCTTGAAAGGCTCTGGGGCCGTCCCGGAGCGCGATGCCACCAAAAACGGATGGCCAGCGGCGTGGATGAGTTTGGCGAGCCTGCCCCCAGTCTTGCTGGTGCCGCTAGACGGCAGCGGTGAATCTGACGCTCTTGCATACCACTTATGAGAGTATTGGTATGCTTTTGAACATGGGCCGACTTGTTAAGCCTCCATTCCCTGAATCGGGTAGCCGGGTGCCACGGGCCGAAGGGTGGATTACCGCAAGATGAAAGCGACGGCGACAGCTGGTCTCAGACTTCCGGGCGTTACTGGTAGATGTATTGATATGTAGAGGCTGCTTACCGTCAAGTAATGAATTATTTTTTGTTGAATTGGTGTGAACAACAAACCGTCGTAGGAGCGCAATGATGACGGCGGTAACTCTGAAGCTCTCGTGTCTCACCCGCGGCACGGTGGTTCCATGTAGCGACGTGAAGTTTCTGGGTGTATGACTGGAGTAGCTTGAGGGTACACGGAAAGGGGGCTTTATTTCGTCAATGTCGAGCAGGGACAGAGGTTAGGAGCTATGGTTAAATCCTGAACGTTGAGATCTCGTTCATCAGTTACGTCAACTGGGTGGTTGATGCCAATACTGGCAGACACGTACAAACAACGTTGCCACCGCATCATTCCTGCTCTCTCCTTCCCTGCTTCGCCTGTATACACAACATGTTCGTGACCCGTCGTCTCCACTTCAGGCCCAACCTTCAGCTTCAACTACGATGGCCAACGTCATAAGATCTGCTAAGTCTGGCAGCGACTGGTCAGATAACGAGCTTCTTGCTTTCAATATTCGAGTAATCGACGCTGGGGTCGCGGCGTTCTTCAATACCCCTGAGCTCCCTCCATCAACGGTATCTGCAACAATCCTCGCCAATGTTGACAAGCCGGACGGGCCTTTGATCAAGCACGACCGTCTATTCTTTCAGTATATGAAGATGGTAGAGAATCCGCGCTCTTCTGAATCTCGCGTTGATGACTTTGCTGCATTCCTTTTGCATATCATGAACTACGATGATCAAGATCGCGTTATCTGCCAAAGGACAGAGATCTCCTTTCCCATGGCTGGGCAGCGCGTCGATGCGAAAACTGACGTGTGCCTGATGAACGATCTCGAACTTCTCCTTCTTGTCCAAGAGGACAAGGTGAGACATCTAATTAGTCCATCTCCGGGGCTGACCAGACTACTATCAGCGGCTATCGTCGGATGAAGATCCAGAACCACAGGTTATTGCTAAAGCAATTGCTGCCTTTTATCAAAACAACCTTCGACGCAAGCAATCAGGTTTACAACCCCTGCCATCCAAGTATATCCCCGCCATCACCATGATCGGCACTGCACCCATTTTCTATCGCATCCCCGTCACAACAATGCTTCTTGAAGCACTTGCTACCGCAACCTACCCGCGGGGAGAAACAACCGTCCTGAGGTTCATCCCACCTGTCCCAACCCAGGAACGGTACCGTAACGATGGGATGCATCCGTTAGTCAATCGGCGTACCATCTTACAATGCTTCGAGGCTTTCAAGGCAGTCATAGTACGTCTCCAGTGTCCTAGCCCGAAAACATTGCTGTGTCTCATATGTTCCTGAAGAATTAAATGGTGTCGCTCATAAATCACAACTCAAGGAAAGAAAGTTCTATTGGTAGACTGTACTATTGAACGACGGTCAAGTCCGGTGAGTTCGGTTGAACAGGGTGACGAACTTCGTTCGCATGGAGAGGTTCCGAGGGAAGGTATATACACAGCGCATTGCAACAAACAGGCTAAAACTAAATTAGTTTAGATGGCATACTGATAAATCGTGACAGAAAACGTCGAGGGATCTCGCTACCCCGATATCTGAATGGACGTTTATAAAGATGAGGGCAATACGATTTCATTGATGAAGCTCAGGCTGTCCGCATGTGCAATAGAGGCCAATAGGCGCCGAGATGTAAAAAAGTTGACGTCAGCGTCTGTCATCAGAGACAAGTAACATGGCGACATTATTGTAGCAGACGAGCACTCTCAAGTCTCGACAACGGGTTAACAAGCACGCTTCCAAAACGTTATCAGGAGTCCAATGATGAAAGCTTGGCCGTCGATCTCGAACGTCCGCAGTCCAGTTTGCCACTACGTGTACGGTGTCACCTCCGCTAGGAGATCTCTTCAAGACCGCTAGCACTCCCGCTTTCCACAAGTCTAAATTCATCTACCTAGGGTCCATCTATGCAGAAACACCTCCTGAATTGGATCTCTATCGTCCGCGGCTTGAGAGGTACTAGTTATGATCGTCGCCTCCTTCTATCTACTCTTTAATCCAAACGTGCTTGTTCGCTTCAATGAACTCCCTCAACGTATGGGTACCATGTATCGTATTGCTTCTTCCTACCAAAGCTTCCTCCGTGCCTCAGCGGTCTCTTGTCCAGCACGGCTAACAAACTCAGGCTGACCTGCAGGCATCCCGATAGACACGAACATGGCCCTCTCTTCCTCGCCCGTTATGTGCCGGTGTGTAATTTTCCGTCCTAGTATCTCACTGAATATGGAGGTTACCTGTTGAGGAAGAGTTCAAATGTCAGCTCCGTAATGTTGCACCTCCTCAAATTTCCGAGGCTGCGTACCTCATCGTGCGAGTACAATTCTGGCCCAACGACGTAGTATTCCGTGTTGGGACCCTTGTCCGCGAATAAGGTATCGAATGCCGCCTTCGCGATGTCCTCCCCGCTAACGAAGGGGGTGCGACCGCCCTCCACGGTTGTAACGATCTCGTTGCGCTCGCGAATCCCGTGTGCAAAAATGCCAGCGAAATTCTCTGAGCGTATCAAGCAGCGTCAGTATTCCCGTAACGCTAGATACGATATACGATGGCGTACCTAAGAACGACGTAGGGCGTAGGACCGTGAACTCGACGCCGCTGTTTTCGATGTATTCATGCAATTTGCCGATGTACGGCCCACCTTTGTGCGTGTGGCTTCCACTGAGCAGAACGAATCTCTTCAAACTCCTTGAGACGCAGAGATCAACGAAGGTTTTGACGACTGGCAGCACGTCGAAGATGTTCGAGATGACGATGCAGACCTTGTTGATGCTAGAGTCGGCCTTGAATGGGTTCTCAAACATCGAAGGGTCGGTCCAATCGAACTTCACAGCCTTGTAGGGGTTCGGAGCGGTACCACTTCTCGAGGCGACTAGTAAAGGACACCCCGCGATAAAAAGATCGGCTATATTCTGGAACAAGAGTTGGATAGCCTGCGGCCGCCTAAGCGCGTTGGCAAACTGAAGGGGAATGAGTAAGAACCAATCGTGGGAACAGTGCGCCACACAACTGGCAATGGTCGACTATGGGCTTCGGAAAATATCCCTCGTTTCAACTAGGCCAGGAAACATGGTACATTCTATTGTATACATATGGAAATTTGCTACAAATCACTCATGTAAAATGCGATTCAACGAAAACCATATTTCGGTAACTGTGGTACAATGTATTTGGAATAGTATGCGGAATTAGATGTCCATACGAGTTTTTAATGTATCAAAATAATGTATCAAATATTTAGGTAGGAGGTGGGAATAGCGCTGTGTATCATGGTCCGTGCCCCTGCTTTCGATATAAGTCTTCCGATTCCGGACCTGTTTTCAACCTGTGGTGCGATGTTTTAGTGTCGTTTCGTCATAATATAAGCGTGCGCACCGGGAACAGATAAGAAGACCTCTCTGGGAGGAAGGCGACGAGATATATCTCATTTATCTCCGTTGAATAGTAAAATTAAATGGTTTGGCGTTGCTGATTGTGACAAAACTAGCTCCTTCCATCATGCGTAAGAGGAGGACGTCGTCCCTGTTGAGCTTGAGCATATAAATTTAGGAGGAAGCCGCAGGGAACCCACCTAACGGGTTTCGGTGACTTCCCGTACATCAGCTCATAAAACAAAAACTCCATCGTCTGGGCTTTCTTCTTCATGGTGGCCTTAGCCCTCGCCAAACGACGATCGAAAGGTATCCTGGGGTCCCGGATCGAGAAGCGTGTCGCATACGGTGATGTTCCTTGCACAGGCTTCAAAGGCGCCGGGAGATCATCGAGTATGGGTGCCGATTGTACTGGGATTGTCGCAGAAAAAAGGAGAGTAAACCAGAGAAAGTAGGTGAAATAAAGCATCTTCGCGGAAGACAGCGTCGACGGGCAAGTAGAATCCGATGACTAGCAAAGGAGCAAATGAAAAGGAGAGAAATCAAGAGTGAAGAGACTAGTCGATAGTGATATTCGTGCCCAGAAAGCGCCCGCGGGAGATGAATCAAGTTTCCACCAGATGAGACATCTCCTTAAGCCCTATGTGGAGCCCCTCGGGGTTCATTTAAATCAGGCTGACTGCGAGCCGTAGTCGACCATCAATGGCACTGGTAAATGACGCTCCAATTGATACAAGAGATAGTATGGTTAAAAATACATGAAACGCTCGTAGGAGCCTGGACTGATAAGCGCGCCTACACTAGTATACGTTGCTCTGCATCCCCTTGATGATGGAATCCAAGAGAATGTCGTCTGAATCTCCTGCGGCATCCCACATCGCGAACCCTTTGAGATGTTTCCTCGCGATAAAATCACCTTTCGACGCTGTAACCGCAAATCAGCTGAGGGATGTAGAAGACCGGACAGATCGACTTACTGAAACTCGCATCGTCCTCGTAAGAAATGGCAACTTGCTTGGAGCTGTCGTATAAGAATGGCTTAAAAGGTAATGTGAGATCATTAATCCGTTATACTGCGGATTCAGTCCGTTATGGCCACAAGTCACTGTTTGGCTGCACTGGTCGAATGCATAGGCCATTCCCTGTGCTGCCTTGCCATCACTATTAAGATATCCAGCGCTGATGAGTCCTCTGAAGTCGTAAACACCATTCCCGCTCGGTACCGGGACACCGCAGGGATCATTGGAGGTGGTCCCAGGTTCTTCCCTTGACCAAGGGGGATACTAACGAATTCTGGGTATTCAGTTAATTTCCCAGTTGCAAAGGACAATTTCTGAGCCTCGCTCGGAGTGACGGAGTAGGCGCGGCCATAGGAGGGAACACCGAGTACGATCTTAAAGCGAGAAGCCATGGAGTCGGAATGAACGTATCTGACTATAAATAAAAAAACGTACGCGATCCTCGGGGAATCCGGCTTCAGTCCAGTCGTCGAGGGCGGACTGGGCAGAGCCTTTGGGGCTTGGCGAGCATTGGTCTTCCTGAGGAGCATTGGGACCGACTAACCCGACCCCAGTATCGGTGGACCATGGCCCCCAGACGTCATATGCCATAATTGCTGGTTAAAATCAGTGAACTTGAGCGCTTGGAGATCATGATAGGGCAGCGAGTCACGTACCTATGTAATCAAATACCTCAGCGAACGCTGAGACGTTTGACAAGGGGTTGCCGTCGATACCGAGGAAAGGCTTGATAGGAACCGCAGCTGTGAGTGTAAGATTAGCGCCTCTCTCGTCCTTCTTCAGCTCTCGGAGGAATTCAAGAAAGTTTGCCGTATCATCCTTAGAAATGACATTGCATGACAAGAGTGGTTTGTACGGGAATTCCCAACTATGATATGCCGTGAAATTACTGCGCTTGAACTTTGATAGACTGCTACTCACTCGAAGTCTATGCCATCTAGTTCGTATTGCGTAGCAATATCAACGATGGCCTTGAGGAAGGCTGTACGATTCTGTGGCGTTCCAACTGCGGTCGAGAAGTATTTCGATCCTGTGTAACCGCCGATGGAAAGCAGAGCTTTCACGCCCTGATTCAAGTTAGAATTCAGCGCCCAGCGCTCGCGCAATAGATGCTACGTACATTGGCCTTGGCTTGTTCTACGAATTCAGGCAGTAACTGTTTGCTTTGGGCATCGAGCTCCAAAACACTGGGCTCATTCGTCGTAAGGCTAGCGAGAGAGGTTCTGTGTTGGTTCGACCACGGTAGAAACACACGACTTACGCAAATGCAAAGGTCATGACGTTGTACTTCGACCAGGAGACCTTCTCTAGAGGCAATGTATTTGCCTTCCAGGGGGTATACCACGCAGCCCGAACCAGCTCATCCGACTCCAAGCTACCTGATGTCGCACTGGGAGAGCTTGCTGAAGCAGAAGAGCTAGTCGTACTCGGGGAGTTCGTCTGAGCGGTAGTCGGGTCCGACTGTGCTGTTGGCGCGGGACACTGGTGTCCAGGTGCGGGGGCTGCCAGAACCCCCAGAGAGAAAAGGAGAGCCGCAAGGAGTTGCCGAGAGAGCATGACGAGAAAACGACCAGCGAGTGAAGCAAAAGAAGGAAATATGAGGTCCACCACGCTGCTGTACCATTCATCCTTTATACATTCGTCCTATGGACCGAGAACAAGCTTCTGTGTGCGATGCTAGCCTGAAGCAGCATAATGGAGAAACAATTGTCAAGCGAGTCAGCGAGTCAATGACAAGGGCGAATAACCAACGAGGGGGCTTCCGGTTGAAATGGAGGAGTTGTAGGCGCTTCAATCATTATGCTGATGAGCAGGAGTTATATTTCCCGAGTCGGATCGTCATTAAACAAGGAAACAAGACAAGAATTGGACGATAACCCACGTACAGACAGAAGATGACCCGTACGACTCGATGCCCACCTCTTCCTTGATTCCTGTGGGCCCTTTCTCCTCCTCATAGTTCCAGTTACGTCGAATTGCTGTGATCTCCTCGAACGTTTTCTCATCCGCCCAATGTACGATTCACTGGAGCAAAAATCGCTTTGACTAGAGGATCCTTGCATTTTGGGAGAGTAAATCTTGGGGCGGTCCAGCCGACAGTAAGTTAGCAGCAACCTCACAAGGCACCTTGTTTTCGAGACAACAATTAGGCTTGCGCAGAATGCATTCAAGGGGCGAATTCAAATGAGTCGCAGAACTGTAGGCGGTGGGAAGATCCTCGTGAGAAACTCAGAGCCGTATCAATACTATCCCTCGTGTGGCGGCATTCACTCTCCCCATCGTTCGCCGCCGCACGACCAGCACAGTCGACTCGCCTTCTACAAAGCCGATGGTCCCCCTTCTCGCCGCGGCCACAACCATCTCGTCATCGCAGCCCATTCCCCCGACCCCGCCCTCATTGTTCGCCCTCGCTCTTGCCTCTGACCATGCTTCTCTGCAGATTACCACCACCGGCTACAGTCGTTCGAATATTGCAGATGGGTACTGGAGCAATCGCAGGTGGGTAGAGACTAGCGCGATAGCGTTTGCGCTTGGATGGACAATTGCCTTTGCGTGCGGGTGACGTGGGACAGAAGAATGGATGCCAACAGAGTGGTTTCAGCGCGAGGGTGGTCTCGCACGATTCGATGAGGAGGCGAAGTTGAGCAGGATGTCGGCGGTAGGAGGAACCAAGAGTAACAAGGTATGCGCTCCCTGTCGGCGTGTTGAGTAAAGTCATAAAATTGTAACGTAAGTAGGAAATTCGATATACGGCATACCGCCCCTTTCTACGAAAACAGGGTGATATAAAGTACAAAAAAAAATACAAAAAAAATTCCTTGCACCGAGACATCCCCACTGTCGTGAGGCCATTCCTTCTTCTCTGGAAGGCTTTTATGGAATCGAGTGAAGGTTCACAACGTTCATGCATCATGTTGTCGACATGCAAGGCGGCTTGATCAGAGCCTGTGCTCGCGATCTCGATGCGAGACACTGCCTGGAGCTCGATAACTCTTCCCCCTCTCTACCTTCAGTACCTGTCTTTCTGAAATCACATTTCTAGGCAGATCGGCATCGATAACCACAGGCGCTTCCGGCAACTATAGTAAAGCTGTCTCCTCCAGTTCGCGATCAAATTCTTCAGTAATAGGCGCCAAGGCTATTCTGTCAACTCAGCGCTTACCTCGACAGCTGTGGGCCTTGCTACTTCAGTCATCCAGGACGTGCATTCTTAAATCGGGGAGTGTCAACGAATCAGGGTTATAAATAGGCAGTGGGGACGACCATTTTCGCCAAGGCGCTTTCAGTGCAAGGAATTCGCAACACCGCGGAACAGATATCTTGTGTCTGAAACGTCCTAACGTCCCAATGGAAAGACAACCTCGTCGACTCGCTCTCGAGATTCCGCAGAACAATCTGTCGAGTTTCTCGCTTCTACTCTGAATCGCGAAGAATTTAGAGCCCATGTCGAAACTCCAACCGACGTGCTGCACACCCTTGGCATTTGGCCACGGATTGTATGGAGATATGTATTATACAAGTTATCTCCGACGACAGACTGTACACTTTTTTGAACGCAACAGAAATTGAATATTGAAGGCTCATCGGGGGATTCACGTAGTATACTTGTTCGACAAATACATGCCGAGCCTGCCAATCGAGAAGTATGAACATCTGCGCATGCACAGAATCTCCTACGTCGTTGTATTTGGTCCCACACTTCTATCCAAGGATGTGGCATTTCTAACCGAATCCAGCAACAAGTCGTTGTAGTCGCCAACGGCATCTGACAGTGCAAATCCTTTCAGGCCGTTTTCTCTGATATAATGGCCCTTTAGAGCTGCAGATAGCGAGCAATCAGTCCTGCACGGGGAGAGAGAATATGCCAACTTACCCATACTATTAACATCGTCGTAAGATACCATGATTTCGCGCGTGCTGTTGTAAAAGAAAGGCTAAAAGTACCGGTCGGATTTCGTCAATCATACTCATGGAAAAAACTAACTGTGAGGCTGCACTGGTCGAAATTGGATATCGTAGCTGAGCTCGGAAGAGAGCCATTGTTATCGAGATAGCCAGCGCTGATTAACCCTTCGAAGGTGACGACACCAGTCGCATTAACCGGTACAGTATTATTGATATTGCAGGCATCGGGGATAAGTGTTCCAGGTTTTTCTCCTTGACCAGCTGGGATAGCGTCGAATTTTGGATAGTTGCCAATCTTCTGCGCTTCGATCGAATCCACGCTGTAGACACGACCATGCGACGGGACACCGAGGACAATCTGATATTAATGAAACAAGGTAAGTATTGGGAACAATTGATTGAGTAGAGAGCTTTTACTCTGTCTTTGGGGAAGCCTGCTCGAGACCAGGAGCTGACGGCAGATTCGATCGATCCACTGCGAGCCGAAGGCAAAGCGCAATCATCATATACCGGAGCATTAGGGCCAACAAGTTTATTCGAGCCAGCAAAAGATGTCTTCCAGACGTCGTATGCGACTATAGCTATTCAATGAATAGACCGTCAGTTTCCGGATAGCGGCAGGGGATACCGTAACATACTGATGTAGTCGAGAAAACTGGCGAACGCCGTCACATCCCACCTAGGTGTGCCATAATCGCTGAGAAAGGGTGCGAGGGGTACTGCGGCTGAGATTGCTAGCCTGGAGCCCGTCGAATGCTTCCTTAGCTCTTCGAGAAACAGGAGGTAGTTTGTAGTATCATCCTTCGAGGGACCATCGCATTCGGGTTGTCCAGGGTATTCCCAACTAAAGTTATAAGTTTTGATTGTCAGAATATGTGAATTATTGTGACAGCAACCTCATGACTTACGCAAACTCGATCCCGTCCAATTGGTTCCGCGTGGCAATGTCGACAACTGCTTGTACGAAATCAGTTCGACTCAGTGGCACCGAGACCGCCTTTGAGAAGTATCTCGATCCTGTGGGGCCGCCGATAGAAAGCACTGCTTTGACACTCTATTGGAAGAGTCAGAAAGAAACCTTTAAAGGGGGGCTAAATAATGGTGTGTATGTTCACGTTGTTTTTGGCATGAGCAACGAAGTCAGCCAGCAATTCCTGACTAGGGGCATCGAGGAATAAGACCCTTGGATTAGACGTGGTAAGCCTGATCACAATTAATGGCAGTGAGCGTAGGACTCGGAAGGCATGAGAAAGTATAGGGACTGACGCAGATGCGATCATGGATTTGTACTTCGCCCATGGAATCTTCTTCAACGCTTCCTTTCCTTTTGAACTAGGAAACCATGCAGAAGCAAAACTAGGATGGGGTGTCGAGGTGATGATTGGGCTACTTTCAGTGGTAGAAGCCGGCGTCGTGACACTAGCGTCGTGATCACGAGGAGACTTCCTCTGCATCGTCGGAACAGGAGGGTTGCCCGCGGGGACCGCCAAGGCGACCAGGGGAAGGAAGAAGAGCACAGAAAGCTGCTGAATGAGCATAATTAAATCGGCCAGCGAGGTTGAAATGAACTAGTAAAATGTGAACAGGGGGAGATGGGAATGGAGGAGATGGGAAACGAGAGACGAACCCATACATTTATACGCGGGATCAAAGGGCAGAGAACAAAAATCTTGCCCCTCCATACCGAATGCAGAACTAGGAGGACGAGAAAACGACGCTCGCTTCGGCCATAACAAATGAAGATCTCAAGTTTTATGTTGTGGGTGCTCGTTTGCAACTCAACCACCTCACCGTGTCGTCGGCTGATGCCTATAATTTAGGAAATACGTATACATATAGGGCATGTAGGTGCTACCGAAACCGGGTATCAGAGAAAGGTATAATAAGTGGATAAAGGGAGGAACCCACATAAGTTTACATCTATGAATGAATGAAGCGCGTTACAATTGAAAGCGAGGACAAGTGCCTGCATTTGTCCTCTTGTCTATACTCGTGCCCACAACTTCCCTGTTCTTGTTCTCAAGATTCAAGAACATACTTGAACAATTTGCATCGCGTCGCTGATGGATGACAAAAGAATGTTGTTCGAATCCCCGACTACGTGCCAGACGGCGAAGCCAGCCAGTCCGTTTGCATCGATGAACTTCCCTTTCGCGGCTACATAAAATCCAGGTGAATGAGAATGCGCAGTCGTCGGCAAGAAGAGTAGCGCCGTACCAAAACTTGTCTTGTCATCGTAAGAGATCAGCGTCTGGGCGCTGGGCTTATAGACGAACGGCTGCACCGCACCATCAATCACTGAAGAGTCTGGCTGAAGAAAGAAGAGCGTACAGTCTGACTGCAATTATCGAACCGATAGTCAATTCCGTTGGCCGCATTGCCGTCCGCGTCCAAGAAGCCCGCCTCGATCATACCCTTAAAGTTGAACGTGCCTCCAGCACCTACGGTGTTTCCGCACTGGTCGGTGCCTGGCGAACAAACGGAGCGATTAGAACATCAGGTGCTCACTAAGTGAGGACAGGATCTCACTCGGAGGTGCTCCAGGAATATCGCTGTCCCCGAGAGGCTGCTCAGCCTTGTTGAACGGTGGGTAAAGGGCCAGTGCTCCCGTGCCGTCGAAGGCGGAGCTGGTGTCGACATGGAAGCTATGTCCGTAAGCAGCAATTCCCAGCGCAATCTAATTGTTCATTGAGACCAGAATCAGACGGCTGCTAGGATATTCTTTAGCAGAGTGAATGACCTTGGAAGCAGGGAAACCAGCAGCTGTCCAAGCCTTAACGGCCGAAGTCGCCGATCCGGCCGGGGTAGGTGCACACGAATCGTCAAGAGGCGCATTCGGGCCGGCTCCGGTCGACCATGAGCCCCAGACATCGTAGTTCATGACAGCTGTGTCAGAAAAAAAAGGGTAAGCGTCCAGAAGTTCTATCTCGAAGGCAATGCATACCAATGTGGTCAAGGACAGAAGCGAATTCCGAGACGTCGCTCATCGGCGTCCCGCCAGGGCCAGCGAAAGGCGAGAGGCCGACAGCAGCCGTTATGAGGAGCTGCGACCCATCAGGGTCTTTGCGAAGCTCTTGAAGGAAAGAGAGGAAGTTGGAAGAATCGGAGTCGGAGATTTCGTTACAACCGATGCCTTGCCGGCCTGGATATTCCCAGCTGTCAGGAAACAGATAAGTGAGGCTTAGTTCTTTCATTCTTGAGGGCAGAAGCTTACTCGAAATCAATTCCATCGAGACCGTACTGCTTGGCCATGTTTACGACAGTCTTGACGAATGCAGTGCGGTTTGCTGCGTTTCCGACAGCAGATGAGAAGTATATTGACCCAGTCCAGCCGCCAACGGATAGCAATGCGTCGACTCCCTATTGACAAAATAAAGAAATTGAACCTCTGACGAAGCAAAGGCACCACTGAGAAACATACATGATCATGTGCCTCCTTCACGAACTCTGGTAGTAGCGCAGCGCTCTGCGTATCGAGGGCAAGGTTGTTCACATCAGGTGTTGTGAGCCTATAACGAACAACGTTCCATCTTTTCCATCTCACGCGCAATGAAGGAAAAACTCACGCGAATGCAAAGGTCAACGAACTATACATCTGCCAGGGAACCTGGCTAGGTGGCATCTCGTCGCCGAGCCAGCCGGGGTACCAGCCGGTGGCTACGACGTCGCCGCTAGTCGCATTTCCGGCACCGGTGTTGCCACCGCTGGACGAGCCAGCTGTTGGCTGGACGGCGAGCCCAGAAGACGACTTGGGTGGGACCAGCCCGCAGGTAGGGGCGGCGAGTGTCGATGAGAACAGGGAGAACAAGCCGAGGGCGGCCGTTAGGACAGAACGTGAAGGAGAGTTGGAAGGCATGGTGACGATGGCGGAACGATGAATTGGAATTCTGAGGGGGTCCAAGATCTACTTGAACAGAGCGTTAGCCACAGGGCGAGTGGCGGAAGGAGTCACAACGGAAGACACACCTTGCGATATAAGTAGTGCACGTATCTTTAGCACAATGCGGCTCCCAACGCTACTATGGCCGACAGTCCAGCCTGCACACGGACACAAAGGAACAAAGGGACTATTACAGTCGCAGTCGAGATCGAGAACCGCGCGGCAATCGTACGATACTCGATGAATCGCGGACGTCTGTGGTGCTTGTTCGGTGGGGGTTTGCTTTCGAGCTAAATATCTGGGCCTTGTGAGTACATCCAAATATCCCACACTTCATATCCGCACGAGTTTCCCCCAATCTTTCTTTCATCCTGGGGAGAGATTACGGCTTCGGTGCAGGAAAAGGGACATGCGGCGAAGGGCTGGCACGAGCGAGGCCGGAGGCATGGAGATTAGATCACGTAGAGCGGCGTTTCAGGCCATCCATTGTCCCTCGAGGAAAGACGAGAGTGTTGTGTACCAGCCTCAAGGAGGTTGGGAGTTGCCTGGATCCGGCAGGTGGTAGAGACAATGGCAGCTGTCAGCCGTCGCGGTCGTGCTCGAACCTAAAAACACGATATCAACACGTGAAATGAGGTAACATCGAGGAAGAGATTATGTTCGTGTGAAGAACATACCTGTTTAGGTCTTCCTGCCAAAAAATTCTTTGCCCCAACGTGGATGAAGAGCGGGCTTAAGAAAGAGGCTTTCGTTCGGAAGACTGGTTCGGCACCGAGGTAATGCATACAACACATAATCAAACCCAAGGTGAAGTAAAATGTATATCTGGATAGAAGAAAAAAGTAGATGATGAGCTCGAAATCACGGAAGAGGCGAGGATGTGACGAGACCCACGAAGAGTCTAGTGAAGCTTCAACCGACGGACATCGCGGCCGATCCTAGACGAATCACCGGAGCTGCAGATATGAATGGCCAGGAGGCTGGATGACTTCATCGTCTCATCCGTTGCGCGAGAGGATCGTCAGGAAGCCGCCCGAACTTCATCGTTGTGTCAGCTGCGAAAGGACCATCCCATTAGTTGCTGGCTGGGCAAGTGCGAATGCGAGACGTCGTTAGCCTCGGGTCGGGACTGAACTTCCCGTCTTCGCGCAAGATCGAAAGTCCGAGCTTGGTAGTCTCACCCGGGCTGGGTGAGTGCAGAGGAACTCTTCTCGTTTGTGTATGTTGGGAGCAGCACCGATGCTTCGGAATCGCGAAACGGGTCTGCGCAGGTGACAGCCGGTCAGCTGGGAGTGTTGAGGCAAGTCTTTCCCCATTCAATCCCCAACAGCGCCGCTGAAGGCTGGATACCGTCCTTCCAACGCAACCACTACAGATGAGGCAGCCATACGTCAGCCTGCTGTAATGGCCTCGATTAATTGGATAGACAGAGCGGATGGTCCTGCAAATAACCTGCATCATCAGCTTGTCATCAGCCTAGATTTATGGAGTGGATGAGAGAGGCTCACATCAAATATCTCTGAACTAAAAGCAAAGCATGAATGAGGTCGAAATCTGCATGAACAACGGCTCGAACTTCCGCAACTACTTTAGTGAACGAACAAAGCGACAATATGCGTGGAAGTATTGTCGATTAGCGTGGATAGGCAAGACGTGTGCGGATATACATGTATCAGGGCGTGCAGGCGTAAAATGACGACTAAGCAGAGGGGAATAGCGATAAGCAGAGTAACACAATACTGTATCCCACCGCATACATGATTAGTATTCTGCCTGACGAGACGAAAAAACGAAACGCACAATTATCAAATAGCAATCATCTCCCAACCCCTCTCCTTGCAGCCCCGAGCACGTCATCTCTTATCAACCCAATCCTTGCCGCCAGCTGGCGCGCATGCATCACCTGCATCCTCCGCGAACGGAAGAACACTATGCCCAACGCAATCAACGCGAAGCCGGCGTTTGCTGCGACAAACTCATAGAAATCTGCCGTCTCTTTCGACACGATTCGTCCGCAGGACTCCCAGGCGAGAATTTCGCCTTCTGGGTGGGAGGAAGAGGTGTGCGAAGGTGGTGGACTTGGTGGATGGTTGGTGTCGGAGTCGGAGTCGAAAGCTGACGCTGGAGAAAGCGTACTGTTGACGCAATGCATGAGACGTCGGTTTCCAAATGGTTGGCAGAAGGGTTGGTGTATCTAGCGTAGCAGAGTTGTGACAATAAGTAAACGGTTGAACTTCGAAGGCAGCTACATACCGCGTCTTTTGGACAGGGTTCGCAGGCACCAAAGGGCGTACACAACAGGCCGTTATGGGTCTCATTCTTCTTCTGCGATAGCGTTGGAGAGTCCTGTCCGTTCGTATCTTGTGTAGCCGCGCATGCTAGTTCGAGGAGACATGCCCAGATGAGCAACGTTATGCTGCGGTATTGAACATCAGACTTGCTTTCTCATGTGCATGAGTGGTACGGATACTTACAGACATAATCTAGTAATATTTGCCAGCAGCGGCGAGCACAGAGGCATCTGAGCAGCATGAACGTCGCGCTGCGCGTTGTTGAAGTCCAAGGTCAAGTTATACGTGGGAACCGCCAGTCCACCGTGAGCTTCCTTGCACTCGCCGTCGTCAACAACCACCATCTTCATCTGCATTATCACTTGTATCGCCGCCACCGCCCCCATCGTAATTCCCGGCGTCGCCACTACCTAGAAATGTCACGCAGAGCCGCCATCATAGAGGAATTCGACGACGACACCGATCTCCCGCTGCCCAACGTCCCGCTACCCAACACAGGCTGTGGACCACTCTTGCAGGAACTCGATGCATCGGACGACGAGGAATTCGACCGGCCGGGGCCTGCGTCGCCTCCCAGGCCGCAACAGCAGCAGCGCTCAGGGCCTGCAGGCACTGCATCGGATACGAATCGAGTGACGGACATCACACCTTACAAGTCGTATGTATCCTTGTCTGTCTTTTCGTTTCAACAGGGTTTCTTTCGAGGGGATGATTTCCTCTTCGGTCTTGTGGCCCATCTTCCTAGTTTTGACCGAAGACGCTCGAGCTGGCGCTTATCACGTTTGACAGGTGGACATGTATCTACCCGATCTACCTCGACGCCAAGCGCCCGTACGGACGAGGCCAGCGGCGGGTCGAGCGTGCCAAGGGCCTCTGGTGGCCTCTGAGCAAGGACATCGCCGATGCTGCAAACCGTCTAGGGCTGGGCACGCTACACGAAGTGAACAAGTCCCATCCACGCGATTGGGAGAACCCCGGCAGAGTTAGGGTGCAGTGGAAGAAGGACGGCAAACTGATGAATCCTGTCATAAAGACGAGTGAGTTGCGCCGCTTTTGAGATCAGCCAGATCGCTGCAGCGTCTAGCGTGAAGTGCCAATGCCTAATCGCTATCTTATCATAACAGAAAAGCAGCTCCTGGAGATGATCTGCTTCCAACTACAACATCTCAAGCCCGAGAACATCCCAAAGCAGCCGTATGACACTAGCACGCCTGCAAATCGGACTAGCCCACCGAGCACGACCAAATCCTCTACCTCGCCTTCCCAAACTGCCACCTCAGAACCTGGTTCTAACTCCGCGAATAACACTGCAAGCACGCCACTCTCCTCCACCCCATCGTCAAATAAGGGTAAAGCCCCGCTCTCCTCCACGAAATCTAAACCCTCCACCCCAGCTGCGCCTGCACACAAAGCTGCCCCCCAACGCCTTATCCCCCGCTCGCGAGCAGGGTTTCAGCATACTCGCCGGCAATCTCGACAGGCGTGCTGGTGGAAACTGTGAAGGCGGGGATGAACGCGACAGAGGCACCAGGTGCAGCGCCTAACGTGCCCGCGGGTATGGCGAAGGGAAAGAGGAAAGTCGTTCGTGTGAGAGGATGAGAGGATCTGTGAAGAAAGCGGTGTTACGTGAATAAATGTTGGAACTTGGAGGGTGTTGAATGCTGTTACCTAGGTGCCTTCCTCTGTTATTTGAATCTTGGGAATAGGATGTCCTTTCACCGAGCATTCTCTCGAAGCGGGACTAGAAGAATAGTGAGTAATGGACATGTACCATCACTTGGATTCTTAAAAAGGACATAACTGCCTATCCAAGCAATTGAGTCGAGGCCTTGAAAAAGCAAGATGTTAGTGCTGCTACACCCTGATGCCTGGAACGGCCAAAATAATGTCATTTATGAATTCCAGAACCAACGGTGAGGATCGAACTCACAACCTCGAGCTGTGTGCGGCGTTCGATCCTCACGGTGATTTCTGGGACGGGAATAAGAGACACAGGAGCGATACCTCGTCAAGCCAGGTGCGGTTCGAGCGAAAGCGTCCGAGCTTCACCGAGAGGAAAGCAATACATATAAAAGGCCCTCTTTTCCGTCTCCTCCCTCCCTCCCCATCTCGCTCGCCTCGCGTCATGCCTGCCCTCCTCTTCGACCCTGCCTTTCTTGAGCCGATCAGCCCGGCCACCTCTCCGGAGTGCCGCAAGCAGATCGTGGCCCACATCAGGGACATGTACCATGTCTGCACCGTCCTTCAGCGACGCGCCGCCCAACACTTGCTGGCTCTGGACAACATGTCCGACGATAGCGACGACGACGACGACGACGACGACAGCGCCGAATCCGAGGTCGATGAGCTCGTGGACGACTCGACCGCTGCTGCCTTGGCCGACATTTTGTCTAGCTCTGGCTCTGGCTCTATGTTTATTCAAGACTGGGCTTCCTTGGTTCTCCGACCCGTCCCTGAGAATCGCTACTCTGCCTTTGTTCGTCTTCTACGGGGCTATTACCCTGCAGACGATGTCGCTCAAGCGGTAAGCGTGACCATCACACACTTTTCCTTGCACTGACCTCCCACAGAGCACGGTGCTCATCGAGCTCCCCGAAAACCACGTCGTTGACACCTGCTGCCGCCAGACGCTCGCCATCGTCCCTATGGAGAACCTCTTTGAGCGTCTCCAAGCTCACGAGATCATCATGGACACTCGCCTTCCCACCGACGCCCTCTACATTCACAAGTCCATGCTCGCTCTCGTCAAGCTCGTCAACGCCATCCTCTTCGCTTCCTGCGGCGTTTGATCCTCACGGTGAATTTCTGGGACGGGAATATCGTGCCATGCGAGATACGTAGGAAAGCAACGCACTACCATTGTGCTACGTTGGCAACTGGGCGTCTCGTTGGGAAGCTGGATCTGCAGGTGACTAGGTAAACTAATCGTGTCCAATGCTGACACATCCATCAATGATTATCGTTCGGCCATCGCCGATTACACTAACGCTTTTAATTGGGCATGCTCTGGACACGCCCATCGATTTCGCACGAGCCAGATGGAGACGCGGCGATGGCCCCATCGATAAGAGATTCTCATCGAGCTTGTGACCTGAGCTTGGACTCAAACTCTTGCGTCTTCACCTATTTCTGCCATCCTCTCTTTTTATCTACGCTTCATGCGCCACACCGCATGAACTTATCTATGAGCTTTCACCTCTCTATTAGACTTTCTTTTCTTTTCTCCTTGTATCACTGTTTACCACCGCGTTCCCGAGTGCGCCATCGATTTGTAAATAGCGTCGTGTGTCGTCGCTTTTCCCCTTTGATCTTTTCTTCTTACTATCACCATGTTCCACTAGTCCGTCCTTCATCCCGTGCGCAGCCCCTCCATCTATTGCACCTTTGTCCAGGCATTATCGCCCTGGATCGCTTGAAGAGCGCCTATGTGCTCCACGAGACACTGATCAGTGCGATTGCGCTCCGATCACCTTGCAAGAAAATCTCTGATCCGTCCGAGTCATGATCACAGAAGAGTTCAGTGCTTTTTTCTTTTTCTTCTTTCCGTCTCTTGCAATCCCCATCCAAGTGAACGTCTCCTCTTGATACGAAGTTTAGCATGTTGTAACATACAATGCAACCTGTCTCCGTTCTTTTGACCAACTTTAATCAAGCGAGAACGGTTGAAAGATGTCAGTGCCATTGGGCTCTTCGAGGTGCGTTTACGTTGGTGATTACTGAACTTTGGCCCTCGTATAGGTTGAATCAAACCATCTCTCGGCTGCGCAGATGGAGATTCTCAGAGCTCTACTATCGTCGCGAAGATCGAACGCATCTCTGTTTTCCGGACTTCTTTTTCTTTTTCGAGCAGGCGAGCAGGCGTGCCGTCTCCTTGCAGATCCAACAGCGGGTGCTATCCGACAAGCTTGCTGGCGCCTAGTCAATGTTTATTCTGAGTTTATACTCCACCCCCAAGACTCACGGGACATCGAACCTTTGATTGTAAACCCAGCAAACCGGGATTTCTCAATGTTATAATGTTTCTGAGAGGTGCGTTTATTTGTTTTCTTGCGGACCAATGACGACCGGTATTGCTGACAATCCACGCCTTTCTCCTTGTAGATCGTCTAGCACCCAAACGCTACTCTCTTGTGGAGGTTCGGATTGCCCCGCCGCAGACTTTCAGCCTCTTCGTAAGAGGAGTATTGGGCAGTTGATTCAATCCAAGCACTAAGGTGTGATTGTGATACGATACGTGTATTGGCGACTGCTGAACTTAGACTATCATCCAGGCCTTCAATCGGAGTTGAGAGTGTCAAATGTCTTCCCCCACATCGACAACCAGGCCAAGGCTTCTACCACGTAATTGACGCTCCGTCGCCTCGTTGGTTTATCTCGACATATCTGGCAAGCATACCATACTTGTCCGAGCTCATGGTACCGGCCTCCCATGGCCGGTAGATTCTTCCGACGTTGACTCGTACCAGTCAAGTGACACAAAGCCCTTAAACCAAGACCCGGACAATTGACTCGCAATTACCATTTACTACTAGTTTCTTGGTCGGTAGACTTCTTAGGTCACAAGAATGCACTCTCGTAGGTGTTTTTCATATCTTGGAGGCGACAATTTGATTGACGGGTATGAATTACTGCAGGATGATTGCCAGGCAGTAGCTCCTATCTAGTGCCTTTGGAGACTCTGAACACCAAGGCGCCTTTGGCGCGCCCCCGACGGGCGCTCCAGCCTCTACCCCAGAATTCTATGGTGATCGTGGGGTTGACCGCCGATCGAGACACGGTGTCCAGAACGTCCGCAGGGTATGCTCCGTCGCGCTCCCCGAACCCCCTTCATTCCATCACACGACCTTACCGCGTCAGCCTCTGCGTCAGCTCAGCCCTGTGTGGATACTTCAGACGTCGCCTCGAAGGCTCGAACTCCGCCAGATAGATGGGCAGCCTCGGGAAATGCCGGCTGTGCACACCTTCCTATCTGGGACGAGGGTACGAGTTTTCTGTGGTGCCCCTCCGTAATAGCCAACACCCGGACGATCGATCAGCCATGGGACAGCATAAGCCCAACACTCGAAAACACCGCACCAAGCCTTCTCTCTTCCAAACCACACACACGCTACAATGCCCGTCCCTACACAGGAGGCGCAGCCCCATGTCGTCCTCCACCATCGAGGTCTCGAGACCACCTTTCGTGGCATCGAGCACCGTCTCTCGGAGGACAAAGCGCGGATACACCAGTTTCGGGGCATCAAGTACGCCTCGATACCAGCTCGTTTTCGACAGTCCCAGCTTTTCTCCAGCTATGCTCCGATTACTGATGCCACGAGCTATGGGTGCGTATCATTGAATTACTGGGCTCACGGGATCCATGCTAAACGACGGTTGCAGACCTATATGCCCACAAAAGAGACCCTCGAAATCAATAGAGGAAACCTTGTTTGGGATACCCCGGGAGGAAATACCTACGCAGAAGCTCAAGCAGGATGAGTTTGAGTGTCTGAACCTCAATATCACCTCCCCGGCAGGCCTCATCCCCTACCACTCTCGCGTACCCGTCATGCTGTGGGTGCATGGGTGCGCTTATTTCTCGTTGTCGTAGCTTGTGCTTTCTTTCTCACGATGATCTCGCTACCTTTTTACAGCGGCGGCGAGAGAGGCTCAGGCTCTCAATGGTACTACGACCCAGGCGCGATTGTGCGCAAGAGCATCGTTGACCACAAGCCTGTTATCTTTGTCACATTCAAGTGAGTCTGATCGCGTGCTATCCCTCGTCATCCTAACTCTCATTTCTTCCTTTCAGTTACCGGATAGGCATTTTGGGTTTCGCAGCCAGCCCAATAATCCGCGAAGACAACAGGGCCGCAGGTGAGGAGGGTACGGGGAATTACGGTTCGTCCTGTCTTCCATCGGATCCGATTCTAGATCGCTCATCGACCTTTTCATTTACATCTAGGCCTTCGCGATCAACGAAAAGCACTGGAATGGCTGCACCACAACATCGCAGAGTTTGGCGGCGACCCGAACAACATCACGCTCGCGGGGAATGGGTCGGGCGCTGCAGCCATCGTGTGTCACCTCCTATCGCGCCTGAACGAGACGAGGCCGCTCTTCCATCGTGCGATCATCCAGAGCCCGGTGTTTGAACCAACGCTTCCTGATGTGAGCAGCGCTGGCTGGCACCTATCGAGAGTGATGTCGGCGTTGCAGGTCTCGTCGATAGAGAAATTTCGTCATATCGACGTGGAGAAGCTCATCGGCCTGGGGCTGAACCTCGGGGCGGTGGATGATGGTGTCTTCTTCAGAGACGACTGGCAAAGCTACTTCGCACCTGAGACGGCACACGCACACCATCACCATCGGCAAGACCACCTGCAAGCGGGCCACGGCGGACGTCGGACGGGACGTAGCAGCTCGTCACCTCGGAATATGCGCTCGCGCTCTCGGACACCTCGACTCGATCCGCATTCTACCACCAGAAGTCACACCTCACCCACCCAACAACAATATCAACACCCGGCCCACCTCCAGCCCCTCATCATCGGTGATACTAGCGCCGACTCATTCCTGTGGGCCATGCCCATATCGTATTGGACGTCGAGCGGCGTCGTCCGCAGGCTGAAGGCGATCTGCCAGAGTTTGTCGAAGACGAGCGGCATCCAGCGCGCGTACGATATCGGCTCCCATATCCCTGACGAGGAAATCATTGACCGTGTACTGGAGCTGGTTGGCGATGCCCGTGTTGCGTGGCCTACGCACTGTGTCGCGGAGGCTGCCAAGCGGGAACGTGCAAGCGCAGCGATCGCTTCGGGCTCTGGGTTGGGCAGTGGCACGGGAGTGTGGAGATACGTCTTCGACCAGGAAGGCTCACTACGAGGGATACCACATTATGGTGCAGACTTGATGTACTTGTTCGACAACGTCCCCCTCCCAGCGAGTGCCTACACATTCGCAGGCGGCGGTGGGTACGACGCGTTTTGGGACGGCCCGTTCGATGTAGACGATGAGGAGGAGCTCAAGGAGAACGTCGCTTCGTGTGTTGCCGGTGTGCCGCACCTCGGCGGCGACATTGACATCGACTTCTGCTTATCTACTGCGGACTTCTCAAAGCCTCCCACCATCGCGTCCATCTCTTCGAGCTCTTCATTGGCTGGGCTCACACCCCGCGTACTCCCAAACGTGCACAGACCCTCCCCTCTCGCTAACGGCAGCGGCTACGAGCACGACTTAACCCGTGCCCTCTCACCCACACTTTCGCCCAGCCTCTCACCCTCGCTTGCCCACCACCGCAACTCGCACTCCTCCAGCACCTCCGTCGACACCGTCTCCAGCACCTCTCACGACAGCGACTGGCTGACGTCGATCGTTGACGTGTACTCGTATGCGCGTGTGCGCGACACGATGCAGGAGCGCTGGATCGCGTTCGCGCATGGCGAGGTCCCCTGGAGAGCAGATAAGGTGTTCGTGTTCGGCCCGGAAGGCGAGACGGGGGAGAGGAGCCAGGAGATTTTTGATGGGAGACGGAGAAGACAGCTTTGGAGGGAGGCACTAGAGCCTCTTGGTCCTGCCCTCGTCCAGAAGGTCGGCGTTGAGCTTAGCAGGGGGCCAGCGTCTGGTGCGGATCGGCGGTAGGCGTCGAGGGAGGATGGTTGGCGGTCGGTTGACCGTTGCATAGCCTGAGGACTTTACGGTCCTTGGCGCTCAAAAACGAAAATGCGTCTTGATTCATTTCATTTTTTCTTGGGGTTTGGGTATGTACACTATACTGGTTCTGGTCTCCACTCTTCTCTTTGCATGTTCCTCCTCGCTTTCGATAACATAACATCTGTTTTACTGCTCTCATCATCCATACCCGCACCCCAACTCATTCATCTCTGCCTCATGTTGTCTGTACAACCATTGCCCAAACACGCGCATCCTGCCTTCATCCTCACATTCATATGCATCATTGTGCTCTCTTGCATACACTACTAGCATCGCATTGCATTTTTGTTGTTGTAAAAATTGCATGAATAATAAAACATTGGATACCAGTGAAATGTAGCATAGAAGCCTTGGATAATGGAGTTGCTATCGAAGGCGTTGAAATCTATATGTGATCTATGTCGTTTCCTAAATCATATTTCTGTCGCGCTGCTATCTCGTTACCCGAGACAGACTCCAGAGGTTAGGGCACAACTTCGACCACATCCTTGCTATCTTGTGCACTCTCCGAGCCATCGACTGCGCTCACCACAAAAATCTGTGCCTTCAAAGCTACTTGTTCCTCCGCGTCCTTGAAAGCAGTCGAGAAGGGGAACCGTTCCTGGGACTTGGCCTTGAACTCATTGACACGAGTGGATTTTAGGGAGAAGAGGAACGATAGCGCTTCCAGTGTCATCTACGATGGACCAAAAACAATGAGGCCTAAGGATAATAATGAAGGTGAGCAACGCACTAAAACATCCGGCTCGACTTCCTCAGAGAAGACGCCGAAGAGAGTTTCCTCAACATCTGGCAGAGGTGCACCAAGCATTTGTGACGCCCTTGCGCAGGCTAGCACGGCGTGAGGATTGGTCGAATGTTGTTGGAGGTACTGCGAGTTATATGTCTCGAGCGACAGTTCGTCTGGGATTAGTTCAGAGATAGAAGATGTGAAGACGGGGCCAATGGGCGATGGCGGAGGCTGCGGTAGCGACGAAGCTGGTGTGATAAGACCGTCAGAGATAGCTTGGACATTCCACGGGAGGCAGTATACCTCGTTGTTTGAGATCTACAAGTCGAAGATGGAGAGACGGATAATCGGGTTGGAGGGCTTTGGCATGGTTCAGTGCACCGACTGCTTGCAGAAGCTTTTCTGTTGAAGAGTGATCCACGATTAGCACCACTGTCCAAGCCCAATGCGCTGGATCGACAACGGGCACTCACTCCTTCGAATCGCCACGTCATACACCGCGATCCATACATCCACATCTCTCTTCATCTTGCCCTCCTTACTCCTCCTATCAGCCACGGTCCCTTTAGCCTCTAGCTGCTTCACAATCGGCTGCAGCAGCTTCGCCGCCTGCTCTAGAGGGTCCGGCAGTACGAGGAGCTTCATCCCATTCGGGTCGTCGTCCTTTGGTGGTGCAGGCTCGAGATCCTTGTCTGCGTTTGTGTTTTGGTTTTGTGGTGACTTGTCAGACTGCTCCAGCACCTTCTTGGCGGCCTTCTTCGCCTTTGACTTGGCCTTTTTCTCTGCTTCGCTGAGTGGGCCTAGAAAACGATGCAAGAAGTGGTTAATGCGGGAAGGAGGGTCAGGTGTTCTCCTAGGACTAGGAGCGTCCGGATCAGGCGACGCACTTGAAGAGGTTAAGGATTTCAGGATGCTGGGGTCATCGTGTAGTGAGACAAAGATCTGGCATCGACAATAAGCAAGTCGAGGAAGGTTCGTCGAATGAAAGGTACACTGACCTTAGACGCTTCTACAGCAGCCTTGACGTAGGCAGGATGAGAACGCAGTTGGTCTTCCCACTTTAGCAAGCTAAGGCAAGCGAGAAAGAAGAGTAAGCATCAAAAATAGCCCTCATTCAACCAAAGGAGCCAGTGCCGCATGAATAGGGGCATCAACTCACTTCAAGTAAATGCCAATTGTGAACTTCCTCAAGTTGTACCCATGGAAGTCGAACTGGTCGTCCTCGTACTCATCGAAGACCTTCTTGACCACCATGTACCTCTTGAGTGCCATATTCGGCTTGTTGAGGCGTCGGTAAGCGTCAGCCTCCTCTAAGAGGAACAGCAGCGACTGCATGTCGTCGAGGTCTGCAGCAGGGCTGATGGCGTCTTTCTGCAAGTCCAATCAATAAGTCTGACCAGTCTGGAGAAGATGAGTGTTTGAATACGCACTTTCGTGAACATCCCAAATATCCTCTCCGCGTCCTCCACGCACCCAGCCCGAAGCAGGTATTTCCCGCACTTGGTGTTCAAGAATCGATCCTGCCCGTCCAGAGCCCGCGCGTCGTTGACTGCCCTGACAGCACCCAGGAAATCGCCACTTCGTTTCAGCACGCGACCACGTAAAAGATGAAGCTCAGGTAGTGTTGGTGTATGAACTAGGGCCTCCGAGAGCAGGGTCAAGGCCTTGCTATGCTGGGAGAGGTACGAGTAATGCTGAGCCAGGAAGTACAGTGTCCAGAGGTATGTTGTGGGCTCGACATTCTTGGATGGGGAGTCAGACGGTGCATATTCCTCGCGTAACGAGTCGACGATGTCTTCGATAGCAGCCTGCTTCTCCTTGTCTGCGTACAACGCCTTGAGGTCGGCAAAGAGCGATGGGATGCCCTTCTGTAACCCTCGGCTGATGTATGCCCTCGCAAGCTCGTGGAAATCGGAGCCGGAGGTGATGTTAAGCTGGAGTCGGCGCGGGGCGGTGGCACGGGTCAGGAGTTGGGCAAACTTTTGGAGTGTCGAGAGGGCTTCGCGGGAGGGTGTATCTGCACGGAGGATTGGAGGGTAGGTTGAGAGGTAGGAGAGGAAGACGCACCGAGATCAATACCCTTATCCGCCAGATACCCCCGATATGAGTCGTAATTGTCGGGATTATGCTCAATAAGCGCATGCCACGCGTCTTCTGCCTCGGGTGAGTGAAGTTTGGAGAGTAGTCGCGCTGGGAACGCCATCAGCAAGATTCCGCAAAGGAGTTCATGAGTCTGGACCTCTTCTCTCTAGGATTGCTGTTCGATCGACGATGGATCGTGAGCCGGCGTTCTCGTTGAGGACGGACAGTGCTTCTTGGAATTCGCCGAGTTCTTCAAGGACTAACAAATAGTACAAGAGGGTCTCCGAATGCTCGATGTCTGAGTCGGTTACATTCTTGGCAACATATGAACAAAGGAAATTGCAGCAGAGGGTTTCGCGCACCTTCAACGACCTCAGGTAATGCTCCAACACCTTCCTCGCCTCCGCTAGTTGCCCGTTTAGATGATGCGCGACCGCCAACGCAACCCAGTTCTGCCGCAGGTTGGGCCGCAGTCGGAGGATTGTATGCCGCGTGTCGACGAGGTTTTCGAATAGTCGGAGGTGGGTCTGCAGCTGGGCCGAGTCGCGCAGGAGGTTCATATTCTCCTGATGTCGACATCGTCAAGCCACGCATAAAGCTCAAAGCACCCCTCGCACCTTGTCGAACTTGAGCGCCTGCGTGTACGACTTGAGCGCCTCCTCGTAGTTTTTATCGGCTTTCTGGATTAGCCCGAAGACGTGCCAGCAGATGTGCGACATGAGATCAAGCCGGACGCCTTTTTTCACGAGATCGATGCCCTCTTCGCGCCGGCCCATGTGCGTCAGCAGGAGCCCCTTCATGCATAGTGTTTCTGCTTGACTGTGAGCACCGCCGGTCGCGACGATGGATGTCGATGCGCACCTCCATGTTCGGGAAATTTCTTCAAGATCTGCTCGGCTGTTTTAAGGCCCTTCTTGAGCTGTCGGGTTTCATATAGAGCCAGAAGCTCTTTGAAGAGCGTGGCCTCTTTCGAGGGCAGAGGATTACGCTTTGCCAAAGCCTTCGACATCCCGGCGGTAGAAAGAAAAGGTGTGTTTGATGGTTCTTGATGCAGATGCAGAAAAGATGACGCTCTTCCTTAGCTTTTGTGGGCGTGAATGGACGTGAATGAATCTTGGGCACTTCGGATACGGGCGTCAAATGAGAACAGGAGCAGCCGACATATAAGTTGGCGTTCAGGACCCCAGTCCGGAGCCGTCAGGAAATCGTGCTCTCGGCAAGAATTTCTTGGCGCCGCATTATTTGACGTTGTATGGCGAAGGCGCTACGGGCCGCTGTCGATTATTCTTTGCGTCTCCCAATTCGCGAAATTGTCCTAACAGAATATCATGGCAGAAAGCTTGTCGGAGTTCCGATAAGAGTGTCGAGGAGAAATCAGGAGGGCGCACAAAATAAATATATATATTCTTGGTCGCCCCACCAAATCGTAATGGATGACTGTCCGTAAGCATTTATTCGCCGCAATAGATTATATTCGTGCTCCTTGGCGGTGATGCCGCGATGCCGCTGCCAACATGTCAACGCGGATTATCCGTCGTGCCTGGTTGGGCCCCTCAATAAACCTTAATCTATTCAGAGGGTCCTACCCCCTCGAATAGACTTTTTTCGGTCGAATAAACTGTTTGTCCCGTGATGCACAACCAAACAACTCCCTGTTTCTTAACCTTCGTCATCGTCCATCGTTGTCGTCCATCGTTGCCCATCGAGCTTGCCAAAGCCCCCTTCATGTGTGAGAGTGAGTCATTACATGCTACTACTTCCTCGTACCATGCTAATCACATCCAATCATGAGCAGGGTCTGCAATTAGGTCCTTTATTGGCTGCAGCCCGCATTGCCAGGGGCTTAATTGCGCTCGCTAGTGGTCTCGAGACGGTCTTGAATGGCTTGAGGAACATTATCGAAGGCTTAGGAGGGGAAATGAGGAGCGGAAGACGGCTGAAATGCATGGAGAGATAGGTATAAAAGTGGTGAGTCGTTGCTGCTACCTCCCAGGCTTCGTGTCACCAAAACTCAGCTCGTTCTACCTCTTCATCAACCACTATGGACCCCAACCAACTTACCCCTGTTCCTGGCAACCCTAACATCCGATATGACAGGTTTGGGCGGCCATATGTCCAAGATGTCTCTGGTCATTGGGTTCAGTTATACGCGCCAACCATGGTGACTTCTCAGGTAGGTACCCTACCCTATATGGTGTCTCTACATGTCTCAATCCCTCTTTCCTTCTCTTTCAGTCTGTCCCTACTGCAACTCATGGATTTCCTGCTGTGTCCCAGAACGAAACTGCCCCGGTACGTTTTGTTATATCTTATTGTTGTCTACACCAGTCCTGACTTGTTTTCGTCAGACTCGCCCCCATAATAACATGGAGGATGGTCCAAACCAACCGCTTTCTGAGGCTCTTGTGGTATGTAGCCTCCTAGATCATATATCTCCTTTGTTCTAATGCTGTGTTAGATTGTTACATCCACTCGAGCCCCGACAGCCGGCCCTTCTACTGCAGTGATCGATCCGGCGCTTTTACCTCTTCCTGAGGTCTTGGACGACGACCTCTCTGACCCGGTCACAATTGTGAAGTCCCGGGGCCATGCCGCTGCGAAGAAGGTCGCTGGATCACGTCAGAAGGGCAAGGGCAAACAGCGCGCTGTACTAACCAAGTCTTGCGATAAGGGAAAGGAGAAGGCCACCGCTCGCAAGCGCAGGCATGCCTCGGATGATGAAGAAGTTGAGGTAGTAGCCAAGCGTGGCCGTCCCAAGGGTGCTGGCAACTACACTGCAGACGAGGTTGATGCCCTCCTTGACTTTGTCGAGGAGGAGCTCCCTCTTGGCCAACGCGGGTGGCAGTCCATCCACCGTGGTTTCACTCGCTGGGCTCGTCGTAACGATGCTGCTGAACGCACGTTAAAGTCTCTGGAGACCAAGTTCAAACAGGTCAGCCGTTTTTGGTTATATGTAAGAAACATCGTTACTTACAACACATCTTAGCTTGTTAAGACCACGAAGCCCACTGGTGATGCCTATTGTCCCCCGGACGTCAAACGAGCACACAAGATTGACGGGCGTATCAACGAGAGGGCTGCCACCTGCGATCTCAACGACTCCGACTTCGATGATGCTGCTCAGTTGACTGGTGGATCTGAAGATGACGACGACGATGCCGACGACATCCCAGAGGCACCGAAGAAATCGAGGAAGGCGGCATCCGCTGGCAACCGTGATATCCAGAATGCTATCATCCGCCGACCTGACCCCGCTGTCCAGCGCCGCTCTCGGTCAAACAACGTCGACCTCATCGGAAAGCTTGCCAATGCCTTTGATCCGAGTGTCCAACAAGCTCGTGATGAGGAACGTGCCCAGCGTTCCTTCCAAGCCTCGCAGATGTTCACCCTTTCCCAGCAACTTCGAGATGCCAACCTTACCATTGAGTCGCTCCACTCCCAGCTCTCTACTCTCCAGACCCAGGTTCATGAGGCCCAGCGAGCCCGCGATCGTGCTGAGTTGCAGTTGCAGCTCATTGAAGAGGGTAGCCGCCAGTCTCGACCTTTCAGGAGGAGCCGCCACAATGGGTATGTCAAGCGCTCGAAGTCCACAAAGCGTTCAGTCCAGTGTGTCCGGGGAAAGATGTGTTGCAAGGAGAGGTACCCGGAGGGAGGTATACACACGTACTGGGTCACGGATCCCTCCTCTACCTCGGGTGAGAGTGATAAGGAGAACGAGGACCCCAATTTCTTCCGTCACCGCTGTGACATTGACTATAGAGACCAGCCTTCGTCGTCGTCATCGTCAGGCCATCACTTTGGCATAGAGTTGCAAGCTTTGACTACTTCCCAGCCCAATGCTGCCACTGCCACAGCTGGCAAGGACCAAGATGGTGAGGAGGGTGACGATGACGATATATACGTCAAGGATGCTGATGGGCCCAAGGACGAGTAGAGTAGTGCAACATCTACTTCTGTCTACACTTATGTTCTGTTACTTGTTGTGTTCCGCTACAATTACCATACACCTGCTTGTAATACAAACCTGTTTACGTGTATTCTGCGTAAGTATGGAAGCGAGCAACTCTATCGTTCTTTCGTTGATCTGAGAAGAGCATATTCTCAAAGTTCTGCCAGATATCAATGTCCTCAGCTGTGTCCTGCCAGTATCGCATGTATACAGTCCGGATCTGATTGATTCCCACTCATCTTGTGCGCAGATTATTGAGGCGATTGCAGATCTCAAGGAGATTTCCTCGACGTTCTGCATTGTCAATGGGAAGTGGAACACGGAGACGACCAAATGCTCCTTGAAGACCTCAATTTCCCCACTCGGCTGTTTGCCGATATGAGAGAAGCTCACGGTCATAGGCCATTCGCTCCGCAATCTCGTCTGGTGTACCTCGCACAGCCTGGCCAGCCTTGAGTGGGGCGTGAATGCGTCCTGCAATGGATTGTGTTCCACAAGGAAATGCTGTGTCAGCAATGAGGTAGTATCCAGGTGGTGTTCGTGTGCGAAGCCGTTCAAAAATAGGACGAGCAACATTAGCATCGTGCCAACTGCCTGGTGCATTTACAACAGCATCAATGATTTCACCTAAGATATTATCAGTGAATGAAGTTACAATAGCATTGATGTTCTTGCCTTTCGGTGAGAACACAAGTACTGAGCTGACAAAATGCTCTGAGAGCCACCCGTTGTAGGTAGCATTCTCAATATCTTCATCCTCTGATGTTTGGACAGGAAGATTCAATCCGTCGATGGCAGCGAAGGCCCCAATCAGTCAAGGATGTTGAACAATGATAAGATCATTGTATTCTTGGAATTGCCCACCACCTGGGCCACCCTTTGGCCACTTGATACGGGCATCTGGCATTCTTCGCAAGACCTCGAGAAGTATGTCAAGTGAGAAGTCAAGATACTGGACAACTGTGGCAGGGATGAGAGCAAAGATTTGCTGCAAGCTGACGTCGAGCATTGTGGAGCTGAGATAATGGAGGACAAGGCCAAGGGCCCCTGGGGGATCCAAAGATCGGCCGCCTGGTCGTGGATCTCCTGAACGAGAGGTATCAGTTCGGGGGATGGGTGTTGAGAGCCAGGTCTGTACAAAACCCGACTCGAGAATGAAATCGAAGGTGGCAACATCGAACCCCATGGTTGTGATATATGCACGGTCACTCCTGCTGTCGTAAAGGGAGGTCCATGGTGTCGCAATCCGGGGGTTCTCCAGGAGTTCAGGGCGGGTAAGATATTGGCGGGTTTCGCGATGTCGTTCATTCCGTAACTGACATGAGATCTCGGCACCTCCCACTATGACGCCGAGTGAAGCAGCACCCATCTCCCAGTACTCTTCATCTGCCTCCTCTTCAAGTTGCTCTGTGAATTGTTGGAATATGAGTGCATCTTCATTCATGGCTGGCTAGAGATGGGTGGAGGCCCAGGGAATGACAATTATCTTTAATCACGAGGCTTGCGGTTTAATCAGATGAATAGATTATAAGATTATCTTTGAATTTGAGGTCCGACTTTGTTATGAAATATTCTACTGTGGAATAAATACCTTACAGACAGTCATCCAATACTTACTTCCGAGTCTGGTCCATCTACCGAGGGGTACTGTACCGATACGACCTACTCTTCTGTCACACGTCACGAAGGGGTTTGAAGAGAAGAGATATTGAGAAATGTCACGCGTCCCGAGGCAATTTGAAGAGTGACATATTGAGAAATGTCACGCGTCCCGAGGCAATTTGAAGAGTGACATATTTTTTCGCGCCCTGCGGGGCGTTCGGGCATGACATATATAGAAATATTTCATCCATCTTCGTGAAGACTGTTGGGTTCGGTCACGCGTCCAGGGCGAGTTTGAAGAGTTGCAAATCTCTTCACGGACGTCACGCGTCACTACCCTTGAAGAGAAGGTCGTATCGGTACAGTATACTCCAGTAGTATGTGCAGGCATCGTCATAACACAAAGACAGGTAGCAGTGCATAATTCAAACAGAAATTCAGCTCTATATATTTGTGTGGATGGCCTAAATGCAGCTCAGAAAAATCAGGCCCTTGTGCTGGCTAGTGTCCCGAGTGCTCTCAATCATTTCGCTGAAGTTCCACTTTCTCAGGTGACATTTTGTTCGTACTCCATCCAATTTTCGTGCCACTTGTTCCTAAAGACAAAATAGTTGTGGATGTGTTGTTTCAGGTCTAGATAACAGGATTGGAATTATAGGAAGAATAAATGGAATTCAATTAATTCATGTCTCTTGAGATGATTCTTGGACTGAAGAAAAAACCTTCATACAACACATGTTACTCATAAAATTATGCCGACGATGTACAATTAACAAGGTTATATAAGACATATATTCAGACCCACTTTCCATACAACTATTTTTGTATGCATTCATATATTAGTTGCTCCATGTAGTGCTGTTCTGCAATAAGCATAAACATCGCCCTCTGGGTGGGCCTGGCCATGTAAAGCAAGAAATAAAGAAGTGAAGCATACACAGTCCCTCCAAGTTGTGCCTTGAAGAAATATCAGAGACCATTGCAAGGCTGCTTGTCTTTGCCACTCCATCACATGAATGGTGCCCTGTCATGCCAAGTGACTTCTGTCGGAAAAATCAAATTTGGCCTATATAACCATATATGGGCATATAAGGACCTGTTAGGGCATCAGAAAATCGGGGTTCATATGGATGGCAAAAAGTCACCCATCCAATTGTATAATATGTGCAAGGATTATCGAACTTATGGCTCTAAAACACCATATTAGGCCTGATTCCGTGTCCACAGCTGTTCAGGCCTTCTCCAGGGTTATGAGGGTGAATAGGTGTCTTCAGAAAAACCTACAAATGCTGACCGAAAAAAATCATATTCAGGTGTACTGATGCTTGTCCTTATCCAAAAGGAGGGAATAAAAATTAATTTCATTTTCTACTCTAGGAGAATTACATGCCCCCCCTCAGGATTTACATTTCCGTCGTTGTACAAACAAAAGAAACCAACATTTCGAGCTGCTTGAGGGAACGGCCAATCAAGTTGCAGCCTTGAATGAAATTAACTCAAATTCATTGTGGGACCAAATAAATCCTTACCGTTTGTGTACAGAAGTGAGCCAGCCGCTGTCCTATCCACCAAAGTCAGCTGCAACTTTCTAACATATGAAGATGGATGCACATTAACAGAGTCAGCACCCCACCTGCTACCTGCTTCTCACAATCAATGCCTTAGAGAAAATAAGAAAGCCTATTTGTGGTGAGTCAATGTTAAAATACAGAGACGTAGGATTGTAGGCATGCACCAAGTATAAGACGCCCTGCTAAGTGAAGTCTAAGTAGGTGATACGTGAACAGAGTGAGGATGCACCATCAGACAGAAGCTGGGTACCACCAACATCCATCCAATCTTGAACTCAAAGTCAGCAGGAAGGAACTGCACTGGAATAAGACGACAAAAGCCTGTTTTTATAACCCTTTCCTGCCTGGACCTCTGTGCCTAGATATCGCCCCGAGGCTTATCTCTGACTCAGAATTCACAGGCCTAACCGACTGCTGGAGGGATGTGGGTGCTTCAAGGCACTAATCTGGATCCTAATTCAACCCCACGATGTGTAAGTATGCTGATGAGACTTTTCCCTTCATCCTGGTCTATTGCCCACAGCCCCAGAGGTACAGACTTTAGGACAGCTCCCGTGACCTAGGGTATGCTCAGAACTTCAAGTCCACTTGTGAGCTGAATAAATGGACACTTGCCTTAGTCAAAACAAGTACCCTTTGAAGATAATTTTGACGTTTCAAGAGGGTGAGAGGTATCTTCTTTTGAATTCCTTCTTCGAAAACTACAGCTTTTCAAGGTAAAGTGATCAGATGTGATCAGGACTTACCAGAGGTTACGGATTTCTGATACTCACTGACGCTTGACTTACCGGCCCTTACAATTGATTATTAGTAGCATCACACCAGCATATCAGTGGGGCCAGGGGTGCCAGGAGCCGCAACACCTTATAATGGAAATTGCATTTTTCCGACATCTGGCCTCTGCAAGTTGACTTTCCACTTATCTTGTGTATGCACAACTCCTGTTAATGAGGAAGCATCAGAGATTCCAAATGCTTGACATCACATCTAGAGGAGAGAGTCATTAGGGTGGGTGAAACAACTACTTAGGAGCACACAAATATGGTTAACATTTCCCATTCTCTCACCACCATATATAGGAATCCGTTGCAGATGGTACAAAACCTTGGACATTTTTAGTGTCCATGCATTGGCACTGGAGATGAAGTGTGGCGCACTTTCCCCATACAGTAGTTGTTCCCACAGCTGTTGCCAAGTCATTTCAGTTTAATGAGGGATACGGTTGGTTCTTCCAGTCTGGTGAGGTTGGTATAGCAAAGACCTGCTCGTGTTATCTCTAACCCACAACACTCGGATTTCCACGGTTTGGAAATCGGGCAACAGAACAGGCCAAACGGCCTCTACTTTGTCAACCATCCATAGTGCAATGGGAAAGGAACATATTTTGGAGAGTATTATAGCAGCTGGTTAAGGTGAATTCAAGCTTAATTGTATCTGAAACAGTGTAAGTTTACGACAACAGACGCATCCGTCATTTCACTGGTGCTTGTACCCTTTGCCATCTCTGGCTTCTTATTTTGTTCCCCACTTTGAGAATCGCCACTGCCAGTACTAATGTTCTAACACCATGCCAGCATGTTCGGATTGCAGGTTTAATTGGAATCAGAGTACGACTGGCCGTACAGGGCAGCTTTGCCGCACAGTCGACTCAGGGGACCGTGCAGCATTGGTCTCGCGAGTGAGATCGACATGGTTTTATGTGATAGTGACCTCCAACTAGTGATGAATAAACAAGATGTAGGAGCCCCCGTTCAGGTTCTCGGTATCGATTTAATATAACAAGGAATATATCCTTGTCAGAGAACTCATTGGAGCGGGGTTTGGCCTAAATGTGGCTGTGTCCAGCTGCAGATACATTCGGGCCGTTGACTGACAACATCTCCGCCGACCCAGGCGCAATTCTAAAAATAGCATCCTCAAAATATAGCACCTCTGGCATATATAAAGCCCCAACCTCTCAATCTAGAGGCAACCTATCTTCCCCCGCAACAGTCACCACCCTTCCCGCCGCTTCCCTCTCTAGTCTCCTTTTGCATGGTGAACATAAGCCCCACTCCGATGCGATACTGACACTTCCTCTCCTTACTCTAGTTTGGCCGCCCAGTTCGGAAATCCTAGGACTTCAAGCTTCAATCTTCGGGGCAAATCAGGAGGCGTATTAATTCAACCGATAGAAAATGCAACGTGATCTTGGAAGATATTTCTCGACTTCATGTCAGTCTTAATTGCTCGCGCCTGGAATTGGTTCGCCATGGAGCCCATGAGCACAGGACGTTGAAGCTCTTCAGAGGTCATAGAAACGTCTGAAGACTCTTCTACGATAAATCAAATCAAGTAACAGTTGAAACTGTAGCCACATCTCCTAGGAAAAGAAAATCCAAGGCTACGGTTCATGGTTAATGCAAGATATCCCTAGGTAAATTTCCTTAAGCCGTCGCTTGTTTATGAGAGTAAATGTCTTCTTCGTATTCCACTACTAGTATGTGTACACTGTAAAGTTCTTGAACCATCGCTACAGTGCCTAGAGAGACCTCGGCAGCAATAACTGATATTCACGAGTGGCTTGGCCTTATCCCAGACAAAGCCAAACAACGCGTGGTTTCTCTTGCCTCGACCGTCATCATGGTCGCGCACACCCGCCCTTCCAAGAGCAAACTCACCTTCAGAGAAAAACTCGCAGGAAAGGGCGTCACTACCGACAATCTCCTCAAAAAGCTCAAGACTTTGCACACCCAACTCGCCGCGCTCGACCAAGAAACAGTCGACACAAATTCGCTCAACACCGTCCGGACAGAGCTTATCCATACCTCCCTCCTCCTCCACAAGGACCGCGGCGTCAAGGCGTACACATCATGCTGCCTGGCGGACATCCTGCGGCTGTACGCCCCAGAGGCGCCCTACACCCAGCACGAGCTGCGCGACATCTTCCAGTTCTTCTTCCGGCAGCTCTCAGCGGGGTTCAAGGGCGCCGACGAACCATACTATAATGAATACTTCCACCTCCTGGAGTCGCTATCGACGGTGAAGAGTGTGGTATTGGTGTGTGACTTGCCTTCGAGCGACGAGCTGCTGCACGAGATCTTCCGCGACCTGTTTACGATTGTGAAACGCGACTTTACGCGAAAAGTGGAACTGTTCATGGCGGATATTTTGGTGGCACTCATCGACGAGTGTTCATCATTCCCGAACGATGCGTTGGAGGTGATAATGGGACAGTTTATTGAGAAAAACGCGGTACGTGGACGCACTTGAGTCAGCAAGGTCAAGACTGACAGTAGCTGCAGAAGGTCGATCAGCCAGGCTACCGGCTCGCCGTCCAAGTATGCAACGCCGCCTCCGACAGACTGCAACGATATGTGTGCCAATACTTCGGCGACCTCCTGACGACATCGGACGATTCTGAAGAGAAAGAACAAGACAATGTTCAGACATCACACGAGCTCATCAAACGACTGCACCGGTCGTGCCCTGCCGTCCTGCACAGCGTCATCCCCATCCTGGAGAGCGAGATGCGTTCGGACGTGCTCGCGTCTCGCCTGATTGCGACCTCCACCCTGGGCGAGATGTATGCAGACAAGGGAGGGCCGGAGCTGGTGAAGAAGTACCCGAGCACATGGCAGCTGTGGTTGGGACGGAAGGCGGATATTTCTGTGCCTGTACGACTGAAGTGCATCGAGGCGATGCCAGGAGTGATTGGGAATCTGCCGGAGGCGAAGGATGCGTTGGAGGAGCTGTTGCGGCTGAAGATCTACGATCCCGACGAGAAGGTGCGTGCGGCGACGTGCAAGATCTACTCGCGGCTTGACTACGAGACGGCACTACGACATGTCTCGGAGGAGCAATTGAAGACGGTCGTCGGGCGTGCACTGGACAAGAAGAGGACCGTCAGAGCAGAGGCACTCAACGCGGCTGGGAAGCTCTATAGTTTGGCTTATCCTGAGATGTACGTTCTGCACCCTGTCTTGCGGGTATAATGTTCTTATTTCCTGCAGCGAGAACAACGACCCAGCTGCCATCAAGCAATTTGCCTGGATACCCGACCAGGTCCTCCAGTTCACGACCGCGACGAACGAGATCCGGACACAGGTGGAACAGATCCTCCTCGAGTACATCTTCCCGCCACCCTCAATATCAACATCATTCGCGTCGAAGGAGAAGGACGTGGACGAAGTTGCGTGGACGGATCGGCTGCTGAACATGATGAGATATCTCAGTGAGAAGAGCGTGGCAACACTCATGGGGGTGGCAGGTTTGAAGGCTTCGTGCGTGTTCTCCTGTTTTCTTACCTTTCCGTTACTCAAGCTCGTGTGTATGAAGCCGGCCCACCATCTATGATGCCTTCCTCGGGATGTGCATTTCGCAAGCTGCGGCCTCCTCTCTCGATGCCCCTTCTCCCTTTAAAGATACCTCTACCTCGAAAGAGGCCGAGAGCAAACGGTTCAGCCTCTCCATTGCTCATATCGCGAACGGACTGCCCGAACCTCAACGCGCCACATCCGACCTCCAAGCCTTCGCCGCCTCGCACGACCAACGGCTGTACAAGCTCCTGAAGACTTGCATGGACCCCCAAAGCGAGCTGAAGGCCGTCATCCGTTCTGGCTCCGAGTTCACGCGCAAGCTCGACGGGGAGAATGAGACGATGATGATTATCCTCCGGCGGGCGAGCTACTGGATTGTCAACCAGAGCTGTATGCCGACGCTGCTGAAGAGGGTGCGAGGTGGCGAGAGTGGTAGGCCGAGCTTAGGCGGAAGTGCGACTAGGAAGGCACAGAGTGCGCTGACGCTGCTACATGCGATGGCGAAGCACTCGCCGGCACTGTTCAAGAACCACGTGGCAGAGTTGTGCAAGGCCATTGCGGCTTGTGAGGCCGAGGGCAGCTGGACAAGTGTGGAGGTGGCTCTCATGGCGCTTGCGGGTGTGGTGAGATGGAATCCGGAACTTGCGAGCTCGGTGGATAAGTGAGTGTACGTGCCCTCGTGTCGTGTTCGCGGAGTGCTCACGATTGACTTAGGAAGACGAACGAGCGCGTTGTCAAGGTTGCACTGGGCGAGAACTGGAGGGCGGCCAAGTTCGCTACAAGGTATCTGGCGTTTTCGAAGAACAAGAAAGAGCTCTGCGCCGAGGTCGTTGAGGTGGGCATGCTGCCCTTGTCTTCCTTGTTATGGGCTAACATTCGACGTGGATCCAAATAGTCGATTGCAGACGCTATCTCAGAAACCAAAGATAATTCGCTGCCAGTAGGCCACATCGCCTCCCTCGCACAGCTTGCGCGCTTCGCGTCAGATGTGTTCGAGACGAAAAGCGACGTCATAATTACATACCTCGTCAAGCGGGTCTTGATGACCCCTAGTAACGCAGAACTGGTATAGTCTATCCATCCATCCTCCCCTGTGTCATATTCTTGTGCTCATGAGATTTCAGGACGACTCAAACCCCGACGAAGAATGGCTAGAGAACGAAGAAGTACCCGACGAACTACATGCGAAGATTCTCGCGCTGAAGGTGTGTCGGAACCGGTGTCTCGCCCATGCAAAGGAAGAGGGAGCACTGGATATCGCGAGCCCCGTGTTGAAGCTGCTCGCGACGTTGATCGAGCATGAGGGTTCGGTTGGTCCGGACGTAGATGATGAGTGGGTGTTTTTTTCGCGTTATAGCAATACGCCATGGAAGAGTGCTCATGGATCTGGAATAGCCAAGGATCAAGTCGCGGATGAGGCTACAAGCCGCCATCTCACTTCTCCATCTATCGACGGTCGAGGTGTTCGCGAATGCTATCACTCCTAAATTTGTTAGGCTGGCTTGTGTCATCCAAGTGAGCTTCAGACTTGCTTTTATTTGAGCAGAATAGTTAACGTTGCCTGTAGGACTCGTGTTTCAATGTTCGCATCGCCTTCCTGACGAAACTCGTCGCGTTCCTCCAGCTGCGGAAACTTCCACCTCGGTACAACGTCGTACCTTTCTTAACCGTCTTGGATCCTGAGGCGGACACCAAATCCTTGGTTCGTGGATCAAATCTCGAGCCGACCATCTCTTGCTGGTGCTAAATCGACGTATACAGGCATCGCACTACGTTGAGAATGCGAAGAAACGACTACCGCCAGGTATGTTCAATAAGCCTCAGGGTCCGCCAGGAACCAATTTTATGCCTTTTTCAGCCGTTCGCCTTGAGCATTTGGAAGTTATCTTTATCCGGCTCCTTCATCTGCTGGCACACCACCCGGATTTCGCTACAGACCAGGAAGAATTACCAGATATGGCCAGGTGCCTTTCTTTTCTTATGTTCAGGTCCTAAAAGTATGCTGAACAGGGCCTGCCTCCATCCAGTTACGTCCAATTCTACCTTGACCACGTAGCCACCTCGGAGAATATCTCATTGTTGTACTACCTCGCGCAACGAGGGAAGACAGTCCGCGACCCTGAATCGCACGCGCAAAGCGAGGTTCGGAGTTTCTTTCTCTCGAGATGCAACCTATTCTGACAGCTTTGCAGAACTTCTACATCATGTGCGAAATAGCACAACTTCTTATTAAGGCTCGCGCGACGGCGCAATCGTGGCTGCTTCCTGCGTATCCGGGCAAAGTCCGCTTGCCGTCGGATATCCTGAGACCACTGCCGAGTCCCGAAGCAACAAACGAGGTATGATTGTCTTACCTGTCGGTCGCTTCGTGTGGAAATTGAACGTTTTTGTCATTCAAGATACTCAAAACGACGTATTTGCCCGCCGAGGCTGAGGGATGGTTAATTGAAAAATTCAAGCTTGGTGGATCAAAGGTATGGTTTCGTGTCGACCGTCATGCCCAACCCTTAACGTGGTGAATAGGAGAGAAAGGAGAAGGAAAAGAAGGAAAAGGTGCCCACCAAACGAAAGGCAACGTCCACAAAACCGAATGGCGCCATCAAGTACGACCCATCGTTCCCGCTTGCAGTATCGGGAAAGCTAACACTCCCCTAATCGTAGACGCCGTAGAAAGAGAGCCACCGATGAGTCGGATGACGAGCTCGAAGAGGCTGGTACCAGTGACGTCGAGATGGAGGACGTCGAATCTCCAGCTCGATCAGGCAAGCGCCGTAAAAGCGACATGTCTGAAGATGCTGAGCCAAGGCATCAGAGCCGAGCGGAGAGGCTCAGTGCGCGGACAGCCGCGAAGGTGTGTAAATCCCCTCTAGGGACGAAGACTCCTTGTGTGTTCTGACCAGAGATGTTCATTAACACAGGAAAAAAATGGCAAGGGTAAGAAGACCGACTCTGACCCTTCTTCCGATGGGTGATCTCCCGCATGTTCCTTGTTTCTCATTGCTTTATTCGATATTTTGTCTTTGGATTTCGCTCTTCTGGTGACGACGTGATCTACCGTGCTCTGTAATGATGTACCCCTTACTGTATTGGCCGCTTTCTCTCTCGCTCATTTATTCTCGTAACATGGCTCGACTTTGTAGTAATGTCCTTTTCTATATGTTGAATTGATTGCTAGACATCCATTACAACAGTGCGCTCAGGAACGTCGGAAGACCCCCAGGCGCCTAATTAATCGCCAGTCAATTGCCAGTGTTTGTCCTCCACAAATCAAGACCAGCATTGTAGTCGATCCAGGAAAGACCATTGTTGAAATCGCTGGGTAGGTAGGTTGTCACTTCTAGGGATTGTCAGTTTTGGGACAGTGGACAGAACATCACTCACCAAGGTCTCGATACACGTCGTCTCCGCTGAATGTGTCGAAGAACAGCTATCACCGGATCATTAGGAATTTACTGTCAGGTCACCTCTTCCTAAGCTCCTACCATGTCCGAATATGCTATTCTCCCGCTGGCATAACCATAGATATTGTTGAAATGTATCGTTTTTCGCGCTTTGGGCAAAATTGTCTCAGTGAAGAGAAGAGTGGGTGTTCCAATGAGGAGGCCGGAAAATGAAGACCGTACCTGAGAAGACCTCGTCGTAAACAACATATTCGATAATAGGCTTCCATTCATTGTCTGCATTTTGAGCCTTGAAATGCCAGAGGGCCCTGTCGCACCTATATTCAGAGGATTATTCGTGGTCTAGCTCAGAGCACAACCGCAACACTCACAAATCTTTGTTGGGGTTCCGAGAGACGACTGCGATCGGGACTTTGTTCAAGAGGAGGTCGTGGATGATTTTCGGAATGTCGTTGGACATCCATATCTGGTTCGCGTGGTTCCTGTGCTGAGGTCAACCATAATATTCTTCGTTCGTCGAGATCAGCAACCCTCTACACACTTCACATCCCTTAACATGCGAGGGTTTACCAACTCGAAGTTCTCCCGAAGGTCTCCTCGTACCCATCCCTCGTTACCGAATTTCTTGTCGTCGAGGGGTGGGGACCAGATCACATTACTGGATGGAAGATGGGTCAGGATGACAAGCCCTACACAGAGGTAGGAGATGATTCTCACTCGACCTCAAAGGCAACGAGCTTAGGGTAGGTAGGCATGTCGTTGAATGAAGGTGACTGATTGTTGACCGGTCTTTTAATCTTTCAAGTCCGATGCGGAGGAAGGGACTTGCAGGCTCCACCTTCTGCGATAAGCACGTCGTAATCCTGGAAAGGAGAACGTTTGAAACCTATGCGCCTCAAGAATACTGTCAGGCTGTTGCAAACGCAAGGAGTTGGCGCCTTCGTTTGATGGATGACAGAGCGTATCGAAGACGTCGGAGTCTCAAGAAGATATGCCCCCGTGGTCAGTTGGACCTGGAAAAGACCCCCACGCAGCCATTCTGGCTGTCAAATGCTGTGGGATATGAGAGCACATCCAGACCAAAAAAGGCCTGCATCATTCGAAGTCGGCGACATGTCGCCGAGGAATAGTCCGCAAAGTAGCGGGTGGGCGCAAGTTGCACGTGCGTAGATTCACGGGCGCTTATTTATCTCCACCAGTCTCCACCGCTGTCTTCATGAACTGATATCGACTGATACTAGTTACATGAAAAGAGATCCTTTTATAGTCATATTACAACGTCCTCTTCGTCAAAAGAAGCCCGGTATCATCATCTCTGTCCACCTGACATCAATTACTTATCAAATTCTGGCTAATCCTTACTAACTTATCTAACCGAAGAAATGGTTCTCGCCATGATTCACACTATCCTCTTTGGTTTCGGACGGAACTCTGATACCCCACGCGGAAACCTTCTTCTCATATTGAAGTTTCTTCAACTTTCCGGTCCTGGTCATCTTCCGTGCCTGGGGAAGAGAGAGCGTTGTACCGAACATCAACGCATCCTGGACCTGCGGATAGATGACCATCTCATTGAATCTCTTCTTCGAATTAATGGTAATGTTGTAGTGAGACTTTCCCATCTCGTACATGTAGTGATGTCGCGAGAAGAGAATATATGGCTTCTCAACGTGGTAGTGCTTGTGAATATACTCGTCGCGATGGATCTGCATTTTGGCATGTCTTCGGCGGTAGCGTGCTGATTATCTGTGAGATACCCCTTCTTGGGATAGAACCAGATCTAGCGGAGGGTTAGAACATTACGTCGGTGAGGACCAAAGCATACCTTCTTTAGTTCGTTCAGGAAAACATCCTTGTCCCGAACGAATATCTCGCAGACTTTGTTGTCTCCACTATCTCTTCCCCACTGGCTGAAGAACATGGCCCTAATGCGTTAACTCGTTAGGATGGAAATTATAAGAAGAAGGTAAGTCCGTACACTTGCGGATTGTCCGACGCGTAGAGCCCGTAACCGAAGCGTGCAGGGCGCTTCGTAAACTGGCGCCTCTTTCCTTGGGCGTACAGCAATGCGGTCTCGCGGTCGGTCCCTGCGTATCCTATAAGCATCTTGTTAGGATGCGGATCAATCAGCCTTGGCGGATGGGCCACGCGAATATATTGATTTTTTCGCCACTCGTCTAAGCCATCGAGGTAGTCCTGCCAGGTGAGGCCATCGTTGTGGTGCTTGACGAGCTTGAAAGTTACACCTGGAATGATGTCTTACGTTTTAGAGTCGAATCTTCTGGTCAACAGGGACGTGCATACCTTCCCATGTTTCGACCTCGAGGTTGAGAGGCTGGTCGTCGAAGATAAGCTTGATAATATTATTTCGTGTTACTCTCAAATTTCATCCGCGGGAAAGGCAAGGGCCCTCACCATATCATGATATTCGTAGCCGCTCCAGTTTTTTATCCTTTTGAAGTGCTTCTGCTTCGATTCTATGCAGCATGTTATTTCAGCGAGAGGTCAGTGAGCGGCAATTAATCAGCGTGCTTACCGTCCTTGACCTCGTCATATTTAATGAAGTCCGTGATAGGCCTCATCTGCTTGGTCTCCGGATCTCTGGCTTTGAAGTACCATAGGGCTCTGTCGCATCTGGTATGAGGTATAGTCCTGATCAGAAGGGAACGAAACCGGAATTTGTCTGGACTGCGTACAGCGCCTTACTGGTATTCCTCGACACGATAGCGATATCGATCTTCCTCAACGCAAGCTCAGTGATGATGCGTGGGACGTCCGGAGAGATGGTAATAAAATTAGCGTGGTTCCTAGACTCGTTGAAAAATGTCTTCTCATTCGCAATGGAAAGCTCACTTCTTATCCCTAACTTTATGGTGGCCGACGGCTTCAAGATTGTCGGCAATGTTGTGGGTGACTCGCTTCTTGAATTTCTTGTCGTTGAGCCAGTGATACCACACTGTACCGCTGGGTTATTTGTATGATAAGTCAGTGAGAAATATAGATGCCCGGAAGGTTCTTACTCGAGGTCAAGAGCAACAAGCTTGGGATAACGCATGCTAGTACTAATTGACGAGGAGAATAAAGTTGTGCTAGTCCTGGATTGAAAACTCTGGTTTATGTAGGGCACTTTTTCAGGTTCGTGCTAGTGTCTCTCTGTTACCGCAACTTGGGGCGCACCGAGGCTGATCAACATTGCGTGCTCCACAAGCTGTCTACGAGAACAAAAAGGCTGTCACTCAGAGCAGGGGGAATGAAGATAGAGCAAGTACCGAGCTGTGCACTCGCCCCTTGAGGGTGAGAGTTAAATTCCTGAAGAATTAAACTGGAGAAAGGGAGAGGTGGAACTGGATCACCCATGACAGGCAGCGTCATTCTGGATGTCGCATCTGAGCGCTAAGCGCCCAAGAGGCTGTGACCATCTGCACGAGACCTTGGGAATTTGAGCAGTCGGAGCTGAGCAATTCCGTGACAAGAAGGCTTCTCAGCACAGATTATTACTTATGGCGACGTCAACCTTGCATTATTCCTGTCAAAAATAAATGGAGAACATACGAGTACAGCAACTTCGGAGGTCGGCCTCCTCATTTTTCCCAGGCTATCTTTGCTGTCGCACGCCTGTTCTCACCTTTCACCACAACAATCAAGACTCCCAGGCTAAAGACATCATTCCATCCTATTTCTTGGCAAATTCGCTTACTTAACTCTCCGATATTCCAGACGCTAGGGCTGGAGAAGTTTGCCTTTTGGTCGTCGGCGGTGATCTTTTGAGCAATGAAGGGTCTTTTGTGAGTCAATACCTCGTGTTCCGACCCACTGCGTTCCCAAGATTCATTCGAAGTGTAGCTTGTCAGTGTCGCTTTCTGTGTCCACAGCCTTCTAGCTCCATTGCTATGACCCCCGAGTTCCGAAAATTACATAGGGACATCAGCGTCATGTCCTTTCTCCAGCGTTAAATCAAATCCAGCCTTTCCGCTACCCAGTTCCTGCCCAGCACCTTCACCTCGATGTCTCCTAGATATCCTAAGCTTGTAGCCTTGGACTTGGAGTATGCAAGAATTTCATTCCTCCTTCTCAGCCCGCGTTCTAACTATGATGTCCTTAGTCGAACCATCTGGACCTCGTACCTCAACGATAAGAAGTTCGGCGATCATGGATGGGTTCATGGTGACTTGAGGAACAACCTCGAACTCGTGAATCCAACAACGATCAGGGACAAGAGGTAACAAAGCAATATATCTGCTTTATTGCTTCATGTTGTCTGATAAATGGTTGGGCGTACAGGAACCACTCGCACACTCTTCATCTAGCCAACGATATTCCTTGGATCATCCACGACCTCCATTCGCATGATGTCAAAATCGCCATTGTCTCTCGGAACACGAACAAAGACTTGTGAGGCTCGCGCTTATTTCAATATTCAACATTATCTAACTATCCAGCAGGTGCGACAGAGCGATGTGGCACTTCAAAGCCAGGGATAAGCATGGCAAGCTGAGGCCTCTCACTGATTTCATCAAATACGACGAAATAGTGAATGGTTCGCCACTTATGCACGAACGACGCGGATAAGTTAGAACTGATCGTACTTCTTCCTTTAACAGAGCCAAAGGTGAATCACCTCCGTCGGATTCATGGGTGGAGCAAGATCCCTTACTCGGAAATGGTTGGCGACCCCGCCCCCCATGCCCTAGTGCTCAACTAATCTGGCATTTTCAGCTATTCTTCGACTCTCAAATGAGCAACGAGATCACGGAGGAACTCCTAGGTAAGACCTTCCCATGTCAACGGCAAGCATTTTCCTTACCCTTTTCGTCGTTCCTTAGGATTAACCTTCCACTATGTTGCCGACACGAAGAGAGCTCTGACGAAGGAGGAGTACAAACGAGGTCTAGAGCTGTGGCGCCATAACAGAATCGATGCAAGGCATCATTGAAGTCGGGCTTCTTCCCTACGTCAATATGTTGCAGTGAATATGCGTAGCATGTCATCAGGGCATCGGATCGACGGGCTTACTAACTTAACCACTGCAGAAGGCTTCAGTAATTAAACTCGTTTTGTAGATGAGTACCGTCATAGTATAGTAGATGGGCTTCAGGAGGCTCAACAAACGTTTAAAAGACTTTGGATGCAAGAGATGCGCTCACCACTGCTCACCACTCCCTATCTCTACACTGATACTGCTTATCTGGCCTTACTAATGTTCCGATACTATTTCCTGAAATCATCCGCCCAAAATTGCTCCTGGAATAAGGCAAAGATCAAAGCATCGCTCAAATATACAATCGAGGCCGTTTATCCCGAGATAAAACGGAAGCATGAAGATAAAGTACGCAATAGTGTCTCAGTCGTTTTGACCAGGTATGTGACTAATATTGATAGGCGCCCATCCAATGAGTCCGCTAATATGATCCAGAGCTCATTTTAGCCCTTCACACACCTGCCCAGAGGACCATATCACGGGCCGTGTGTTTTGTGATACCGACGAGAGGTACATAGGTGGTGTACATGGATTCTCCCTGGGTTCATCTACGTCTCCGAGTTTCAAGTCAAGGACAAAGGAGCGGAGCCGATCGCCTTGGAGAAAAAGGAATCTCTGGTGGATAGAAGATGGCATTGAGGAATTTTGAGAGGTAGGTAATTCCCCTGGTATAGTCGTGTAAATATTGGTTCTTAGTGATATTTCAGACGTTCGTATTGAGTTTGGTGCTTCGAATTTCTTGCTACACAGACGAAATACAATGATTACCAGGAGATTGATGAGATGAGATGTTTCATGGACCTCTTACATGATGACGAAAGAACGGATCACTATCAATGTAATATATATTTTAGTGAAAAAAATCCAGTCATTTCCTGATGAGCATTGGTTTTGTTGCAGGTGCTGTTGTTTCCGAGCACGCACAACGGCGTGATGAGTCGCGCGTCTCCATAAATAGAAAAGATATCCAAAAAAAAGTGATGGACGATCATTCCCACGACTCGCTACACGAAGTATGGACTGTATCGAATTAACGGCCTTACTTCGTCTTTGTTCAAAATTATGAATCTACTAGCATCGCGCGCATTTCCGCACCAACGCAATTGTTTGAAAAAGAGCGATACGTGCAAAGGCTCCGACGCAACTCCGATACTGTCCCTCGCCCCCCAAGTCGAAGCCATCAGATGTCAAAGACAAATATGTATGCGCAGACAGGGCGCCTGAACGAAGGCAGACCGGCCTCTTATTCACCAACGTCGCCCATTCTGTGGTAGCGGTTTCGTTTCGATCAAATGACTGTAAGAAGTCTTCCGATGAAAGCATATAAAGGTACTCTGGGAAAACGAACAATACGATTATTGCTTGTCCCACTAACCCCCCACGTTTGTGCTACCTCTGACAGCCTGTAAGCGCTCTTTGTACTCCACCCGGCATATTTCTGTATCCCTCTTCCTGATACTCCTCCAGATCATAGTTGTGCTTCAGCCAGATGGCTGCCCCAGTGGTCCCGTGGCAGGCCCAGATGCTGACGGTCGAATGGTCGGATGGCGTTCCCAAACCTCCAACGTATGACGGTGCCACTACGTTCTGGGTCACGCTAAACTTCTTTCGTCGCCCTGGCGCACTCTCCTGGATTTACTAGGCAGAGGCTTCATTATGCAGAGGCTTCAGTGACCGGCCTCCGAGGAAAGCGAGCTATCGTCGCGAAAGACCTCTTTCAACAACAAGATAAAGCACCTGCGCGGGAGTGTGGATGGAACCGGGAGCTGTGCCAGGAGCTTCTTGAATGCGAGAGGAAGAACCTCGAGTCTGAAAAGACACCTAGAACAGATCTTGAGAATCCTAACGAGTGTAAGCAGCAGTTGACGTTGACGCAAGTCAAGGACGAGCATGACAAGAGCGAGACCGATTATACGGACATGTTAATAGGGCTGAACAAGAACTATAAGGATCTGACAAGAAAACCCCCGAGGACAAGGAGTCGACTTGAGAGGAAAGCTGAAGTCCTGATACGAAACCGACAACTGCGGAGGAAAATCACACGGGGAGCAAGGAACATGTATGCGACATCCTGCTTGCTAACCTGCGATGGCGCGACCTGCGACTTGCTGTCGAAAGACAACCACAAGGAAAGGATGGCCAAGTACGAAAACCGCATCAACGCCGAGGCCAAGGAATCCAAAATCAGGAGAAAATACTTATCGCGCAAAGCCGACGTCGCTGAGTGGCGCAATATAGCCCGCCACTCTGGAGAAGGAGCACGCTCGAGTTATTGGCAAAGAGGCACCGTACAAGAGTAGCTGAGTCGGCTCTTTGAACAGGCCGAACAATCTTCGCAGTGCGTCAAGGCAATATTTTCTCGAATCAAGCTGAGCAACTCTAAGTTAGGCCGGTACGGAGAGGCTCATGCTTCTGTGTGAGGGCTATTCCACTTTTCCTTTTTCTGGGTAATCCGCTTGTGTTACCTGCTGGGCTGGGCTCAGGCTCAGATGATAGCTATAGAGAGGGAAAAGGGATTACCTGGCTGGTGTCGCGACATCTAGTGCGATAGAGGACCCCGCGAAGGCGATCAATATCGACACCGTTGACCTGAAAAAAGCGCGCATTGACAAGAGAGGTTCGTCTTGATCCTGCTTCGCAAAGGTTGGTCGCGAACAGTCCTCGTCACCGACAGGGGTCCCCTGCAGCCATAGATAACCAGTCAATGGACTCAAGATAGTTATCTACCTGTGGTTGCATGTACCTGAAGCAATGTAGTCAATAAGAAAGGCAACCAGAATGAGGCAGGCTGAAGCACAAACGCTCTTTGACGCTCTTTGACTGGCGATCGCGAATTGCAGGAGAGAAGAAAGACATTGCACAGCCTCATTTGGGTCGCCACAGGGTCGCCATCAGTGTTGAAAGGGGCAACCTTGCGGACGCTTTTGTCTCAGAACACATTGCGCTTGGATCCCTCCTGAATATTCTCGAACAAAACGACTGTAAAAACGCGATGACTCCTTTCAAGAACCAGTTGGCTTTCGCCCCCGTCCAAAATCAAACTTTCGCGTGGACCACTATCAGTCAGCCTCTCCCGAGTCATACTTTCCTGCCTTTATACGCGTGGACCTGAATTTCCAGCTCTTTCATGGCTCTTGACGACTTCCACGACACCCCAAGTGGCTCTTACGACTGGCACAAGCACCTCGCCGATGCATCACCCTATGCCACAGGCACCTTCAAACGGGCACCCTCTGAAACATCTAGCGACGAGGGTTATCAAAGCGACCCCACACTGGCGAACGACGTCGACGACAAGATCCAGGACTTTCTCCTGGAGCGTTCTCGGAGACGTGAACAGCTACGACTCCGCCACGAGGCCGACAGAAACGCTCTGGAGACACGACTTCAAGAAGAGCAAGAGGTGGATGAGATGAGGCTCATGGAGGAGTTCTCCAGGTACCAGGATTCGCTAGAAGATGAGAGAGTTCGGCTCTTCCGCGTCCGCTTCGAAGAGGATAAAATGCTGTGGGAACAGGAACGACAGAGACAACGAGATGAGTTTGAACAGGAGAAGGCTGACTGGAGAGCCAGGTACGGACATACTATCGACCTGGTGGAGGCACGAAAGCAGTGGGAAGCAGAACGCTCCGACGACTGGAAGAAACTCGAGACCGAACGCGCGAAATGGCAAGCTGAAGTCAAGAAACAGACAGCTGCCATCCGACAAGACTCCTTGAAGCTCGAGAAACTTCTCAGGAACAAGAAGAAATTCCAGGACGAAATCGACTCTCTCAAAGAACAGCTAGAGTCTGAACGCCAGCGAACCTTGCATTCTGACGACGAACTTGGGCTACGGGACAGGCTACGAGACAGTATCATTGCCGAACTTCAGTACACCATGGCTTTCAACGTCAACGAGCTCATGGACCAGATGTCAATGCGCAACGAGCTGATGGAAAACGAGAACGAGAAGGAATGGCAAGACGCCGTCGAGCACAGCCCGAAGATAGCCACAATCATCCCATTTGACAACACTTCTGGGACCCAGAAGGGGAAGTCGTACGTCATCGTAAGTCGCGAGTTCTTAAAATTGCATTCGGGGGTGTAACCAGAGCTTCGGCCTGCCACAGGAGAACGCAGACGTCGCGGACCGCATCAGGCTACGTAACCTCGTCGACCGTTCGCAGATGTTCCTCGCGAACCAAGCTGGGCTGGAGACTATTGGCGAAGAGACTGAGTCTATGGCCTGGCGACGGTGTCTGAACGGCGTGCCTCCCGGCCCCCAGCGTCTCGCACACGCAAGGAAGCTCTTGGAACGTCGATCGAAGAACGATCGTGTTCGGCGGTTCCTGGATAACACTAAAGCGCTGGAGGTGGTCTGCGATTTCCCATCGCGTCTTCGACAGGCTGGCAACGACACGCATGGCTCTTTTCCCCGTTCGCATTATCTGGAATCGGTGAAGAGCAGCTGGAGATACGACGCCCGCGTCGAGACGAAGTCTCTGGAGGCTTTGGTCGACCTGATTGCTCCGCCGTAGCAATAGCCTGGTGGAAATCTCGGATACCCCGGCTTCCTTCAGGTGTTTTACTTGAGGTGAATCGTTTGTTAGCCTTCAAGCTTCAAGGTTGTCTTTTATAGCATCGTCTTAGGCGCAGTCTAAGACGGCTATCCATACCCAGAGAGATCGATTTCGTATACCAACATCCTACATAGCCCATAATATATATATCAGTTCATATTATTATAAAATGCATATTATCCATACCCCACCTATTACTTGCGTGAAATTAGACGCCCTGTCGTGCTTCCTGGTCGGCGGAATGGACAAAAAGGTCCGAAGGCAACGCGTTCACCACGAGGTTTATATAGGGGCTAGGCTAGGACATTACCTTTTCATCGATAACAGCCACCAGATGACCTCCACGATGCACGCCATGATACTAGTGACCAGGTTGTCCGACGTCTAGCGCCTCATCCATCTCATAACCCCCAGCATCACACTAATAATCTTGTGCCACCAGTGCCTGTACATAACACTCGTAATTTCGACCACGATCGACGACGAAGCATAGGTGCCGTGTGTTCAACGCGTTGGCAGCATGGGGGACCCCACTTACATCGAAATTTGCTTTCAGAATGGATCAGCCTGGTCCCGAACAACAACTGCACACGACAGTCATGGAAGAAGAGAGCACGAAAATAGGCCCAATTTCCGAAACCGCTGGACAAGATGCTTTGCCGGCAGAATCGTCCGACCTTGCCAACAAGGCAGTCGCACTTGTGCCCCAGATTTCCGCTGAAGTGCCAGTGCCAGAGCCAACTACTGTCCCGGGGACCACAGAGAAAGCATTACCACCCGTGAAACAACCGAACGAGGGCTGGAACGATTGGATCCCAGCAGCCCCTCCGACTGCGAAAGTCAGTGAAGAGCCGCCTCGAACTGCAGGCCTTCCGGACAACCTTCCAGATGAAGAGTTCTGGCGGAAGGCATTGGAGGCAGCACAGGCATTGGAGCGGGATAATGCGGAGCAGGCCAAGGTGCTAGATTACCTGTCACGGAGCGTGCGAGATCAGGCTCAGGTTGCCCCTCCTCTGACAACAGCCCCGAGGGGGTCTGCCGATAGCCGGAGTGCTGGGCTTCGTTCGGAGACGAATCTCGATCTTCGAGAGCAGCTCATCGATCGGAGGGAACGGGAGTTCGAGAGGCGTGATCGAGAGCTTGACCGACGAGAACGAGAGTTAGAACGCAGAGAGCGAGACCTTGAGAGGAGGCAGCGGGAGTTCGAGCAGGAACGGTCACGGGCAGCCACTTCTATTTCTTCTGTCGCCAGAGGCTCTTCATCTGCTGGTGTTCCGCTCCTGGGACAGGCGGTCGAAAGGCTCAGAAAGCAGGTCGAGCGCGACTTATTAGCGGAGAGGAAGAAAGCGGAGGCACGAGAGGCAGAGTTGGAGAGGAGAATAATGAAGAGGGTTAACGATGCGTTGGAGAAGGAGCGCCAGGTGATGCAGATGTCGGATAATGAGGTCCACGAGATGGTCAACGATACTGTTGGGTACCTTCTCCAAAAGGTGTGCTCAAAATCTTTCCCTGCCCTATATGCTTGACGTCAAGGGTCGTTCTAGGACGAAGATATCGCGGATCGAGTCCGTTTCCAGAGCCTTCTGCACCTTACCCAGGAGAAGCTTGCCTCGGAAGCTGAACTTGCTCTTGCACCCGGTTCCGAATCCCTAGCCGTTTCCTGGAGGCTGGCTCTCGGACCCTCAATCGTCACCGAGGATCGATATGACAAGGCGCTCAATTTATTCAACGGGCGCTTCTTGGATCCAGCGACCACGAAACTTGTCACAAATAAGCCTGCGATGGAATACATCGTGGAGTATACTTCTCACCTAAGGAAAGAAGGGGCAGAGATGGGAGAGCACAGTTTTGTTCCGGGTAGGATATCGAGGGAGGCGTACCTGGAGTCTGTGGAACGTCAAGCGAATCAGCATGGGATGAATAGGGATGCACTTGTTGCTCTGGTGGACTTCGTCTGTTTACCGCCACCGCCACCTCCAGTAAATGCAGAGGCGCTGCCAAAAAGCGAGTAGATTGAGTAGGTTGGGAGTTTCAAAAATATGCTGGTGATGCCTTGCCCCTTTTCCGATTTGGTCAGAGCGTATGATTACTGTTTGTTATACACTCCCAATGGGAGAATAAATTTATCCATAGCATGGGTGCTTACCTACTCTTCCCACAGGAAGAAAATTCCAGAGGCGGCCTGAAATTTGTATTTACGCCGCGGAACCGTGTTCACTGTTCGGTGAGCTGTGTAGCTACTTATGTACATCTCGAGATAATAGACGGAACGCCCATAAAAATTATGCTCGGCATGAGGTATTAGTGTCTTCATTTCAGCGTTGAGTACTCTAGCAAGTGAGGGTTGAACGTTAACTTTGAATGAGCGCCAGCTGCTGCATTGAAGCGCTGAATTGAGCGCCGGACGATCACGTCACGGTCACAAATAAGTTGCCGACGACGGCATCAAACTTTATTCGTGAAACTGTACAGAACATGCCTCTCGGCGAATTCCGATCCGACTGGTGGCGAATCAACACAAGGTAAGGAGCAAGCCCCTCGTCGTCGTCGCCGCCAGCAAGATGGTCAACATCCCCAAGTATGTCGCCACTGTCTGCGTTTCAGGGTATCATACTGACCCCGTATTGCAGAACCCGTAGGACCTGTGAGTTCCCCTGCTGTCAGATCGTTGAAAACCTCTGCAACTGAGAACATTGCAGACTGCAAGGGCAAAACATGCAAAAAGCACACGTACGTCGTCGGCGCACCCTAGACAATATCTGTGGCTCACGATGCGTGCTGTACAGCCCTCATAAAGTGACACAATACAAGAAGGGCAAGGACTCGATCTTCGCGCAAGGAAAGCGCCGTTACGACAGGAAGCAGTCAGGTTATGGTGGTCAAACGAAGCCCGTCTTCCACAAGAAGGTGCGTCGTCATTTCCTCAAACCGTAGAACGCGATCGTTCATGTTCACTCCTTAATGTAGGCGAAGACAACGAAGAAGGTCGTGCTGCGGCTAGAATGCACTGTATGCAAGTACAAAATGCAGCTGACCTTGAAGCGTTGCAAGCAGTGCGTAGTCCCACTGACTCCTGTTGCAGATCGTTCATTGACTCATTTGGCAGCTTCGAGCTTGGTGGTGAGAAGAAGACCAAGGGTGCTGCTCTTACTTTCGTGCGTGTCGAACTATTGCAGGGTTGGGTTTCAGCTACTAACCCCGTTTTCGCTCCTAGTGAGCACGTCGTGTATTGCTTTCATGTCGCCTCTTTTTCTTTCATCAGCCTACGAATATGATATGCCTGTATGCTATCGTGCGATCATTGAGAAGTGAAAACATACTTCCGCAAGACACCCTCGTTTGGCAGCTGAGCACGACATTCGCCGATCAACAGCCATTTACACTGCTGAAGCATCTCTATTCTCAAGTCGCCGCGAACCCCTTCTGGTTTCGCCGTGGTCGTTGCGTCTGAACGTTCTTCCACTGCAATGAGTCGTGTTACCTTGGCCTGTGTTCATTCATAAAGCTTGAGACCATGACACTCGTGCAATGGGGTCATAACCCTGGTTTCCTCCTCTCATAAACAGGATGAAAGATTCAGGTTGCGATCATGACAGCTGTCGATAGTCCAGAGGATTGACAGGTCAGTTTAACGTTCTAGGCGTCTTCAAGGTCCTCAAGGCTGGTGCAAGGCGTTAATTTGGTTCCGCTTTAGACGCTCGTGGAAACCTAGAAGCTAGATAAGTTTGATTTCCTTCATCTCCGTCGGACGCTGTTCAAATTCCAATGGACCGATAACATAGATGGTGTGCATTTGGACAGCTTCGCAATGTTCCATACGCAGAGTCATCCCTTCTCGTCGCCCACAAACTTTACATAAACGGGTTCGACGGGCCCAGATATCTGGGCACCACTTATGGGTCGACGTTAGTATGAATAGCACTCAGGTGATGGAGTCACGAAGCATACCTCGAGGCGATGGCTCACGTCCTTTATATGTTCGTGGGGCCATTCGACAAGCGCCCATTCCATTCTTTCCCTACCCCACCATCACCATGCTCCCAGATGCCCTCCCTTCACAGACGACACATAGGGTCTACGTGAAGCGTGGCCTCGAAGGGCAGGATGACAACGTCGATCTCTTGCAGAGCTATTTCAAGGAGCTGCAGGCAGCTACAGTGGAAACCTCCGTCGACATTGACCTCGACTTACTAACCTTCGCCGGCGTCTCTCACTACTTCGGGGTCGTCGTGCTCGAAGAGATCGACGAACAGTCAGAGGGCTCGTCGTGCAACAGAGACGCTGACCACGAGCGTGATGCGGACGGGGAGCCTGAGGACGAGTCCATCGACACAGACATCCGAGACTTCGTCCGCTCTCCACCCACCGTGAGCGGTTCTTCTATCGCGGTCCTGCGTTCTGATACTGATGCCAAATCCTTGCATCAGTCACCTGCAGAATCAAGTGAGTCTGGGAGTGGCACTGGTTCCGGTGGTGTCGCACCAACTTCGCCTAAAGGGAAAAAGATACCTGAGGGCTTGCGTGCGATATCGAAAGAGGAGTATCTCGCTCTGCCTGAGCAAGAGAGGGTATTGCGATGGCGAGAGGCATTCGATGCCGAGATTAACAGGGAGTCCGACTCGGAGGATGAGGAGGCCCGCCCATCATTCCCTGCGCCACTTCGTCGGGACCAACAGCTGCATGGTGATGAGAACGTACTCGGTCCCCTCGATGCCAACAACAAAGATAACACATTCGACGGCTTCGTGAGCTGGCGCCAAAATGCACCCTCAGACCCTTGGGCCATGCCACGGCAATCGAACACAGGAAAAGGCGGTCAAGTTAATACAGATGATTTCATTAATTGGCCTGAAGATGCGCCGTCGCCTTCACACCACCAGAGCCCACCAGCCACGACCAGTTACGCGACCTCTGAAGCAGACGAAAGCGAATTGTCACCTAGTCACGGTTACCAACCCAAGGAAGTGGACGAGAATCTTGGACGGGAATACTTCGAGCCGGAGCTCGATACCAGGCCCTTACCAGCGCAGCCGGAAATACCAGAGGACGAAGAACTGCAAAAAGTTATCCTCGAGTCGGCTCATCGCTACCGCGAGGAGCTGAGAGCGAGACGTGTGGCAGAGTTCGAAGAACGTCAGATAAGAAAGAACTCAGGAAGGTGGCCCAGACCCCGCACACCTCCGGCCTCCCCTTCACCTCTCAGGAAGGTATCCAAACCGATTGGATTGACCTACCTTGCAACATCTCAGTACTTCCAGGACCCGCTACACATTGGAGAGTGTAACATTGGGGTCTATATAGCTCCGGAGTTCAGGGATGTAGAAGGCATTCCTGAGGCAATTGACCAAGTTGTTGAGTTTGCGTTTACGAACAAGGATTGCCATCGTTTGCAGGCGATTGTGGTCGAAAATGAAGACAAGTGGCATTCTTTGAATCTCCTCACTACTGCGTAAGTATCTTTTTCCCTAGTATAGTACGCTTCTTCGTTTGCTAACCCAGATCCATTCTTCTAGGGGATTCCGACAAGAAGGCATTCGCCGCCGCGCATTTTACAGCCCTTTCGGTAAGGAATGGAAAGATGTAACCTACTTCGCTATCCTCGCCACCGAATGGTTCTACGACCGCAACAACAGTCCCACCTCCTCAATCCACATCCGCCCTCGATCGCTCTGGGACGAAGTTATTACCAGACACCAGCGTGAGCGCGACGAGCTCTTCAAGCTGCAAGAGAAGGAGTGCAACAGCGGCCGCCTCAAGCGAACAAACAGCATGGAAACCATCCGCGAAAAAGCACCCACCGTGGACTACTACCCCTCTGACTCGGCGTCTGTATCTGGGTTTGCGACAGACTCGTCAGTCGAGCAGGAGCCGTACAGCCCAGGCAAGAGGCGCAGGGTCGACTCTAGCAGCGTCAGCGGCAGAAGCCAAGCAAGCGGCAGCCGCCCTCCGTCATCAGCAGCGAGTTCCTCGTATCATCGTGATCCTTTCGCGTCAGACGACAGCGACTGGGAGATCCCTACTTTTGGGAACCTGCTCAAGTACATCCCATCCTCAGGCCGCAGATCCCAGAATCTGGCTGCTGACCCGTCTTCCTCTCGCAAGAGGCCAAGTATCAGCAGTGCTTCCAGCAGTGCCTCGTGGGATATGGGGGAGTGAAGCATTGCAATCAAAACAACATGCCGTCCGCAAATGCAACCCACAACGCCAAAGCACACAATTCGAGAGAAAAAACTCTTGTTCCTTGTATTACTATGCACATCCCTCTTTAGGGGTCTTGCGAATTTTGTAACTTGTAAGGTCTCTAAGTGAGCCCTTTTCACCTATTCGCTTTCTATTTCCGCCAAATTTCTGTTTGATGGCAAGAAAACGTATGCATGTATACATGGGGCAGTAGTATTATTTTTTGTACAACACTTCACCGTTCTTTCTGTTAGTGATCAGTATATAAAAACACCTCTTGGGAACAAATGCAAATCTACAAGTATTCCTACTTTTTGTCAGTCATCAAAGGAATCTATAGCCCTGTGCGACCAGCTGCCTTGATGACACCTGTACTAGCCAAAGCAGGCAAACTCTTTTCCGGAGAAGGCAATGAAGGCGACGGCAGGAAGCCCGCGCCGACCAGCCAAGCCAAGTACAAACCCATCAACGGTTCGTCCACCGTCGACGCCAGCAGTGCACCAGCCTCCTGCTGCAGGACCGCCCGCGTATTCGAGTCGTCCAGCTCAGGCGCCTTGGTGCTTGTCGGTAGGTCGTCCAGCACGAAGTGCAACAGTGGGAAGAGAGCGTTATCCTGCACCTCCATGACGTGCTGCTCGAGCTTCCGCCGCCAGATGAGGTACTCGCACGGCTCTGTCGGGAACCCGTACTGCAATAATGAGGAGAGCATGCCATTGAAGGTTGGGAGGGGGTTGGCGGTGAGGTGCATGACGGATAGGGCGGCGTCGGGTAGGGGGGAGATGGCTGCGAGAGCGGTGCAGCGGGCGACATGGTCAACCGGTACCATGTTGATCGTGTTGTTGATGTCGGGGACGAGGCCCAGCTGGACGCATCCCTTGACCAGGCGCCAGATGAAATCGTCCGTGTTTGTAACTAATAATAGGCAGAAATCAGAAAGGGATGGAGAGTGCAAAATGACGTAGCTCACCCGCAGTACGTGAGTCACCGACGACGTAACCTGGACGAACGATGTGTCCGCGCAAGCCGCGTTTGCCAGCCTCAAACAAGAGCTTCTCCGACACCCACTTCGTTTGGCCATAGCCCGTCTTCAATGACGCCCTGGCACCTTCGAGGTCGTCACTCTCTAGCACGCCACGAGCACCCGAGGCATCGCGAGCTAAAGACTCAGAGAGTTTGACATAGTGGTCGGTGTCGATCGCAGACGTTGAGGAGACGAAGACCAACGACTTGGCCTTGCCTGTTGAGGCGAGGTTGATGGCTGTGAGCGTGGCCAGAACGTTAGGTGCTCGAAGCTTGTCGTATGGGAAGACCCAGTGGACCTAATGAAGAAAGAATGAGAATGAGAAAAATACGAAGTAAGACAAGGAGAAGAGACGTACAAGAGCACCGTTATGCAGCACCACATCCGCCTCATCAGCGATTCTACTCCACGTCTGTGCGTCCAACCCAAACGATTCCAAGGCGAGATCGCCAACGACGACCTCCAAGCGCCCACTGCTCACCCAATCATCGGACCAAACCCCACGGTCAGTCGAGCCCTCCTTCAACCTCGCAAGACCCTGGTCGACGCTCTTCGCCCTAACCAAACACACGACCTTCTTCACCCTCTCCTTCCTCGCTAACAAGTCCGCCAAGACAAACGCGCCAAGGAAGCCTGTAGCGCCCGTGAGGAATACCGTCACCTCCTTCTCCCTGAAGTCCGCAGCCGGTGCCGGGTACGAAGCCGGCAGCGACTCCTTCAACATCTCATAATCCTGCCCATACTCCAACACAAGCGCCTTCTTCACCGCCTCACCGATGCCCCTCACACCTGGCACACCAGGGACGCGCACCGCCGGCGTCGCGGTGCCCTTGGGCGTATACGCCATGCCCAGATCCCCGTTTCGTAGCCCCTCGACGGCTTTGACGAGCCCCGAGATGGTAGGTTTCTCGAAGATCAGGCCTAAAGGAGCGTCAACGACGAAGACCTTACGAATTTCGAAGACGAGGCGCGTGGCGAGAATCGAGTGTCCGCCGAGGTCGAAGAAGCTCTCGTCCGTCGGGACGGGCTTAGGTGCGTTGGGCAGGATGGTCTCCCAGATAGACTGCATTTGAGTCTCGGTGGAGTTGGCACGAGTGGTGGAGGTGGGGGTAGCATAGGCAGCTAGTTGGGCGGTATCGGGGAACGGGAGGGCAGGCTTGTCGATCTTGCCGTTCGGGTTGAGGGGCATACGGCGTAGTGGTACAAACACTGCAAAATGCAATTGTAAGAAACCATGACTCCCCAGATGAAAAATTCGACATACAAGTTGGCACACTGTAGCTCGGCAGCTTCTTCTTTAAATGCTCCCTTATATCTTTGATCAACTTTCTATACCTCCTAATACCCCTCACGACTCCCTTCCCGCCATCTTCTTCGCCATCCTCAATCGCGCTCGCATACAGGTCCAACTCCGGCCCTTGCAGCGGCACAAAATAGCTGACCAAAATCTTCTCCTCATCCTTGTCCCTCCTCACCAGCGTCACGTTTTCCCTCACGAGCGGGTGCTGGCTCAAATGGGTATCGATCTCCCCAAGTTCGATCCTAAATCCACGAATCTTGACCTGGTCGTCCGCCCGCCCCGTGCACTCTACGATACCGTCGGGGAGGTAGCGGCCTAGGTCGCCAGAGCGGTACATCCTGTCGCGGATGCCCTTCCAGTAGAAGCTCTCTGAGCCAGCAAAGCCGCCATGCGGGGGGTGCAGGATCGTGTCCTTGCGCGGCGGGTGCGTTGCTGCGAACCAGTTGTTCACGAACTTCTCCGCGCTCGCGTCCACGTCAAGGTAGCCCTCCGCTAAACCCCCAGAGCGAACGTAGATCTCGCCAACCTCACCAATCGCGCACGGGACATTGCGGTCGTTCCGGTTGATGACGAGCAGCTGCACGTCGATCATGCCTTCGCCCGCGGGCATGATGTCCTTCTGCGTCGCGAGGAACGTCGAGTCCTCTGATACTGGGGGGATGGCGAAGTAGGACACGGCGCGCTGCGTCTCGGTTGTTCCGTACATGTTGATGATGCGCACGTTGGCTGCGAGTGCTTGGAGGCGGAGGCAGTCGCGCTTGGTGAGGACATCGCCGACGAAGAAGGCATTACGGAGTGTGGGGATTTGTCGTGTGGCTTGTGCAGAGAGGAGCTGACCCATGGCGGGTGTGAGGTGGGTCACGGTCACTTCGCTGTCGGCCATCCATTCTGCGAGACGACCTGGTGTGCCGATGTCGTCTGCGGTCGGGACGTGCAGCTGAGCTCCAAGGAAGAGAGGGGTGAACACTGGAGGAGATAAACATCCACGACAGGAAAGCAAAAATACGAGAAGACTGACTGTCTCGTTGAATAGGATCATGCGCGATCCCACTCAACATCGTGAACCTCGAGTTCTCATCCAACCCAAACCTCCGGCCCATCCACGGGAAGAAATGCGTCAAGCTAAAATGCCGTCCACGCACGCCCTTCGGTATGCCTGTGCTCCCACTGGTGAACGACAGCGTGCCCACACTGTCCGGACCCAACGCCACATTGGGGTCCATCTCACCGAGGTGAGCGTGCGCCTTCAGGACGTCCTCACCCGCGGTATCGAGCCCGCCAGAGATATTTCCATCGGGGAACACCTCCAGCGCGGGCACCTCGACCTTGATCTTGAGCTCTTCCGAGAGGAAGGTGCGTACGGAGGGGCCAATGACGCCAGCACCTTTGAGCACGACAAGCCCGCGCGGCTGGGCGACGCGCAGGTAGATGATCTGGCGGGATGCGGGGTACGCGGGGTCTGAAATTGAGATAGTTAGTGGGAGCGGAGAAGGAAATAGATGTAAAAGGACGGAAAAGTCCGAATCTGGTTGGGGTGGAGAGGCGCCCACTGATTGAGCCTCGGGTACCTCGGCGTTTCCAAATTAGGAAAGCGCGCTGAGCGCTCGCCTTCTGCCTGATGTCAGGAGCCAACGCAACACTCGAGAGCGCGACAGAGAGGCGTTGGAACAATTTACACCAGCATAACACTTGCTCGTTCCAGTATATTTTCTTGGGATACAGATGGAATGAACAAATGGATACTCACCAATGACAGAGAAAGTCGCGCCGGCTTTGAGGACAGCCATCACAGCAACGACAAGGTCAACGCTACGATGAGCATACACCATGACAACATCTTCCCGTTGGACGCCGTTCTTGATGAGATGATGTGCAAGAATGTTGGATGCACGGAGGATTGCACTATAGGAAAATATGACTCGCTCTTGCTTCGAGGTTAGCGAGTCTGCGGGCAAGCTCTGCACTACGCAAGGGAGGTCAGGGTTCGCCCTAGCGTTGCGGGAGAAAACATCGGTGATAGCGCCCTTCCAACCGCACCAATCGAGGTCTGCAGTAGGCTCAGGAAGTTTAGCCTTCTGGCTCGGTGTGAGGAGTGGTACAGAGCCCACCGAGGCGAGCGGATTGGTCGAAACTTTGCGCAGAAGGACTGAGAGTTGCTCCAGAATGGTCGAGATGCGCGATGCCGTGAAGAGGAGGGAGTTGTAGAGGATACGGAGCGATATATGAGGAGCGAGAGATGCGCGGGTCGATGCTGGTGGTCTTGTGACGAACACGGTGAGGTCAGAGGTGACGCTGGTAGACCTAATGAAGCTGTCGGTGTTCTCATCCGTCTCATCGAAGAAGCGCACACGGAACAGAGGCTCCTCATGTCCATCTTCCTTGCCCCTCTGCAGCTCCCGCGTGATCACGTCGTACGGAACGGCATCTTCTTCTGCCTCCTTCTCCACTTGCTGTACCCTCCGCACGATCGCCCAGAATGGGTCCGTCGGGTCGACTGACAGACGCAGGATAAGCGGCTCGCGGACCGACGCGGACGACGATCCAATTACGATATCCGTGTCTCCCGTGTAGCGATGCAGGAGCACTGTGAACGCCGCGAGCAAGAGGTGGAATGCAGATGGCCTTCTGACCTTATCTGCCTCATCCTCGTCCGACTCTTCGTTCTCTGTGTAAAGGACGAGCTTGAGGAGGCTGAGTGATGTCTGCTCGGAGAGCTGGGCAACATGGACGGACTCGATGAGCTTGTGGGCGCCGGTGGGTCGTGGGTAGTCGGTGGGGAGAGAGATGGAGGGCAGATTTTGGAGTCTGGCGACGACTCTGCTCAGTCGCTCGTCCGCCATGTTGATGTCGTCGATGAGTCAAGTTGAAGGAGCACCCTGGCTTTTTTGCGACGCTCATCAGTCCGAATGTCCGAGGCCGGCGATAATTTCAGAAATCACATGATATTATCTTATCGCCGTCGACATCGACATTGATTTGCATGTTTTGCGGAAGTTGCAAGTCCTTCTTAGCTCAGTTGGTAGAGCGCGTCACTAGTAATGACGAGGTCAGTCGTTCAAGTCGGCTAGAAGGAATTGTGTTATACGTATTCTGTACTTTTTTCTGTCTTCACACAAGTTGCAGGGTAACAGGCTCGAGACTAACCCCTTTTTTATCATACATCAAACAGGACATAAAGAGTAGCTACGATAGCCCAAGTATGGTATGGGATTCAAATGTATCTACTCTCCCCTGCGACGGAAAATATCCTCGGTTAAGGCCTCAGTGCGACTTTGCATGCCGTTTTGCTCTTCATTTTCTCCAGCGCTTGGTCAAATTCTCTTATAGAAAACACATCCGTCACCTGTTCATGTTATCCATCAGTCAGAAGATCAAAAGATGCAAAAGAAAAAAAAAATGGGACCACAGGAAGGACGCCCAGCGCCGATTCAATAAGACAGAATGAACGCACCATGCCCTTGACTTTTATTTTCCCGCTATCAAGATACGCGACCGCACGCGGGAAACAGTGGGTTTGCGCGAATGAACCAATTATCTAAGGCAACGAACAAATGTTAAGGTTAGTCGGTGGTATGAGATACGAGTCGGAGTGGGGATGAACAGCAGTGGGAAAGCAATTCTAACTAACCTTGATCTCGTCCTGGAATATCTTCGCTGGGGACCAATGAACGACGTCACTCTTCGCATAGACGCCATATATCATCAGGTTCCCGCCACGGCGCACGAAGTTGATCGCGTCGTTGGCTATCTTCTCCGAGCCTGTAGCCTCGATCTATGTACGCCATTAGTCAAATAAGCGCCCATCAATTCTACCCGCGAATCAAAAGAATGACTTACCACGACGTCGAAGCCCCTCTTGTACTCTTCCTTCAGCGCGTCAAGCTGCGCCTGGGCTGCCTCGGGGTCGTCCCTAGGCAGTTCGACATACACGTCGCCCGCGTCGAGGGAGCGCGCGAGGGCCGTCTTTGGGCCTTTATTCGCAGCGATCACGACTTTGGAGGCACCATTGAGCTTCAGTAATTGGGCGAGGATCAGACCTGGAGGAGGGAGGGATTTCAATTTCGTATGATTGACAGAAGAGCCAACAGGAGGGCAGAATATTACCTGTCGGCCCCGCTCCGAAAATCAGCACCTCAGCACCAACGGGCGGGTCGAGCTTGTCCAGCCCGTGGATCGCACACGACGCAGGCTCGATGAGCGTCGCTTCTTCGTCGGTAAGGTTGAAAATCCTGAAAATCTTCTTGCTCTGTCTGCATGCAAGGGGTCAAACAAAAAAATTGTATGAGAAAGCTCCGGGAGAAGTTAGGGCGCTAATTCGGACTTTGTTATTGAATTTTTTTTGCACCAACAGTGCCCGTTGCCCGTTGCCCATCAACAGCAATCGAACGCCCGTTCCGAATCTCGGAATAGGCGTCAACCCCGGAACGGCTCCAATTGTACCATTTCTCTATGGGCCCGGAGATTGCCACCTCGGAGACGAGAAGACCCCAGCACTCACATAGCGACATAACCAGCGAACCCTCCCGCCATCGTAACCCCCAGGCTCTCAAGGTTCTCGCAAAGGACGTATTGTCCACGGCGGCAGTAGAAGCACGCGTCGCACTATTAGAGTCGATACGAAGTCACAATGTGAAAGACCGAAGACGGAAAATAGCGAAAGTTAGCCTCGTAGACATTCTTTGCGATGCGCAGATCCCCAGATCCCCGGAGGCTTCAAAAGTGGGCTCTCGCTCGGGAAAATTGGAAAGTGGTGGTGAAAGGAGAAGAAAGACGCACAAGGATGGTATTGTCGGCCACGACGCGGTCGCCGACCGAGAACCCGGTGACGGAGCGCCCGACCTGCGAGATTACACCGACGATCTCGTGTCCTGGGATGAGCTGGGAATGTTACCGTTTTTCAAGTTTCGACTTCAGTATCCTTCTCCAGCGGCAACGGTGAATGGGAGGGGCTCACCGGGAACCTCCCAATAAACTCTCCCTGTATACGAGATCAGATTCAGAATTCCGACAAGACTAGGCTGGTATCAGGGGGCTGATTAATAAGAAATACTGACTTCTGCGAGATGTTGATCCGTTCCACATATCCCACAACACGTTACTAGCGGATCGCTCCGTCAGTCAGACAAAGGGCCTTGAGTCCATGAAAATGTAGAGCTATCAAGCACCTTGGATCAGAACTTGATCGTCGTTTATTTGAGGTATCGGTACGGTGACGATGTCGAGCTCTCTGGGCTGCGATTTGGATGTTTTCGTAAGATGATGGTTCGTGATGAGTTTCGGGCTTCAAAAGTGGGCCAAATAATATGAGCGTACGGCATGATAGCATACGGCGTCCATGGTTCCTTCCATGTTGAAGCTAGCAGAAGAAGCAGGGTGAGGAGAGTGCGGCGATAGAGACTATGGGGAGGGAAATCAATCCTGGACGAGTTGGTGAAAGGTCTTGGTCGTAATACCGCTGTATACTGAAGAGTGTCTTTTATATCCCGCTAGACCAGGTTTAAATGGACGGTAAAAAGCACAGCAGATGAGAGTTCACGTTGAAGTCGCGAGGCCTTTTCCCCCTATTTATTGTCGGCCCGATTTCCCGTTCGGGCCGTGAGAGAGGTGTAGGATCACATGACCTGGACGAAATTTCTGTTGCCGAATCCCGATGCCGATTCAATTTCCTGAAACCCTTACAACTCTCTTTTTTCCATTGCAAAACCATGTATGCTCGGTCCTGAAGACAACAAAAGTACAATGAATGCCGATCCTAACAACGTTCGCGTCTACACCGTCAACGGCGCAACCGCTGGCTCGTCTTCCTCCTTACCAGACTGGCTTACACGAAAACGAGCAGGCAAGAAGGGCAAGAGAGCCTTGAGGGAGCACATCGAGGGCACACTTGAGCTCATACAGGGCTTCGAGTTTCCCGAGGCTAGCAATCGGGTCAAGACTACAAGAGATGGACACCATGTTATGGCCACTGGCACTTACAAACCACAAATTAGGGTGTGGGACCTAGACCAACTCTCGCAGAAGTTTGAGAGGCATTCGGATGCAGAGAACGTTGATTTTGTTGTACGTGAGTTGTGTCTGCAGCTCGTCGTGTCGCTGGATGAGCTTCTAGTCTGACTATTTTACCGTGTAGATCCTGTCTGACGACTGGACGAAGTCCATCTACCTCCAAAATGACCGCACCATCGAGCTTCATACACAGGGCGGGTTCCACTACCGTACCCGAATACCTCGCTTCGGGCGCACGCTTGCATACCATTTTCCTTCCTGCGACGCCTATGTCGGGGCCTCAGGCTCCGAAGTGTATCGGCTGAACCTCGAGCAAGGCCGATTCATGACCCCACTGGCCCTCGACGAAAAAGACGACGGTGAAATCCTGGGAGTGAACGTCGTCGACATCAACCCCGTGCACCAGCTGCTCGCGTTTGGGATCGAGGGGAACGGGACGGCGCTGTTCTGGGACCCGCGGTCGAGGGCAAGTGTTGGTACATTGAGGCTCCCGAGTGGGAGGCTCGCGTCGGTTGGGAAGCAGGATGAAGCAGTCAGCGTGACGGCGATCGCTTCGAGAGTGGATGGACTCTCGTATGCTATTGGGACGTCGACGGGGCATACGTTGCTGTATGATATTCGCGCTGCGAAGCCGTTTGCGTTGAAAGATCAGGGATACGGACTTCCGGTCAAGAATGTGAGCTGGATTGAAGGAGGTAGCCGCATGGCGGGCGATGGGATGGTGCTCAGTGCTGACAAGAAAGTCATCAAAATTTGGGTTCGAAATAGTGTACGTTCCTCTCGACCTTTATTCTCTTTCTCACTAATTCTTTTCCGTAGCCTGCTTCAAATTTTGTCTCAATAACACCTACAAATGACCTCAACGACGTACACCACCTGCCCGGAAGTGGCATCATCATGACCGCAAATGAAGGCATTCAAATGGGCACATACTACATTCCACAGCTTGGCCCTGCACCGCGCTGGGCTAGTTTCCTCGAGAATATTACAGAAGAGATGGAGGATCAAACGACACGCTCGGTTTATGAGGACTACAAGTTTATTGAACGAAGCGAGCTTAAAACGTGTGTTTTTGTTCTTCCTTCTAGTCGCATCTCTAACCTGGTGAACTTTCTCTCAGACTCGGTCTGGACCACCTCGTCGGCACCCCTGCGCTCAAGCCCTACATGCACGGCTACTTCCTCTCACTCAAGCTGTACGACACCGCACGTCTCATCGCGAACCCCTTCGCGTACGACGAGCACCGCGAGAAGCTAGTGCGTGACAAGATGGAGAAGATGGCCGAGACGCGCATCCGGTCGAAGAAGGACGCCGCGGCGAGCGTAAAGGTGAACAAGGCGCTCGCTGAGAAGATCTTGAGGGACGAGGAGCGGGCGAGGAAGAAGGCGGAGAGGAGGAAGGGTAAGAAGGGTGGCGATGGCGATGCAATGGATGTGGATGTGGATGGAGGGGAGGAAGATGGAGACAAGAAGGAGAAGAAAGGGAAGGCGAGCTTGTTGGAAGACCCTCGCTTCACGAAGGTGTTTGCTGACCCCTCGTATGCGATCGACGAGGACTCGAGGGAGTATGCGCTGCTCAACCCGTCTTCTTTCGGCCTGCGGCAAGGTGCCCGACCGATGACGGCTGTAGAGGACGAAGAGGAGGAGAGCGACAAGTATTCGTCTGATCCTTTGGATGAAAGTGATAATGAGGATGAGAGTGATTCAAACAGTGACAGCAGCGATGAGGAAGGTGCGTTGTGGTTTCTCGATGTTCTATATTCCCGTCTAACATTTTTTCACTATGAGTTTCCCAACGCCGCGAAAAAGACAAATGGGTCGCTTCAGGCGGGCCCAAGTCCAAACCTCAATCTCAACCCGACTATACACCCAACAAAAGGCTCAACATGGTCCCTCTGCGTGCCCAACCAGGAGCGAGCTCGGGCCGTGGCGCAGATCCAAACGCCACATTCGGTCAACGCGTCCGTGGCTCCTCTAGCTTCAACGGAAAGTCTACGAGTAGACGCGCGAAGGAGGATGGTGGTGGCGCGATGGAAGTCAGCTGGGTGCCTTCTTCCTCTGGCGCGAAGTCGGGCGATGTAGAGCAGAGAAGCGGGAAGGAGAAGGGCAACAACACAAGGAGAAAGGGCGTGGAGACGTTCGGGGCTGGCATGGAGAGAGGGTTCGACGAAGATGAAGGGAGGAAGATGGGTGATGCGGAACGGCATGGACGAACACAGAGAAGGAAGGTTATACGAAGTGGGAGTAAGAACGCGTTTAGAAGGATATGATGATTGTCGATTGGTTTTGCTACAGAGTATCTCTGCCACAGAGCTCCTGCTTTTCTATGTATGCGTCACAGCATCAGTATTCCACACAGGCATCAACATTGCAGTCTCAGCGACTAAGTGATTCGAAGACGTTCGTGAAGCGAGATGGATCGGACTTCTATTACCAGCATCCCGTCGTCTTCATTCCACTCCAGGAAGGAAGGATTCTGTTATGGTCTACGTACGTCTTTTGAGATAAGATGAAATTCAATCCTACAGTGCACGCAAGATGTCATTTTATCGACAGGCAAGTCAACAGGAGCTGCCTCGAAATCGGTGGGATATGCTCACGAGCGCTTAATTAAATCCCAAGACACAACCGCTAGGCGCACATCGTAACCATGGTCCTCTGCCACAAAAGGAGAGTCTTTCCTACTACGGCAATACCTTGAATACATTGTAGCAAGCCTGGAAGTACCACAACAAAACCCATGCACCAGCGTTAGAGACCCTTTTAAACTTGCCGACAAAATTCACCCCCGCAGTCGACAACTCGAGCTTCCAGATGTCGGAGAGACCTTATGGACAGATTTGTCGTATGAGAACCATCCAATCGCCAGTCACGAATGACACGAACATCAGTCTCAGCCCTGCATCCACCTTGACATTCTGATCACCACTGGATTGGATGTTTGCGGAAAAACGGAGTTGAAGTCAAACATGGGGCCGACTGTCGAAGCTGTCGGCTTCTTGTCTGGTTCCATAAAGGCTTCCGATGAGGAAAAGGGGTGGCGTAGGAATTCAATCCGAGCTTCCAGCAGCCCAGATGCGAAAATATCTCGTCTCCTGAGCTGAGAATTCGAAGCAAAAAAATAGAAATTCGATCGAGAAGAAAGACAGAGTTGCAGGGCCGGAGTAAGTAAATTTTTTTGCGCCTTTGAGCTTTCTTGATTCAAGTTATGCTCCACACCAGAAAGTCAGACGAGGTCAGACGTCTGCACGAAGTTGGTCACTTGAGCCGGGAGAACGCGCATTCGTTATCAGGAAAGCCGAAGTCGGAAGCACAACCCTGACAACGGAGGATGACGGAGCGCTCTGATCCCGTAAACATTCAGAAAAACACAAGAAATATCCTTTGAAAAATGCTGACTGTTTGTGAAGAGCGTTTGGAGGTCGATTTGAGGTCGACCGTAGATTTTCAAGGCAAGGCGCTGCGTCGGAGACTTTGCTGATGAAACGCGTTTGTTCCTGACATTGGCTTATGTAATCTACGCCACGTCGTGACTTCTTGACACGTTAGAGCTTTCTCAAAGCTCGACTTGTCCACCACCACCACCACCATGTCGTCGAGAATCAGCATTGCTCGCCCTCAGTCCAACTATAGCGCCGACCCACACGGGCTCTCCAACTCCCGGCCCTCGTCTGGCTACAGGTCCGCCGACCCTGACGACCCGCTCGAGAAGCTCAAGGCGTTCAGCAAGACCATCGAGGACAATGTCGAAATCTACTCCCAGCCTCTGAAACCCCATTTGCCGGCAATTGGTCGTTTCTTGATCGTGGTGACCTTCCTGGAGGATGCGCTGAGGATCCTGACGCAGTGGGGCGACCAGATCTGGTATTTGCAAGCGTGCGTGTTGTCTTTGAGGGAGGTGTGCCAGCGCGACTGAAGCAGAGCAGACATCGCCATTTCCCCTGGGGTATCTCCCATCTTTTCCTCATGATCAATGTTATTGTATGTCGTGTGCGCCAGAATTGAATAATGGTACTGACATTTCCGCAGACCATGCTTGTTGGTTCCGGCGCCGTCATCACCAAGAAGCACACAGAATACGCTGTCGGTGGACTCCTTGGCGTCGTTATCATCCAGGGCTTCGGTTACGGCCTCATCTTCGACCTCAACTTCTTCCTACGCAACCTTAGCGTCATTGGCGGTCTCTTCATGGTCTTCAGTGACTCAATGGTGTCAAGAAAGACCCTCTTTGCCGGCCTTCCCAGTATCAGCGAAACCGACCGCAAGAAATAGTACGTGATTCGTTTCTACTAGATCCAGCCTCTGCTAACCCTTTTTCCCTAGCTTCTTGCTCGCCGGTCGTGTTCTCCTTATCTTCCTTTTCCTTGGTTTCATCCTCCAAGGTCAATGGAGCATCATGCGTGTCATTGTCTCTATCGTTGGCCTCGCCGCCTGTGTGATGGTCGCAGTCGGTTTCAAGGCCAAGTGGTCCGCAGCTTTCCTCGTGCTTGTCCTCAGTGTCTTCAACGTCTTCGCCAACAACTGGTGGAGCGTGCACTCTGCCCACCCCCAACGCGATTTCTTGAAGTCAGTGAATCCATCTTATTTTTAGACTGTCGCGTACTGACTGACGTCGTTACAGGTACGATTTCTTCCAGACCCTTTCCATCGTTGGAGGGCTCATCCTGTTGGTGAACATGGGTCCTGGTACGTGCCCCACCTGATAACGCTTTGTTTCTCTTTTTTCTGATGGCTCTTGTCAGGCGGTCTCTCTGTCGACGAGAAGAAGAAGACATTCTAATCGTGGATTATTATCACGCTCTACATGCTACTATTCATTCATCTCATACGATGACGACGACAACCCGTTCGCTCTCTCAACCTCGACTTTGGGTGGCGACAGGCAACTGGGACAGGGAGGGTTGGTTTGCATGCACTTGGAAAACGGCAGCCCTGTACTTGAATGTTGTATTCATCCGGCGACAAAATTCTATCTTATTTGCGGACCGTAACCCGCTCCTATCCTGGTTTTAGGTGACTGACGAGATGGGCGGAGCCATCCGATAATTCAATATTCAGTATTCGGTCTTCCACGTCTATCGCGAGGTGGTCACCAATGGACACGACCTCAGCAGCCAGCAAGCCGGACCACGTCAGTTCTGTCGCTTTGTGTCATCCTTCGCAGGCTGTCATGACCCCGTGACGAAGGATGTGGGTCCCAGTGGAAAGTGGATCCATTCCTCGCTGACAGCTCCAGGACAGCCGCGGACTGAGTTTGTTGGCATTTTTACTTCGTCCTTGCCTCTCTGACTCTACCATGACATACGTCGATCCGCCACAGTCCCTGGGTGTCCTCGGGGATGGAGATAGAAAGTGCTGCGCGATAAGCGTTGATGGCTACACTCTGCTTTATGCTGCCATTGGCATCAGCTTGCCTGGCCAGTATGGTGAGCAAACTGGAGAGAAGCGAACTATGTTTTATTGTCTGACGTCATATCTTGACTATCTCCCTTGCCAACAACGCTTCAAGAGACGAATGCTGGAGGTTGTAGGCTACAGTTTCTCTGGAATCGTCGACCGTGGGTCGTACAACCCAGCGTCGATTTGTGGGGTGTCCATCATCGATCATCCACCGCCTCAACCATGCAGCTCATCCGCTGCGCTGCAGGGAAACCACCTTTCCACGGTCACAGTGCTAATGGTTTATGATGTCCTCTTCAAGTGAACACCCTTTTTATTTTTGCGAAGCCACCGAAGCCTGCCCACGTATGCTGGCTGAAACCACCGCGGATGGGAGTCGTGCTTAAGAAGCACGTCAATTTTCGCAACTGGGCTCTTGACACTTGTCTTCACAGACGGGAGTTTTGCAGCCTCTAGGCAGAGGGTGTTTTGTTCGAAGCCTATTTTCGTCGCGCGTTCCAAACTTCGCAGTGACAAACAGGGCCGAAAGCAGGTAATTAAACCACTCCAATTTTTCAGTCAATCCACCTACAAACGTCCTCGGATTTCTCCAGCTATTTCTGTGGGATTTCCCAGTGGCGTCTTCGCCACGCGACCTTCATTAGGGCACACATGTAAACCCGGCGTTCAGAGAAACACAAAGGATAATCACCGCTGATTCACTGGATAGGAAAGGCTATCAATATTCGTAATCCGATTCCCGAACGCCACCAACAGAAATGTGCACCACTGTGCGTATGTCGCGCGTTGCTATTCTGCCCGGTGTGACCGAGATGATTTTCTGCGAGGTCTCGGCGCCTATCATCAGATTTTCTGCGCCATCCGCCACCGGTTCTCCAGGCAGTTCGGAGCACAATGCCACGCGACACGAACCCGAGAAAACAAAAGGAATGCTTGATCAGGAGCAGGGCTTCCCCCTTTGTCCTGAATCCTACGAGCTCGCGTGGTTGTGCTCAGGCTGCTAATTCAATTCCAACGCGTCTGCTTCCAGCCCCCCACGCCTTCGCCAGAATCCCTAGCCTTTTGTGACGTCAGCGGGGCCGCCGGTACACCCACAAGTGCACCCACGCGTACCCGTGCCACGTGTACGAGGGAAACATCAAATTTCTATTTTTGCCTCCTGAAGCCCCTGTCCGCGACCCAAGACGAATCGATTGCACCCTATTGCAGCTTATTAGGAAGGCTTAAGGAGGCATAGTCCAGCGGGTAAAGGGTTTCTCAATACACAAAGGTTTCTCCTCGAGCCCCTAACATCGCCGTTCCGTGTAAACCATCCTTCCGAAGATTTCTCGCTGGGCGGGGTACGCGCACTCCAGAAAAAGAAGCAGACGCGATTGGCGCATGTGCAACCTTGCTCGCCGATTTGTCGTGAGCTGTGCGTGGACGATATGCACTAGACAACCGAGGAAATGGCACGCGAATCATCGAGGAGCTACGTGGTCCAATGCCAAGTTGAGAAGACGCTCTGAGTAGTAAGGACTCGGTCGTCGAGTGAGTAACCCTCGATGACCAGGGTGTTCTTGCGACCCCCGACTCCCGGCAAACTCCCGGAATGCCCGCCCTGCGACGTTCGAGGCATCTCCTCCCACACACCGACAGACCCCGATAACATTAGCCTTTTATTTGCCTTTTATCGTAGGCATTCTATCAATAACTAACTCCTTGGGCATTTTACACTGATAGAGTTTCCGTTTTTCCGAAGATGCGATCTTTGATCACCCTAAGCGCGACGAAATTCCCACAAAGAGCGAGCGCGGAGGTGAACAAGTCCCCGAGCCTAACGCGGGCTGACGCGAGGGATTTACACCCGGGCATCTGGTTGCGTAGAGCCCGACGCGTTAATCCTGGATTTCCAGGAATTTTAGAAAGCCCACTTGACGATCCGGATTCCCTGCGCAATCCCCGATGCCTCCTACGAGGAGCACCATCATCGGGACTCCGGTGTTTTCATGCTCCATGTCGACCATCTCAGATTTCCAACGAACGTGTACAATAGCGAATCGCGCAACCAGGACAGCGGGTCTCAGCGGGTCTTCCAACCTTTTTGTTTTCTTGCCCATATTCTAGACCTATTAAAGGTGGTCTGCTAAGGCGCTAAGGAGACTCGTTGTCGGACAAAGCCCTTATCGATCGCGACCTTGTACCCGTTGATCGCCTTCCGAGGTCGGGGAACGTCTAAGTGGAGCCAATAGCCACGCTAGCGTTGCGAGGCATAGGCTGATTAGGTTGTGCGGCGCTATACACATTGTGCAGGAGGGCCTAGGGGTGTGGGCCCACTGGTTGTTTTAAGGAAAGGGCAGGCTGTGAAGGCTTCGACGAGGGTACTTCGGTGCACAGCAGCGGTTGCACATGTTGTTAAGGGGAGAAGACGAGGGATAATCCGATAGAGTGTGTATGATACAATTCGCAGTAAGGACTATGCGATATGGAAATTACAAAGGCTAATGCTACAGGGGTCGTTCAACGGGAGCGGGTCTGGTGATAGTAATACAATAAGAGATGAAAGATCAGAGTGTAACGCTACAGAGTTATGGCGACTATCGATACAGTGTGGTCGTGAGTTATTGGAAAGACTGTCAATTAATAGGAAGATCGATGGTGCGACCACCCAAAGGTGGCTAAAAGTCGAGAAAGACGGGAAATACCTCGTGAACGAAATCATGGGCGGCTGCATGCGGGATCTATCACGCCTATCCAGAGAACTCGAATTCCAGAGTGAGTCCGGTTGAGCCTAAATCTCGCAGCCGCCGCCTGATCCATCCTTCTGCGCTCTCCGTATTTCTCCCTATGCCGGATACCCGGAATCGCATGCGCCACAGGGTGCTGCGGGCGACCACGTCGCAGAGATCCGGCCAGGATAAGAGATCGAGCTGTGACTCGGAGCTCAGCCACATATGCAGCGTGAGGCTTTCGACGAAGGAGGAGCGCAGGGTAGATAGCAAGGAAGCAATCCAGGCATATGGTGTATTGAATGTGACTGGGTCAGACGAGAGGTGGGTGGGATTTGGGGTGCTGTTGGAGACGGAGTGCTGGACAGGAAAAGGAAATTGAAAGAGTGTGATCTGGTGGATTTCGAGAGCCTTGAGACCGGTGTTCTGTGAAAGGCTCACGAGCCTGGAGAAATCTAGAAAGAAACAAATCTAATCAGTATGTATCTCCAGGAAAACGTCAGAAATTTGGCTCCCACCATCGGTGTGACGCCGATCAAATTCGTGGACCAGGATTCCAAAGTCCAGATACTCCAACGACTCGCCGAGACTGGCTAGAAATTCCCCAAAAATATCCTCTTCTTCCGGCATAATGTCGGGGAGGGATAAGGCGCCCAAGTGGGGGAATGAGCGGTGAGCGCACGAATCTGGTGTCTGGACAGCATCCGAGACGACTCCATATTGAAGCCAGTTGAGGAGGACCCTGTTGTGGCAGTATGAAATGTATAACTTCCTGAGAGAGGAAGGCTGCAGTGTGGCGTCTGCGTTGCGTGCATTCTCACCGGAAATCCTGCCTAGGGCATCCCACGACATGTTGTCTAGTGAGAGCTCTTCGAGAGCCGGGAATAAATCGAATAATGAGGCGAGAAGCGAAAACGAAGGAAGATGAACATATCGAAGGATCAACTTCAGGAGCCGGTGTAAGGACGGAAGTTCGGGGGTCAGTTGAAGTGCGGGAATCGACCAATTGACTTGAGCGACGCGGAGCTCGGCGAGTCTTGGAAGGCGAAAGATCCAGTCAGCCAAGGCACTTTCCTCTTCAATAGGTCCTTTTATATTTACCCTGCGTATGGACGACGAAATGGTATCAGCGGTTGTATGCGTCCCTCCTGTGGATGTCTTGATGTGGCGAGCGAAGTCAGGGCGATAATTCACCTCAGCGAAGAGGTGGTACCGACACACGGGCAACCATGCCTTGCAGACCGTGGTGCAGGCGGCGAGATCCTCCCTCGAACCGTTCAAATTACCCAGGATCTTGTCGAGGAGTTCCGGAGATAGCCGATGGATCAGAGGCACAGAAAAAGACTCCATGGAGCCTGGACACTCCGGGGCGGCGGTGGATGGAGGGGTCGATGCAACCTCAAAAGACATAGTACCCAGAAACTTGGGTTTATAACAGGAGAAATACAAGGTAGGTCGCTTTAGTTCGGCATTGTGCCCAGTTTCGATTCAGGGACAGGCTGTAATCGTGTGCAGCTTCCACAGGCCCCACCAAGGGATACAAGGTCAACTGCAGGAAAGCATTCATCTGGTCAAATGATCAAACGTAACATGTATGGGCTGCAGACGATACAAGAACCAGACTTGCTGTAAACTGAATGTAGCGCCGGTATGTGGTTGAGGACAAGGTCGGTACACAGCCACTGGCGGTCCAATAAATTAAATTTGGCCGTGTTTGGCTGGACTTTTCAACTTCCTCGCCGTCGACAACCCTTCGGTTGACTTCTGCCACGAGCCTGCTACGTATTCCCAAGACACGACTTCTAACAACGCTCATTACAACGAAAAGGTCGGATTACTGCCGCAACATTCCATTTACAACAATTCCTAGGACCCTTCACGATGGTGAAACGCCGACTAATGTCAGACGAAGGCTGGAGCGAAGGCAGCGACGAAGGATCGGATTTTTCACCAGAATCCGACTACGAAGACGCGTCGTTCGCGTCGAAATCCAAGTTCTCCTCTTCTCTGAAGGGTCACTCTCTTCGCAAGAAGGCGAATCCTCAACGAAATGACGCGTCTTCCTCTTCGACTCCAGTTGAGGCAGGTGCCCCGAGTTTGATGCGGTGCAGATCCACCCACACCATTCAAGATCCTGCAGCAATGCGTACTGCGCTTCTTAGGTGGTACAAGACCGTGCATGAGACACGTGGGATGCCGTGGCGACGGCCATATGACCCCAATCTGGGCATCGAGGAGCGTGCTCAGCGGGCGTACGAGGTGGGTTCGAGGGATCGGCAACGCGCTAAATAATGCTAACCAACTCTAGGTGTGGATCTCCGAGATAATGCTTCAGCAGACGCAGGTTGCTACAGTTATCCCATATTACAATCGATGGATGGAGAAGTGGGTTTACCCGTTTTGTATTTGAATCCAGGGCGCATTAGGTTCGAACTGACGATCATGTCGTAGATTTCCGACTGTCCGTGATCTCGTGGGTGCGTCTTTCTGTCTGTCTTCGATATACTCACGTCGTCCCAGGCTGCTGCCACGATAGACGAGGTCAATGCCCTATGGAAAGGCCTCGGGTATTACAGCAGAGCAAGTCGCCTGCTCGCGGGCGCGCAAAAAGCGCTGGAGGTTTATGGCGGTAAATTGCCGGACAACGCCAAAGACATGGAGGCTAATATCCCTGGCATTGGTCGGTATAGTGCCGGAGCTATCTGTTCCATCGCTTACGGCGAACAAGTTCCCGTGGTGCGTACTCCTATTCATACATGCTTCCAGCAAGTTGGTCGTTTCCTGAGTGTGAGTCTTACGGAAGTAGCTGGACGGGAATGTTCACCGTCTGTTGAGTCGAATACTCGCGCTCCATGGACCCCCAAAATCGAAGCAGACGCTTGACGTTCTCTGGACTGGGGCAAAGACGATGGTTGAAATAGATTGTAAGTAATACCGAGGTCCCCGTTCCCGTCGAGAGAACGCTGTGCTAAGACGAGACACTTCCATGCTCCTGCCAATCTAGCGCAGTCTTTGTGCAGAAGCGAAGACCCACCCCCTGACTCTGACAGCCCGCAATACCCAGGGGACATAAATCAGGCAATGATAGAATTGGGTAGCACCGTTTGCAAAGTTCGCGAACCGGAGTGTGGGTCATGCCCTCTGCGAGCGTGGTGCTCTGCCTACCGAAAAACCACACCAGAAGACGAGCAGGCCGTAAGCACCTTCTCCCTACCTCGGTTCTCTTCGGATACTGACATGACTCACTATCAGACTAGTGTGGTCGATATCGAAGATGTTTGTCGATTATGCGAACCCCTCATGAGCTCCGAAGGCGTCACCTCTTATCCCATGAAAGCCGACCGCAAGAAAGCCCGTGAAGAGACAGATGTCGTCAACGTCATTGAATGGCGTTCGAGGGCTACACCATCGGATCGACGGTTTCTACTGGTCAGGCGACCCGAAGGAGGTAAGAGCAGTTTAACCGTTGACATTCATTGTGCATTCATTGTCCTAATCCTCGTTCAGGTTTATTGGCCGGTCTATACGAGTTCCCAGCTTCTGTGAACGTCTCTAAAAGCATGACCCGAGCTTCTCAAGAGAAATTGCCTGCCTCCATCCTTTCGAAACTCGTTCATGGCGGTTCTTCTCTAACCAAATCCCAGCAGACTAGGAAAGCAAACACCCAAGATGAAAAACACGAGCAAGTACTAACTATTACTAAGATAACTCCAGTTGGGGAGGTACTGCACGTCTTTTCTCACATCAGAAAGACGTACAAGGTGCAGTGGGTCGTCTTGGAAGGCGGTGCTGAACCACCTCCGCCTCTCGAGGGCTCTTCGTTGGACGAAGAGCGGCCAAAAAAGAAACCCAAGAGGGAGAACGCCGGCAAGGGTCCTGTCAACGTCAAAAACGACAAACGCGGCCCGAAGGGAGCCGTTTGGACGCCCATCGACCAAGTTCTGGAGGCGAAGTAAGTTCGTGAACCTCGCTCTGCCCGAGATATCTCCTCACTTCAAACGTTTCGTGACCTGCAGCATGGGAAGCGGCGTTGTCAAAGTGTGGAACCTGACGAAGGAATTGTGGGAGAAGGAGGCGAGATAGCGGGCGGACACCCACCCTCTTTCGCCGTTCGGTGCCCTCCCAGACCATGGTCGTGTCGGAAAGAATGCGGAGCCCTTAATCTACTTCGATGCTTCTATGCAAGTCTGGTCACATCAAGAGGAAACTTGTACATGTGAGGTATCATTTACATAACGCACTATTATAGAGCTATCCACATCCACCCCCATCTATATGGAAGATCCCGTTTGTTCACGTAGCTTTCCTCAGGTGTGCCAACCATATGGCCCGGCTGGTGTTCTTACCGTAATTAATTTTGAAGAAGGTCGACCCGTTCCATCAGGTCGACTTAGTCAGAAAGGCCATGGAAGTGGTTAACATATTGATTAAGTTTCTAAATAATCTCCTTTAGCTAATGTTCTTTTTTTACATATGGATGTCCGTACTCTAGGCCCTGCAATAACCCTTGTTTTCGGAGGAAGATCATCTGCAATTGAGCGTCTTGGCCACATTTCGGCCCGGAGTGTTCCGAACCGTGGTGAAATGTTTGTTGAAAATTGTAGGACATATCATGATGATCTCAACCACCATCCCCTATCTCCTCTGTGGCGGCCGCGGTTTTATTTCACGAATTTCTTCACTCAAACCTATTCTCTTGACCGATGATCACAACTGTCATTCGAAGACATCGTGAAAACGCACGGAACGTCAAATTTTCAAACTTGCAATCGCGCATATAGTCTCCAGCGGCATATCGCCTGTACGCGCCCCTTCCACGAATTTCGTAAAATTCGCACTACTCGATGCAATGCTTCGCGTAGAAACGATAGGCGCGGCCCTCTCCTGAGACGTATATACACAAGGGAAGACGATAACAGGGGAAGGGAACTTCATTTGCGGGCGTAAATCTGACCTGATGGTGGTAGAAAAGCTGGGAAGATAAGTCGACAATCCTACAGGGTAGTTATTGTAGCCTCAGATTCGCCAATGGCTGACCACTGTGCGATGCAGGGAACTGGTGAATTTACTTATCCAATTCGCGCGTTCTTTCCATTGATCGTCTGTATACGTCAAGGTCTCTAGACCCGAGCCTTTTCAACACCACGACTTGTGCAGAGTCTGGGTCTCAATGCCGACGTTGCGTATAACAGATGCTAAAGCAGATGCCCACTGCCAGCAGTGCTGTTAACTAACCAAGGTGTGCTTTTATGGCAAGACGGGGCGAAAGGTATGCACTCATTTCCCGTTCTAATAAAGGAGGCTTTACGCACTACGATAGAGACGTACCAAGAGTCTGTTCTTAGGCGTTACCCTAGCATTGCAAACATCTATTCGCAACTTTCGGTTGATCGCTGTCGGCGAAACAAAGGTAATGTAGATGCACCCTCGAACCCTCGCCGTCATCCAACTGTTTTGCCTTAGTCCCCATTTTTCTCACACGAGTGTGTAGGGTCTACGAAGGGCTTTTCGGACCCTGTGAAGTTGATTCCAAAAATTTTGTCAACATTCGCTACTTGTCCGGTGTCCGTATGCATTATACGGAGATACTCTGACTATTATCGGCTTCTGTGTTGCCTTGAACAGGTTCGTTTCTTAGTGCGTCTGAGAATAACCGCTGCGTTTTATTTCTTTTTTTACAGTGCACCAAGCGGTGGGATCTCAACATTAAAACTTGGAAGCTCTCTATCCGATTCAAGTTACCTGGCATTCTAGCGGTTTTCAAGTTTCCAGAATCTCCGTGTTTTCTAAACAAGAAGTCGTTCGAGCAACCAATAGATTCACCTTCATTTCACAGGGAACCTCCGTGAGAATCCAAGTCTTTGAAAATTGGCTCCTTTGGCCCAATGTCAATTTTCCTTCCGACGGTCGAAGGCTACCTGAGTGCAGAAACTAGGGCGTGCAACCCTCATGTTTTACCTCGTGGCCGTTCGCCTTGAAGGGCATGTTCTGTATGTTTTTATGATTACATAAGCGACTCTTTCTTACTCACGATATCTCAAAGCCATGTGCCGAGAGGAATTTGATTGGCATGCTATTAGTATTAGGTTGCGGGGGTCGGGACCTTGAGGAATTCCGTTGCTGTGTTTCAGCCGCTCTTGCGGGCACCGAATATGCACCCGTCGTCAGCGCTGACGCCGGAGGCTATTCTCCGGGTTTCCTCAGTATCGAAATCGGCCATGCATGGGCGCGGCAATAACTGCTCTCTGACACGTAGGCATTAATCCAGTTCTACCATGCTCCCCGCTTTTCCTGCCACGTTTCGCCGCAATCTACATCCTCTGTCGTGGCGCTAGGACACCACTAAAATCAGTGCCGCTGCTCAAGGCCTAGGGAGATATTTCGAGGTCGTTGCATCATAATCAGCTCTATTTCATTTCATTGATCTTCAAACATTGATCTCAGATCAGGAAATTCGTGTCACAAAATGCACGCGAGCGAAGCAAAGGAAGTGCTTCTTTTCTCTCGAAACAGTGTATATCAGAACTCTCGAGGGTGTGAAGAACAGCGGCACGCGAAGGGAAATCACCAGCCATTTGGCTGGTCTCCGCGTTCGTTTGGCAGTCACTTCCCATCCTTGTCTGAACCCTTGCCTGGAAGCAGATGGAAGCAAAGTGCGGACGTCCAGGAAAATTCCGATGCGTACACGAACGGTCATAGCATAGGGAAGTATTCCAAATGATTTTACCGGCCTTCTCAATACCACGGTGACGAAACTCATTCAAGAACAGCTCTTCATGAGTTTGAATTGACACGTATGTGCGAGTGTGTACGTCGAGGTCGCCGTCGGAATGGGCTGCCTGAGAGGTGTTTTCCGGTAAGTAATGTTCTAAACTCCGGGTATCTGTCGGAAGATCACTATCGAGAATATAGGGAGCAACTTCGTGACTCTTCAGGGATGAAGCCATCATATCCCGACGAGAGGCCCATACGTACTTGGATCATGATCGAATGTCCTCACCAATCTTAAAACGTTCCCTAGATGTGGGTCGCCCATCCCACCCCGATACAAGATGGCTGTCGTGAAGAAATGTGTTCCGCTGCGTCCTGCAGAGGGATAAGATTTATTATTGTTGACCTCGAGGGAGGATTCCAGTTGATCGACTCGGCCATCCCCACGAATGAAGCCCCTCTACCTGCCCGAAATGGCACATTTGCATTTTACAGTTTAGTCAAGATCTGTTTTCATGGAGATCGTGTTACTAATCTCAGATAGACTACGAAGGGTGAAGGCAAAGTAAGCGACTATCTCGATAGGGATCGGTTTCTCAGGTACGTCCAAATATAACTTCTCCGCTCCGTTCTGCTAGCGACACACCATGCACTGCAAAGATAGGTTCCATCGTGAGAACTCCTAGGATCCTTCTTACGTCTTGAATCCCTAGATCTCAATCCGATGCATGTGTCCAACTCAATGCAAACTCAAAATATGGTGGGATTCACGTCTCGTTTCTTCGGTCGGACCTGCCGGATCCTTTATTTAAGGTGTGGATAAATTGGAGGAATGGGTCCTCCTCAACCAACCACCTCCTGCTGTGGCACCTTGGACCTTGGTTCAATAATCGCTCTTACGTGCCTCTGCACACCATGCAACATCCTACCCTCCAAAATGTCCGCATTCGCTCGACGCGCGATGCCCTTCAAGTATTCCATGGAGTCGCCACCCATCGCCTACCTTTAATCACGAGACGGTTGGATGCAGAAGAGCGACGAAACATCGTCCCCGGAAATGTCTACGTCTGGTGGGTTCATGAACGCTTGGTGGCAGACGCTGTCGATATTCATTCAATCCGCAGGGAAGAACGTGGGGCAAACACCGAGCCGACGGGTCTCGGAATGGAGCGATGGTACGTCGGGAGCTCATTACTGTCGTGACATCTCTTTGATACTGTCTGTGCTTCAAGGACTGATGGAATGGGATGGGGTCCCAGTCGTACGTACCAGCGCTCTTGATTGTGACCCCAGCGCTAACGCCATCAATAACATTGTCAGGGGTCCGCGATGTGCGTCAAATGCATTCTCGAGAATTAAATCCTGATTGTCACTCGGATTATGCAGGAATTCTTGTTTTATCATCAGAAGGACTCGGACGTCACTGACGATCTCGTCAATCCTGTCACTCCGTGGGCGCAGATGATGAGGTCAGTCTCTCAGCCTACCTGCGCCACTTAATGTGATTTCCACACCCCTGGAGGCTGCCGTCTCAAGTTTATTCCTACTGCTCGTTCTGCTCTTATCTTTGTTGTGTTCGTTTAATAATCTATTTGCGTTTCATAGGAGACCCGCCGCACGGCCTAACACCAGGCCATTCTCGGTTGATGTTCGCCCAGTGCCCGAGTCAGAACGTCTCATCAAACAGACATACAGTGTACACGTATCATTGCCTGCTGACAGGCCCAAGGGAATCATCAGGAAGTGGCATCTCAGTGAGTGCAGGCCTCCATTCAAAAATCAAGATACTGACTACGCCCTAGCCGCTTACTTTAGCCCGCACAGGTTAGACGAACTTGATACCATCGATAATCTTCGTGGTGTAGGCGACATTGTTGTGCCAGAAGGGTGGTTCCGAAGCGCTCGCATTGGACGAAATCGACGAGATAGCCGAACGCATGCACTTCCCTCAACCTCCGAGGGCCCTGGCCATTCGCCCACATCGTCAGGCTCAAATTTTTATCTTCCATCGGGTTCTCACCACCAATACCCATCACCTTCTCAGCATTCATCCCCCGCATCTCCATCGGGCTATTCGATTCCTGCGTCGCCGCCTCGCTCTGTGGTGCATCCCCAGCATCAGCTGGTGCCTCTAGAGGTCCTCGTCCAGACGGCTGGACCGAGGCGTGATCCAGCAGACGAACTGCTACTGCGCCGATTCTCCTCGTAAATCACCCAAGAACAAAATCTTTTGCTTTAGCTCGTCGAAACGGCTGCGCCGCCAAATCCAGAGCTTACTACTGTGTCAATATTTGCCATCCTGCCGCACTAACTGCATCTCTCTTTCTGCACGCTCTCTTTCGTTTTCCTCTTGCTCCAAAATTAGACACAAACTCGGCTTTCATGGATTATCTCATAGCTTTCCCTCCAGTTCACATGGACCTTGTTATAGTAGTTGCTTTCCATTCTCTCTCGCTCTCAACCTCCACCCAAGACTGTATTTCTATCTAGATCACCAACAACAGCAATAAGTTATTAGATTACGCATCCTGATTGCCAACTAGAATTGATCCTTGGATTTTTCTTTTCAACAATTGCGACCTTTTTATACGCGAAAGTGTCACATGATTGGCAAGTTCTATCACGCTGCTAGCGCCGATCTTCATTAATAATAACGCTTGTCCCCTTTCATCCAACCTTGTCGAACTCAAACGTCTCCCAACTGTCGACAAAAGCGAAGCAGATGCTTCAGCTAACCGAAATGGTATCTTTCGGCCCCCCTGGCTCTGACGAGATTTGCGCAGCCCCTGTCCCAGGAAATATCCCGTGTATTATGTTCGTCATACCTCCGTCGACACTTTTCTCTCGCGAGTCGAGAAAATAGTTCTAATGAGCTCATGCGCAGTAAAACACGTCTCGAAATACCTCCTTGGCTCCTTCACGTGCCCTCTCCGGTCTTCCGAGAGTCCAGCAGCTATTTGACTCAAGGTAGAAGAATTACCGAGGGCGAGCCAGATTATATGCTCTGCACTCATGCCGTGCACATAGTTAGATTTCGATTAAGAATGCTCCCTGATTTGCGCGAATTCGTGTTAGGCTCACATCGATATGAAAACTGAGAGCTGCTGGGTCATCTTTTCCTTGGCTCATCCGAGCTCATCGATTAGGCCAGGCGCCTAAATCCGTGGTAGTAGGCATTGCTGGGTTCCAACTTTGGCTGTCTGGACCATTGAACTATACGTTAAGTGGTGTCTGTCAGTCGCATCCAAAGGAATGATGATACTCTATAGACGAAGCTACACGCGCTCCGAGGCCCCCCTGCCACTTTGCTAGCTTGTAGCCCCCCACGTGGACCCCCTATCCACCTAGCCTATCGCACAGGACTCGTTACGAAGGAAGCAGGCTGCCAGTACAGTTGCTTTAGGACGTGATCGACAGGTCAGCATCCTTTGAAGCTCACACACTTTTCCTGTTTGTCCTGGGTTCACCGTGGGTTAGTGATCCAGAAGAACCGTCTCGTGGAAATTCACGACGGTGGGGAGGTAGTATTGCTGCAAGAACATCCTACTGCTACGCTTCTCGGCATGTGGCGAGGGTTTCGTTTTAGGACTGCATCACACACCCGCACTCGATGCCCAGCCGCTCCTCTCAGGCCTTCAAAGACATGACCCAACCAGACGATTTTGCCTCTCCCTGAGAACGAACTAGGGTTCTCGACACCGTACCCGCAGAACTACCTTTGTCTTCGTTTCTTGTGTTGGTTATGCACTCACTGCATGCCTCCATGACGCGATTGGTCAAGCGGCCTCATACAGGGCCTTGGTCGGAGTGACCCAGTGCATGCAGGGCGCTTGACATGTAAGCAAACTATAGTCCAGTAAACCCCGACGAGACCGCCTGATCGATGGGTGCTCCTGGGTGTTTGTGTCCGTGAAACATGTTGATGGCGCCCAGTGGGAAGTGTTAAAGATGCAGACGGGAACTTCCGAATGTCAATGTCGTGTGGCGTATTTATCAACGCCTCCACTGACCTCTTGAAGGCTCGTTTCATCGCTCTAAGTCCTGCTGGGATGCGAACAGGTTTTGATACTCCAGGCCGTTTGGCGCCACCCTTGAATAGGTAAATTATCCCATCGATCTTCGAACCGAATCCGTAGTGACGGGGATGGGAATAGGCCTGACAAAGGACGATTTCGTTCCAACGCTCGACGCAGCTGAGTGCCATCGTGAAAGTAGCCAGGAAAGAACCGGGATCCAGATGATGTAGTTCTACGGCAAGAATTCTATTTTAAGAAATACTTTAACTTTGGTGAGTGTCCTACAATTTAGTCGACTCGGAGGGTATGGGAATTTCAGATACACATGGGATCCAACCGCTCACCCACTGTGAAAGTTGACAATCCTATCTCTGAGGTAACGAGTGAATAAACACCCTTTTATAGGCCATTAGTTTTCGTCTGAATGGCCTCAAGAAAGTGCTAAAATTTGCATTTCGATAAAATAGATAAATTGAACCCGCATGACCATAATGACCATTTCCTTTAGACGGTCTCCGAGTGTTCTTATTAGGATTGTAATAATTCTATGCTCCTCAGATGAGTACACCGAAGTAATTTCATATCCGGAAATGTTTGTCTGCCGCAGTTACAGTTTTTAGGAACGCGGACACAAGCATCTATCATTCCACAAACTCCTCGGCCCACAACATACCGTGCCTGTCCAACAGACCTTCTTTTTCCGCACCATTCAGGGGAAAGCGGAGCCGATGTTTCCAAAGGGATACCGCTCTCCTGAACATGAAAACAGTCTTCTGACTCGGAGTCCTCTGTCGTTGATTCTTGTTTAGGAGCTCTCAAATTCTATAGTTGAACTCCGCGAATATTCATATTGGAGCTTCATCTTGCCTTCCAATTGCTAAAACATGTCACACGTGAACCCTGTCTTCCCAGTGGTGTTGTCTTCTTTGCTCAAAAATAACACAACAGATAGGGAATTCAGTAAGGAGAGAAATGGAAGTTTTCCATGCGCATGACGAGCTTGTTTTAAAAAAATCAGACAACGAGTAGACCTTCCGTTTTGGCGCCCAAGGTTTTGCCCTTATCTAGCGGCATAAGCGGCCCGTAATTCCTTAGTTTCGACATAAATAAATAAATTGATTACTCTAGAGTACATAAGCGATAAGTCAATATACCCATCGTTCAGGCAGCACTTGGCGATATCTAACATTAACGGCTTTCCTTCATTTCTCGTCTTTCCTTGTTTTATTAAGGGAGTTTCCAAGAGTTTCAAGATGTCTGATTCCCGGAAAGCACGGCAAGACTCGAAGCCTCCACCAGAAGTCAAGCCGCGCGGTGCGAACAGGTCGACGAAGGTCGCTGGGAAGCTCAAGGTCCTGCCAGAGCAGCCGGAAAGTCTTCCAGTTCTAGGCACCAAATCACCTATTTTGCATCATAAGCCCCCAAAGGATCAGGCGAGTAGTTCTGGAACAACCGGGGACAGTGATGAAGGTGATGTGGAGGAGAACGACGAGTCTCAAGAAGAGGACGTTGAAGTAAGCGGCTCTAGACGTGCAACGCGTTTCTTCTTCTCATCTGGCGTGTCCGTAAAGGTATATAACCAAATATCTCTCATACCCGAGGGAACAGCTCGCAGAGATGCTTTGCGGCTGACGAAGAAGAAGGCGAAATCCCTGCCTCGAGTGACAGCCTATGCCACGGCAAGGTAAGAATGTCACCAACTTCCAGGCCGTTTCGCATCTTACTTTTCCCCCCAGCTCCTACCGGATGAGTGATTTGATGAAGTTTTTTAGCGCCAGGCGGAGTGCATACCACACAGACCCTAAGCTAATTGACGATGCGATCTATACCCCATATCTTTATGACCCACCTCTCACCCATCCAGAAAGCCGGCAGCCTCAGACAACCGCACCCACTGGCGACCTACTGGGCATTCCTGAACTCAGAGGGGATGGAGAAGATCACCCGGAGGACCTTAAAAAGAAACGCAAGGCAAGCAAGTTTGATACCACCGCCACAGAAGCTGAGATATTCATGTTCAACTATGGCACTGTGGTGATTTGGGGCATGACAGAAGCTCAAGAAAAAAGATTCCTGTCGTCCATGTAGGTCCTCGAAACACCCCTACGATCAAATTTAACTGAATTTGAACAGAAAACGTTTTGAGATCGAGAAATTAGGTTTGCCTCTCAGTCCTCGCGGCTTGCATTCTGCCTGCCCTCATCCTCATTGAAATGATTAGCACCCGAAGACGTAGAAATGGAAGACTTGAACTACTATTATGCGAACTACAGTCGGCAAGTCTCGACGTCATTTCTCGGCATTTGCGGTATCCTAATTGTACCATAGGATTTACAACGATGTTATAACGCTCCGAAAAGGATCTAGCTATATGTAGGCCGCTCCATCGCCGAGTGTCTACAGGTTAAATTCTAAATTGCAACGTGGCAGGACCAAGCTCTCCTTATCGCATGCACTCTCGCAATCAGTAAAAATATCATTGGTGAGAGTAATCCCATGTTTTTCGGAAACGCACTACTTATCGCCTCGGTGCAGTTCGAAGAGCTGATTTCCTCCAAAATCGAGGAGACGAAGGACATACCGGAGGTCATTAGTGAGACAGGCAAGATCGGCATGCCCCACAAAGGTTTGCCATCCCATGCAATCTGCCTCGTTTAGGCATCGCCTCAATTCTCTCGAGCAGAGATCATGCAGAAAATTGGGCAGCTGTTCCTCCTCCGGACAAACATAAATTCCGTTGGGTCGGTGCTGGACTCGCCTGTACGTAAAATCTTCCTTTCAGACAGATTTTACCAATTTCCAACATGTGTCTTCTGGCCGGTTCTCTTGTCTTCTGCAGGAAGTCTTCTGGGTAGGTTCCATTTCCTTAAGAGAGTGGTGATCTCCTTCCAGGCTGGCTTACTGACTACGAGGACCACGCGTAGAGCTACCCCGATCTCCAGCCCCTGTATGATGCAGCCCGGAGTTATCTTGAAATCCCGCAAAGAATTAATCTGTTGAATACGCGTGTAGAGGTGCATATACTTCCTCAGGTCGCCTGCTCCTCCACATCGAGCAAAGGCTAATAGAGATCTTTCGCACCAGGTCCTTCAAGATATGCTTCAACTGTTGAAAGAATCAGTATCAAGTAAGCATTCTGAACGGCTCGAGCAAATTGTCATTTTATTGATCGGTATCGAAATCGGTACGTCTCTGTCGGCATAGCTTTTCCAACGTTGTGTCGAGGGGAGGAAGAACTGACCCACTTGACGTATTTCATTAGTTCTCGGCATCATCACCATCCTTGTCGACTTGATGGCGGCTGGTTAAAACCTCTATAATCTCGTCACGATATCCATGTACTAGTCAATGGTAATCTATCTAGCTATCACAAATCCCTGTGAGAGTGCTGAATGCCCGTGATGCCCTTTGCAGGCAACGTGTTCAGGATCTGCAAACTTCGGTCTTCCTAGCACGACATGAAACTCCACAACTCAGACCTTCGACCGATAATTATGTCTCGACTAAATATAATTCGATACCAAGAATACTGTACGGGTTCCACATCAGAACCGAGAGCGGACGAACCGGCGGACATCCCCACAAGCCCCTGCCGTCAGCCGTTCACATTGGGTGTTTAAGCGTACAAGGTCCTCATAATTTACTTGATATATTACATAGATACATGAAAACGAACAGTGCATACATTGCTGGTGTGACGAAGGCTATGAAATTCCTGGACGGTGCAAACAAGTAAGTCTGAAATCATAAGTCCGAAATCCGTCATCATCATCATCATCATAATTGGGGCGGTCATCATGAGTAAGTTATGCTCTCGAGTTGGGGTTGCGTGACGGGGCCTCTTTATCACGGGGCCGGCCACTTGAGGATGTTACACTGCGAGAGCTCGAAGATGTTGATGGTCGAGCCTGCTTGAAACATAGGAATTCAATTCCTGTTGCCCTGCGTGTTTCTCCAAGGATCTTCTTCACTCCGTCTAGATTCGCCTGCAGGTTTTCATCACCTGGACGGCGTGCATAAGCCTGGGAGATCCGGTTGTACAGGTCAGACAGTGTCTTCGCCGCTGCAGGAGTTACGTATCGCCCCAGCGTCTGGTGCAAAAATTCGATTTCGAGCGTGGCCTGCAAATGCCAACAAGAATGTCAATCAATCTCTCACAACCAAGCTACCCGCGATATACGAGATAAGTAGGAACTTACACGCAGCATTCCTCCCATCCCGAAGCGTCTTACCTGCCGGAAGCATCGAAGTGCCTCGGTTGCAAGCTCCTCGACAAGTGCATTTAAAGTTCGGTCCAAGAGTGACTCGGCCGTCGTACAAACTTGGGAGTGCACCCCCACAAGGGCCATCAAAGTCTCATGCATGTAAGGCCGAATCTCTGCACATGGCAAATATTATGTCACTGATACACCCTAGATGGTTGTGTGCGAACAGAACAAACGTACCGGTGGGCTGCGAAGTCTCATACCAGTCCATCTGGGGGTCCAGAATTCCGTCTCGAATGATGGTATTCACAACCTCGCCTTTCGCCTTCACATAGCCATCGAAAAGAGTCTTGTCGAGCTCATTAACGACCGTCATGAGGACCTGGAGGATAAGGTCAGGCCCGGCCACAAAAAGGTAAATGGCAACTGCAGCCCTACCTTGCGATCTTCCGTCATCGATATGCCAAACGCCGTCTCCAGTTGCACCAGCATGCTTGGGATAACAATTTTTGACAAATCGTTGATATTGGAAATTACAAGCAAGAGCCGAGTGTCCTGTGAAAGCAAGAAAAACATGAGGAAAAGGCCCCGTGTGGTGTTCACGATAAATGACATACACCGTCTGCGAGATCAAGAATATCCAAGGCATTGGAACCCTCAAGCACAAGATTCGCTATTTCGGGCCTTTTCCCGTTGGCAATAGGGGATTCGGTGGAAGCGAGCAGGACCAGACCATCCAGGAATGCATAGATGGCATCCAGGAATGCCTTCGTGATTTTCGAAATGAATGCCTGAGGTACAGGGTTTTGTTTTGACGACCTGGTTAGGGATGAGGACGGATCCACGCCACCAGCCAGCTTAAACGCAGCGGTGGTCATGTGTTGCTGATAAATCTCTATTTGCGTAAGGTAATGCGTTGTGAACGGCTCGCTCGAGTTTGAGACCCATGCTTCCACGCAGTAAAACATAGTGGCGTCTGGAAAGTGAATGAGAATCGGATAAATAATTTCCGTCGCTGATACTCGCCTCGTAGCCAATGATTGATGAGAATGTCCTCAAACCTCCATTTTGCGCTTTCCAGAAGGCTCTTGAGGCCGGTGTCTTGAGAAATCTCCAATCCATTTACGTCGTTAACAGTCTCTTGAATGTCGACAAGGATCTTCGACAGGTAGTAGGCCGTAGAGATCGAATGAGAATCTTTGGGAAGCAATGGCGGCGGCGTATTGTTGGCGCCAGGTGCATTCATAACAGCCATATCCGACAACTTAAAGAACTCGGAGATGAGGGAGATGTAAAGTTTGACAATGTCCAAAGCCATGGTTCGGCATTGCGTTGGACTTCTACGGGTACCCGAACTAGAGTTGGGCTATTTAAAGACAAGGATGAAGAAATGAACGAGCTATAAAAAAGCGGGAGGAAAAAAACACATATACGTGTTACACACCTTCTTGAACTTCCCATCCATGAAGTTTTTTGAGATGCGCCAAAAGCTGGGAAGTGACGCCAACATGGCCTCTGAGATGCTCTTGACCATGTCATGGATGGCCTGCCAAACAGATTCAGCAGGTGATTTGGCTGGGTGAGAAGAAAGGACATAGAAGGCATGAACATGAGAAGGGGAGAAATCCGCGCGACATAAGATATCCACAAACCGATCACGCCGTCGGGCTTCTTCGCCTCTAAGTCAACGATTGCGGCCTGAATTTGTGCCTTGAGGGTGTCTGTCAGCGTATCAGGGTCTGTAGTGTCAATACCAGTCTTCTGAATGGCTGCTATCTTCAGAGTCAGCCGACGGGATGGGAAAAGGAAAATTACAAGTGCCGCTTCCTCGGGAACGACGAGACGAACCTTCTATAGCGCGGACGGAAGACCGATAAGCTGTCGACATCGCATTCATGATGTGTTTGTGGTGGCTATCGAAGTATGTCCAGACGGGATCGTCATTGGATTGTAGTTCCAGAAGCACCCTGAAATCCGACGAGTACGCATATCAGAAGATAGTGAAAAAGTCTAAACATGAAAAAGCTTACTCAAGCGTCTTTTCTTGTTCATCCACGGTCCGGGTGGCATCTTGGAGTTGCGACACAAGCACGTTTCTCATCTCGCCCATGGCCTTCTCCACGCTGTTCCATACTTTGTCGAGGACTCGCTGCTGCTGAAGCTCTGCGTTCTTCGTCGCAACAGGGTCTTTCGTGGTCCCAATTGGTAGAAGTTGCCCAGGACGGTTCTCCAACAAATATTTTCCTTTCTTGTAGTCCCTCAGAGCTATTTCGTAACGGCCCTGCAAGTTGGTGCGTAATGAAGGCAGCTTTCAAGAGCTCAAGAGGTAAACGCACAGCTTCAATGGATTCGATGATAAAGCTAGGCAGATTGAAGAAGAATTTGGAGCGTTCAAACACCCCAAGCGTGGTTCTTAACTTCTGGGTTTTCGATGCATTCTCTAGAACTGGAAGAAAGACTTGATTGGCTTTCTGGGTACCGTCTGAGCAAGGTTAAATATGAGTGTTTGTTCTCAGGCGCTCAATGAGCTCCTCACTTTTGAGATGATCACGAAGTGGGCGAGAAGAGTATTCTGTCTTCTCCGAGAGAATGCCTTCCTTCATTTCCGCATAGAGGGCTTGGGACAAAGACCTGGGTGAGTTCTCGCCCAACAACAATAAGGTTACGCTCACCGTCGGTTGAGGATTTCACCGCGACGAAGCGATCAAAGTTGTCCTCGACGAGAATCCGGAGAGCCTCCGAACGAGCTTCGATGGAGTTCTGCAGGTGGGCGATTCCTCTGGCGAGGTCCTGATACGTTGCATTCGGATGTACGGTGGATAAAAACGCTTTAGGATCGAATGACTTGGAGGTGATAAGGCATGCCGCCTCTAAAGAAGAAGTTAGATTGTTGAACAGAGGGCCCGAGGACGCCAAGCGGGGGACGAACGTACTCGACTCCATGTCCAAGTCCCTCATCCTGCTTCTATCAGTTGGGCCCACAGATTGGAACGAGCAAACGCACCTGAGTGCGTTCTTCAACCCCAACGGATCCCCCTCACCATCTCCACCACTTGCGGGACTCAGAAGCGCACCTGCGACCGAGTCCTCGAGGTCATGATCAACCTCTTCCCACTTGCTGTCCGGAATGAAGTATTAGTACACTGTTACTAGAGTAAGAAATTTAACCATACAGAGGTGTGAGAGTTCCTATCTTATAGGCTTTCAACAGGTCTGCCTCGTCGATGTCGAAATTCAACCGTGGCATGAGTCTTCCCGCTTCTCGACCTCGTTGCTCAAGTTGAATTCAGTGAACCACCGTTCTCACTAGGACTTGCGTCGATGAATTCGGGCTTTGTTCGCTAGACGTTCAAATTCCGAAATAATACTGCACAAATGTCGGAATTAGAGGGTTTGTGACTTGAAAAGGTCCAAGGATAATGGATACAGTGAGGAAGAACGCCGAAATCCCCGAGCAAGTCGTTCGTATGTTTGTCTAACATCGGCTTCCCACGCCTGATATAGCAGGAACTCAAAATGATCGGCGTCGAAAACTCCCGATAGTGCCCATACAGTGTACACGATACAGAGGGTATCTGACATTATTTGAGGCACTATATACATGCAATTGCCAAGTGTTGTAGAGGGTAACTGGCAAACAATAAGTATTAACCATAAATGATAGAGAGGGGGTTCCAAGTCGTCGAGCAATAATACCAATAGATCATGTGGTGGCACCAAGTCCGTAGAAAGAACCTCTATGATTACGAAGAATTAACATAACGTTGTCGATCATTATTAGACAGGGAGAACAGTGTTGAAAACGACATCCCAGATTTTGCCTAAATGAACTGTCAGTATCTTTTTGCAGTGACGGGCTGAATGCACATACTGGTAACACCGTACCCAAGGTCAAAGTTCTTGTAATGATGGGCAAGATGGTACTTCTTCATTTCTCTCATGTATTGCGGAAGCTTGGTGTGATGAAGACTAAAAGGTGTGGCAGGCATTATGAGAACTAATGAATCTGATAGAGGAAAAACAACTTACGCATAGTGCATGCAATCATATCCAATGTCTGGCATAAGTAGCAGGTTAGCGTTGGCTACCTCGACGGGATGATGTCACTTGCAAAATGTGAAAGCCCCTGCGATAATGCCATTCGCGACAGCCACCGGGAAAAGGACATAGGCGAGCTGAGTGAACGGAGTTTGCAGAGTGAAAAAGAGCGGTGGGGGCATCACAAGTCTCAGGCTACGACACAAACAACCACGGCATGAGCGACTAGAAGAAGAAAAAAAGGACATAAGGGCTACACACCGATCCATGGGCAAGTAATGATGAATTCCATGCATCAGGAAATGAAGGACGATGAACACAGGCCGGTCTGGAAGCAGCTCATCAATATGGAACAAGAAGCGGTGGAGGAGGTATTCCAGGAGCGTCCAGATAATGTTTCCGAGGAGGAAGCATGGAATGAACTTGGCGACCGACTCCGCGGGGATCGAGGAAATGTACGACATCGGCAGCGCAGGATTTTCGAAGAAGTTGGGTAGGGGTCCCGTGAATTGGAAGAGCGAACGAAGGGCGAGGTACGCCGTGATAGGACCCCAGACCATGGGTACAACATACCATTCCGTACGTGTGCACATCTATGGAGAAGGTAGAAGGTTGATGCAAATGTTATAGCTATGAAGGTGTGTAGGTCATAGAACCATACCTCGAGGATAGAGGGCCCAAATAGACGCGCCGACTCGTGGAGGTGCCGGGGCTGGTGTACTTGCTTCATATAATAAGACTTGCTATACGCGACATTAGATTTATGCGGTGACGGTATGACGCTCGTTTAGCACACCTGAAATTAGATTCCCAGACTTGCCGGAGCAAGGGCTTGCGGAGGTCCAAGAATTGGTTTTTCTCAAAGTCCCTGTCCTCATCAGTCTCGTCTGGATGGAAATCGTCTGTAGCTTCCCAGTCTGCCCACAACGATAAGCCAAAGAGACATGAGGCATGTTACAGCACGCATACCATCGCTGACCGTTGCCTCCCCTGTCCCAATCCTTCCAATCAGATACTCGTCCAACATGTCGTACGCCGAATCCGAGTGCTCGTGTTCCATTTTGTCCTTCATAACCTCCTCCACGTCCTTGCCGGCATACTGGAGAATCAGGTCGTCGCCTCCAGGGTGGTCGTCCAGGAATTTGGATACGTCGTAAACCTTGCCCCCGCGCGAGATCCAGCAACTTGACGACGACGAGTGCACGGCCACGTCCTCCACTGTGTAGATACGAATACGCTTGGACATGACGGCGAGAGGAGGGGATGGATGCTGCGGTTCAACGGCGAACGCGGAGCCAAATGAATCTCACCACTTTTTCTCGATTTCATTTCAGGATGGTGGCAGGCGGTCACATGACTGTCACGTAATGAGAGTACGAAAAATTGGTGATTTCAAGGGTGTTCCGGAAGCAATTCTGTGCACTTTTCTGGCCAGGGTTTTCGTCTGAAACCTCGCTCAAACTCCTCGGCAGGTGTCTCATTTCGTCATTATTTCCGTTTCACACTTCGGCAGGGACGTTTCTTGGCCCGGAACTGTTCTCAATTCGGTTCTTTCTATCACGTGATGTCTCTTCGGTCATTTCGGTCATCGCTCGGTCCGCGTCCGCAAAAGGAAAACCCTTGGGATGGTGAAGCTGCCGAGAGTACTTACCACTGAATTACTATAGGGGCTTTGTGCGCTCTCAATCTCGACGACAACTATTCAGAGAAAGAAGAGTTTTCCTCTGTAACAAAAATATCTACGCTGACCTTCAGAATGTTTTGAAAACCTCTAAACATCAAAGAATGGCACTGTCATATACCATTACTCAGGCGGCAAAGAAGGCAGTTTCGGATCGTTTCTGGACAATTCCGACGCCGATCTGGAAGCAACCAGAATTGTTGGTGGTGGCGCTCGTTAGTGTTGGCCAATTGACACTGTTGATGAAGTCACCACCGCACTGCAGCAACTGACCAGATCACTCTCGAGTCTCGGATGTTCGAAGGGGTAATAGACGCGGCTAGAATCACCCGTTCATGTACTCTGTCCGTCACGTCCCTGTAGCTACCAGGGTAGTTACGAGTATTTGAGTTCAGGCTATAAAAGGGTGTAACGTCCTATCGCAAATCGTAAGCTCAGGATTTCAAGAACATTTGATAGCATAGCCTTTTGACTTATACATAGGATCCGTCTAAATGAAATTCATTAGATGGGGTTTCCCTCTCCAAAATCCCAAGCCAAGTGGCGAGAGAAGAGCATGGACATCACCGACCAACGCGCCCAAAATTCTTCTTCGCCAACTCCTGACTCCACTCCCTCAACACATGCTTCATGACCTTACCACTAGCAGTCTTCGGTAGCTCCTCCGGGTTGCCATCTTCGTTGATAAACCAAACCCATGCAGGTGCATTCTGCAGAGCAACAACCGTAATAAGTGACGGTACCCAAGGAATCACCACCGAGGAAGTACAGCAAGAGAGCAGCCGTTACACACCTGGGGATTCATCGTCTCCGCGACGCACTGCCTCACCTCCTCTCTGCTCATCCGGGTATGCGGCTCGCGCACAATCCACACGCCCACGACTTCACCATACTTGAGGTCGGGTACCGCGACAGCAGCAGCCTCGCGAATCTCCGGATGCGCCGTCATCGCGTTCTCGATCTGGACTGGGAACAGGTTCTGCATACGCACAAGGAAGACGACGTCCGTAAGTCTAACGGCAGCGCCGATGTCATCATTGGTAACGTACCTCACCACCACGTATTATAATATCCTAAAGCCTAATGTCAGCCTTGAATGATAGACAGAACGTTGTGTCGAAACCTTAATCCTGCCGACGACTATCACCATAAGTCAGAGCGACGTTAGTACGGTGGTTGGCTGGGCAAGACGGTGCAAAGAAACCCACTTCGGAGATAACCCTCATCGTCCATGATAGCCTCATCACCGGTATGCATCCATACTGTTCCATTTTCGTCCTTCTTCATCACACTCTGTGTTTGTTCTTCGTCATTCCAGTAGCTATTAAATTTAACGAAACACATCAGCCAATGGTATGTCGTACTTCGTCACCACTTACCCTTTCTGGAGAAGGTACCCAGCGACGCACAGTTCGCCCGGCTTACCCACATCGACGGTGTTGCCTTCGCCATCAATGACTTTCGCCTTGACGTGCGGCTGAACCTTTCCGACTGTCTCAACGCGTTTGATGATCGGATCCGCAGGCGTAGTTTGGAAGGACACTGGGCTAGTCTCAGCTGAAAAATAAATTCATCAACTACTCGCCATCGCAGACGTGAAGCAGATTTTGTACTCATTCCATAAGCATTCGTCAATTCCCGCAGATTTAGCTTATTGATGAGGCTCTGCATAAGGTCAATAGGGATCGGAGATCCAGCTGCTATGCCTGTCCTGCACAGCACAATTAATCGCTGCTCTGACAAGATGTCATGATTAAAACATACCGCAGCGAACGTATATCCACGCTATCACCCTCGGTCTTTCTTTTCTCGACCTCGGCCAAAACACCAAGAAAATGGGTCGGAACACCGTGCAACGCCGTGCATTTCTCTCCTATTACCGCGTCGACAATTGATGGGGGGTCGAATATCGGGGACGGGTATACGATACACGCGGCATGAGACCAAGCCGCCAGGTTTCCCAATACAAGGCGTATCTCGAAATGCAAGGTAAGTTTAAAGCAGTGTCGGGAGGAGAAAGAAACGCTTATCAAAGCAGTGGAATAACGGCGGGACGTTGCCTACACGACGATCTAAACGTTAGCCACGAACGTCGGTCAAGGGGGTATTTGACATACACAGGACGTCTCTCTCGGTAAGGCGCATACAGCGGCCTATCGAGATTGCGTTGTTCAGGATATTCGAATGGGTAAGCTACAACCCTGGTGTCAGAATCGCAATGCAGGAATCCATGTAATCCACAAACCGAAACCGCCTTCGGAGCGCCTGTCGTGCCACTATGCAGGATATAAATCACCTGTCAGGCCAACGCGCCAGCTAAAACCAAAACCCAAAACACAGACCTCGTAAACTGTAAATTAATGACCTCATCCTTGTCGAGGCCCGCACAAATGTTCCGCTGAATCCTCGCTTCGGTCGCGTCTTCTCGCCAAATAAGAATCTCTCGCCAGTCGACCATACTCTTGATGTGCAGCTTGTCGAGGTCGTCTTTCTCCGATTCTGCGTTGTCGACAACGACGAGATTGCGCAGTTCGGGCAGCTCCTCGAGCTGGATCTCACCCGGGTGCTGGCTCCGGATTTGGACGAAGGCTTCCGAGAGAGTGCGCACGTAGGTTGAAGATCTGATGCGGGGCACCACGAAGAGGTGCTTCACACCGACAAGCTTAAGAGTTCCGACCTGGCAAAGTGTTCAATCTGGAAGGATGCAAGGATGGGATTTGACTGACCAGTTCTGTTAGACGGTATGCTGGGTTGATCGTCACGAGAATGGCTCCAATGTTTGCGCATGCCCACTGCAGCATCGCATATGAACTGCCATGCATGAGCAGAAAGACGGCACGATCTATCGGAACTCACCTAGTATTTCCCATAATAACGCCAACACGGTCACCCTTTTGAACATCCATTGCCAGAAGACCTCTTGCAAGCGCGTTGATATGCCTGTCGAACTCCTGAAAGTCCCATGCCAATTGTCCCGCCCTGTCCAGGTTACGCGATGGTGGACCTCCATGCGACCTGGGCGGCTCCTGTCGACAGATTAACGCGGTTCTGGTGCTGTGTAACTCCAAGATATCTTCTCTGAAGTACTGTGGAAGTGTCCTGGTCGAAAGCGGAGGCTCTAGGATTCCTTCGACCACCGATTTTGTCAGGTTCCGTCTGCGCAACGCAACAGCAACTTCTCTAGTACCACGGACACCATGCTTGACTGATTTTCGAGCTAGAAACATGGTGCAACAGGGTGAAGGACAAGTTGATCCGTTTTGTTGAAGGCGGAGTCATGTGCGCTATTTCGTTTCCCACCGAGGCACAGAGTTAGAACGTTTGAACCTACCTGACCAGATGTTGCGTTAAAAGTAGGTAAAAGAGTTTCGAATGTGAGAGTACTAGTCACACATTTGTGAGGAAACAAGCGGAATCTGTACCAGATTCGCGGGCGGTAATCGGGCCGCCCACGCCGCCCCGAACCGATTTCTGACCGCAGGTCCAGGGTCCATGGCACACAATGCATATGCGCGTTTTCATTGGATTAACCGCGTGTATAGAGGACGGAATTGGCACATAGAAGGTCATAGAAACAGACACGAAAGACCAAGGAAGTAACACAATGAAAGCAAGCGTAAGAAGCGCAGACAACAGCAAGTTCAAACAGCCAGTCCTCGATTCCGTGTCCTCTTCATATTCTATTTGGTTTTGCTCGGCTTCTTGTAGGATTGGGCAGTGCTGTTGGACGTTGCTTACAAGAGAGATTCCCCTTATTTTCCTTGTTCTTGTATTTAGATAGTAAATTCTGATGGATAGTAACTAGAAAACCCTGGGTATATGCGGTCAATACGAGATCTTTACCGTCGTCTATCTTCGAAGCCCAATATAAACGCGAAAAGCGGGACGAAGGGTGAAATAATTCATCGCAAAGGGGCCAAAAGGACGTCGAGAACTAATAATCCAAACAAGGGACGGAATACTCACTGCCTTCCAGCAGGAGAGCACTCTGCGTCCCAGTCCTTTGGCGTTAGCTCCTTCACCCTTTCCATGAACGCGTTTAGCGTGCAAAACTCGGGGTGCCCTTCGAGGTGTTTTCCCTGCTCTGCACAGAGAGGGATAATCATGTTCTTGTTCTGATATCGCATGCGGATGTCTGAACGGATGAGTACGTCAATTATCCCGACGCGGTTTGCGGCCAGAGCAAAATGACAGACAGTGTGGTAACGAGGTAGACGCAGAAGAGGTGAGGTAGGCAAGGACACCTTGTTGCCGAGTATCCTCTGCGGGTTCGCGTTGCTTGAAGAGTTCAAATGTTATCGACGCAGTGAAGGCTGGCCATCTGAGCAAATCACCATGAGTTATTCATCGAATGCAGCGAATGGCCATGTCCTTCCCTCACCTCTCGTCGAAAACGTCTAGTGTCGAGCAAAGTCCCGCGATAGCCGTATCATGCGTGCTGTGAACGAGGACCTTGAGTAGGTCGGCGTCGCCGTGCTTGATTTTGTGCTGCATCTTGGTTATCATGTCCGAGAGCAGGCGACCCATAGCTAATCGCCGGACCTCCTCAGTCTTGTCTACAGCAATAATCAGCATGTTTGCATAGGCCCGCGTCGTTGAAGAATTGTCTTACATCCTTGTCGAGAGAAAGTGGGTCAGTACATTGGTGATGTCGGAAAGTTAGACCACACCTGCCTGCGAACCATTCGCTTACGACTGCTTGTTCCTACGGAATAAAGATGAGGTAGCTGATATCACACATGCGGATGCTGCGTACGATGACACCAACGACACCCTTGTCCTCAAACTCTGGCGGAACTTTGACTCCATGAGCAATGGCAGCCCTGATCTATAAAGGTGATCAGGACGGAAAGATGGTCAAGGGGTTGGAAGACCTACAGTATCCATGACTCCAGAAGCTCTAGGCTTGCCGTCCACTCGAATGGGGTTTCCGTCGATATACTTGGAGACTTTCTTATCGAGGTGCTCTAACGTTTTATTGTAGGCCTCAGCAGCCGCTGCTACGTCGTTAGATGGGAGAAACCTTTGAAGAAAAGAAGTACCTTTGGCGAAGCTTATTTGTAGGATTTCCAGCCTCTTGCAAGCGTAGGTGTTTCCTATTAGATTTTCGTCCTTGCCATTCCTATTGTATATCGTTAAGAAACGGGTCGGTTGATGATGCAACTGCCGCGTACCGGATGAAGAGAGGGGGTAACGCTGTTGGGAGGCACTTTTCTGTTGGGTATAAGCCATGAACAATCTGTTGGAGGGATTCCGTCGTCCTGGGCATGTTGGTGCTCCTAGAAACCGTTGAGACACGTATATGGAAGATTAGGTACATACAAACCTGAAATAGACAATGTTGCTGTCCGGTAGTACATTGGGGAGAAGGCCTAATCTAAGTGAAGCCGTTAAGATATGAAGTCCAGGGTAACAGAGCGGCCTCGTCATACCTGTCTATGTATAGCTTTCGCAAGTTTTGACCGAAATTAAACGTTGACTATTAAAATACAGAATGAGAACAAGATGGTGAGGCCCAAGGCCACAGACTGAACGTACCTGTCTCCCAAGATCTGTCAGCTCCCCAAGGAGACTGCGGGTGAGAATGGTCGTGTGAGGATCATCAAAGGGTCGTAAAGTATGAAATATGACGTACCATTCCCCATCACCCACACTCCCATCCTTCCTTTCTACAACTTTACGCGTGTACAGGGTCTCCTCGTTGTTGTTGTTGTCTTGGCTGAGCTGCTGCTCCACATGAGGAAGATGTTGGAATCCGAGAAAGCTTGACACGGCGGCGCGGAAGCGACGTGCTGTTCTGCACATGATCCAGTGCTCAGGAATATTGGCGGGCGGGCCAGTCATACGAACTCCTACGGGAGTGCGTTCTCCTGCAAGGTAAGGAAAAGTTAGCTTCGATGAAGAGTGGGCTTCCTGATAACATACCATGCCGTACATACACATGGACCTGTTCCAGCTGTAAGTTCTCTGGCGCGACTGGATACCCATTGACATCCAGAGGTGCTTGAGGGTAGTGATATTTATATGGCTTTACATTGCCTTCCACTTTATCTTGCAACAGCGCCAGTGGTTTCATTACGGCCTCTGCAGATGTTTCGCAGCTTTTTAATTTCGTTTCAAGTAGTTCTGCGTAGACAAATTGGGTTGCAAATATCGTGAAGAAGAACGTCAGCTTCAGATCATATTGTTTTCCGGAGGTCATAAGGGTTGGTGGTAGCAAGAGAAGAGAAATGAGTGTGGCTGTGCACATAAGTCATCAGAGGAAAATTCGAAATCTAAATAATCGTCAAAATTTCCGACTGCTGAACATCTGTCGGGGAAAGACGTTAGAAAAATGACGCTCAAACCGTTCGAAAATCGTATAGGCGCCTCTGGGCTATGAGTCTTTGTTTTCTGCTCCGTGGGTGAAGAATGGAGAAAGGGGTGGGAATTTGAATCTCGCGTGGATGTCTCTTTCTCACCCCTGTCAAACCTACTCCATTCCTCTTCCTGTGTCACTCGCATTCAGCAACGCTACAAGAGGGAACAACTCGAGCATTTTAACGTTTTTTACATGTGCTTTGTGGTCGGGAACATTATGGACCAAACATTGGCAGGCACCGTAGGCCACATGTCTCACTCTTTGTGCCCTCGCAACCAATAGATTGTGCCCCATACCCCATCTTTTGCCTTCCCTCACTTCATCCCTACTGATCCCTACCCACATCTTCTTCCCCTACGAGACATTCAGCATGGGATGGTTTGACGACAATGATCCAATGGGCGCAGAAGCTGAAGCCTTCGCAGAGGAGACCTATGAGCTATACGTGAAGCCTTTCGTGGAAGACTCGGGCAGGAAGTTTACCGATCCCACTCCTGCCAACACAACTCCCATGAAACGCGTCGAGCGACCTGAATCGGAGTGGGGCGAGACTAAGTGGCCAAAGTCGAAACTCAAGTCAGCAGTAAGTCTCCATTTCTGAAGAGAACCTGTCGAGGACACTGACGACATCATCGACTCCCATAGACTCTTATCCCGAAAGGCAGAGCGAAGTCTGAATATCTGGTGAGTTCAATTTGTACTGCCCTCCCACATGTTGCTGATGTTTGGATAGCTGACAGACAAGGACATGTTGCCGCTATCGTACTGCAAGAAAAAGAACTCACAAGGCTATAATTGCATGAAGATGTACAACAAATGCGAAGTCGAGCGGAGGGCTTGGGAGAAATATGGTGGTCTGAATGGGCTCGGTGCTGCGTGCGTTTCCATTCTTTTTGCGTTTCGAGGGGCGGCTTTATAGTTTGGCGTTTCTTCAGGCTGAGAGACCACGCAAATGGGGTAAAACCGGTGAATATTTCGGAGGATCGTTCCTTTGAGTGCAGTTATTAATATTCGTCTCTCTACAGGCTCCATCGTCTTCGTCGCCGAAGAAAACGAAATCGTCTGTGTCAAAGAGTACCACCTCAGCCAAAGCGAACATCGTCGGAACGTCGAACGGCAAGGTTGCCATCCCTCACGCTCCTGCACCCCCGTTCTAAAGCTGTGACCTCGTTCTTGTATTGCAAGTCGGTCATGCTTGTCCCAGAGCAATCATTCCGCAGAGTCAGACCCATGAGCAACGTTCTTCACGTCTTAGTCTACGTTCCTTTAGGTAACAAAGTTTAACTTGCCATTTAATTTGGCAACCCAGGTTAGACCGACCGTGTGAGACACTGACCGCTTCTTGGCTTCTTCTCTCACAGCCCATCTTTTCCAGCAGCTACCAACACATCCTTGTTCAATACATCCATGGATGGTGCAGAGCTCATCGCCCAGGCTGTCCATGTTGGACTACAGCAGATGGGCTTGGGGATCTACCCTAACGGAGCTCCTCCAGCTCCAGCTCCAGCTCCAGGACACATACGCAGAGTGACGGACTTCGCAGCCTCGAAGTGGGACTCTAGGGACTGGCCACAGACGAAGATAAAGAGGACCGCAGTGAGGAGTTCATTTTGTTGTTGATGTGCGGCAACTGAACACTGAGATAACACCGAGCAGACCATCACGAAGGGCAAAGCGAAGAGCCATTATTTGCTTGTACGTCGTTAACAGCTTCGATCTGTCTCTTGCTCGGCTCATTTACCCGATGTGTAGACCAAAGACGAGGATTTTGAAGGTCTCCCCCCACCCATTGCTCGCCCTACACATGCCAGGGGTGTCCATTTCCCGGTTTATGCGAAGGACAATCTCAGAGCAGAAGTCGAACGACGGGCATGGACAATCTACGGAGGGCCAACTGGGTTGCAAGCTGCTCGAAACGCGTTAGTTCACATGTTGTATCCCCAAAGAAGGCTTACCGTTGATGCCGACACAAACGAACAGTGCAAAGCAGAGAAAGGAGGTCAGACGCGCCAGAAAGGAGCACCGACAGCAACAGCAAGCTCAGATAGCTCAAGCGCCTCCTGATCCTGTGCTTCCTCTTGCTCCTGTGAGTCAATATCTAGTTTGTGAGCTTAAGAAACAAGTCTCATGCCAGAGATGAACAGCCTGCCAACCCAGGAGCTCAGAGCGAAGAAGTCGAAGAGCAAAACAGGATCGCAAACCGCGGACCGCCGGCAAAACGAAAACGACGACGAACCCCCTGACCCACGTCCTGCTACTTCTTCAAACGATGAACAGCCACCTCAGGCTGCTGCGGGGCCGTTCACTCCAGCTCGTCGTAGCACCGTCAACCAGCCCACCGCCGGTCCAAGCTCGCATACATCGGCGAAGCCAAAGTCTGAGGTCGTGGAAGTCTCATGCAGTTCGGATTCGGATGATGAAGCCGCTCTTCCTCCGTCGACTGCCCCTGTAACACCGTCGAGTGCGAAGAAGACACCGTGTAAAGGCTCGTCCGAGGTCATTGAGATTGAGGACTCTGACGATGAGTACATGCGCTTCAAAGCGAGGAGGTTGAAACGGGTCAAAGTCGATCCTGACGAGGTTGTCGAGATAGAGGATTAAATGCGAGGTCTGGGTGAGTCTATGTTGTCTCCTTGGCTTTGTTGGTCTCAAGTCTTATCTTTTCGCAGGTGCTTTTCGGCGGTGTATGTGTGACATTTGTCTCTTAGGTTATTACTTCGCGAAGGCTGTCAATTTGTACGTTATTGCTTGGAATGAAAAACCTCATGGCTGCCCCTTCTTTTTGCTCGTTCGCATGAGGTTATTCGACACAAGTCCCAAGAGGCCCCAAGTCTTCATGAATTCGTGGGGAATTCTATTCACGAACCCCATATTTGTGCGAACCCCTCATGAACCCCCAGATCCCGGACGCCTTTCGGAGAGATTACGGGATGACAAATGCTGTCACAGCTGTGACATTTGGTCCGGATAGGGGCTTGCCCACAAGCACCACACTGTACACATGCAGCGCAGCAGCAACAGAATAAGTAGCCGTTATTTAGTTGTATTCTAGGGTGGTAATTAGGGCTCTCGTATTGGTAAGGCTACCCATGCTGGTGTGGCCCTACCTTTGCCATCCCATAGACATTTCTTAAAGATTGATAAGTTGGCTCAGCCTCGGCAGCAGCGCTGGAAATTGGAATCAACGTAGTAAATGGTGATTGCTTCCCTGGCCACGGAGCAGGTGTTTAAATAAATGTGTCCGCATCGTCTACTCGAGTGAGAACAGGAACCCTCGCAATCGCGCGAGGGTTCAATGCCATTATCCACTGCTTACCTACAACGTACATAAAATGTAATTACTTGTGGCGCTTGCCCGTAGCGCCCGGAAAGAATAAAATGCAAAATATTACTTGCCTACGTTCTCGCAGCGACAACGCACTGCTCCTGCGATGCGGCGCTCGACACCGCATTATGCAATGCAGAGTTCCAACAGCAGGAACAAGGCTCATGACTCAAGTCCATGAGGAACAATATGGTCGATGCCAGGTGCTCATCACAGAGAATAAAAATAATCTGTGGAGAGGATAGGTCAGAAAGAATGGGTGACATATCTGACCATACCAGAGGGCAGGAGGCAACGAGCGCAGGAAGCAGTGATATCAGCAACGATAACAGAGTTGAAACGTGGAAATCATGATTTAGTTGAAGGTTGTTGCGCACTTAAAGAAGGGTACACGAGGGTGCAGCTCAATTTCGTGACCTCCCTTCAGAAATGTATGAGCGAGGAAGAGTGTTTCTCACTGCTCGGGATCTTCTATTGACGCTGAAGAGGAAGGACCCACCCGGAACCCCCACAACATATCCGAAGATTATCTTTTTCATTCGTCCTCGTGCCTTTCAACGTGGTGCGTGGATAATAGCAGCATGCCTCACTGGCAGTCATGGTCTGCTAGGCTGAAGTCGAGAGATTAGTCAGGCACCGAATACAAAAGAATGCAGATTTAGATGACCTGCGCGAGTGCTGAGAATGCGGGTCACGGATGGGCGATGTTGACATTGTTGGCTCGTTCGTCGAGCGCCAGGTTTCCTCAGGTGAGTCCTAAGTACATGCAGGCGCAGGCAAACGTATGATGTCATGGCAGGCGCTACTCCGGCACCCTAATCCTGCCAGTCACGGCTCCTGCCTGTTGCGGCTGGTCGGCCGGAAGTGCCGTTAAACTTTGATCTCCCGGAGGGGTTCGCAAACCAAGGGGGTTCGCGAATAGAATTCCCCTGAATTCGTAGATATAAAACGGCCCGAAGATATGCTTGTCCAAATTAACATGATCGCCGACATGACTCCTGACGTCATGACCCATGTGCGGCACTTCCGGCCCAGCGGACCCTAATCTATTTCACGACTTCTGGCACGCTGGTGGAGAAACCCCACCAAGTCCCACTCAAGGTGCATTTGCGCGTGGGGAACTAGAGGTTATTTGCACTTCGAATATTCCTAGAATCGCCCAAATCTCATTGGCTGAAGGAGGCCCCAAGCCAATCAGATTCACGGATTTGTGGAGCCCTCAGAACTGCAAATAACCTCTACTCATAAAATTTACTTACACGCTGTAGTCAGGTTGCCGAAGATGGCGGGAAAACGCTGCAAATAAACTTCGATGTGGAGCGGGACGATTCCAAATGTCCCTTCCGACTGATTATCTCGCCCAGGCTGACGATCTCCGGCTATCTTTCACTGGTCTTGTTTGGAAAATGCCCGCTAAAACCGAGATGGACTTCTGTAAATGGTTCGCCAGCCTGGCGGTGATGTCACTCTTCGCCCGAGAGAACCAAAAGGTGACCGCCTTGGGAGGGGTCACCAGACGAAGTTAAAATCCTCCTTTTTTACGGGGGTGACGGTTTGGTAATGGCCCGCTGGCTTCGCCTGTGTGGGGCACGTGAACCCGGAGCCGCCTTGTGAGGTATATAGCTGACGGCGTCCAGTTATTCCCACCTCTTATCTTCTTCGCCCCGCACTTCCCCAAGTCTAAAAGTTGCCCACAGTCCTCCACGCCTCCCGCCTTTTGCAATTACACTTTTGCCATCATGAAGGGAACCATGAAAGCTCTCTGGTATAGCGCCGTACGTCTTGCTTCTAATGACTCGCCACTATGAAACTGACCACCATGCAGCCCCGGACGTTTGAGATCAGAGAAGTTCCAATCCCACAAATCAACGACGACGAAGTATTGCTGAAAGGTACTTATTCCGCCGCACGGTACTTATTCCG